GATCTGGGGACAAAGGCCTTAGGGAGACATGATCTCAACAGGGAAAGGGGTGGAAAAGATCTTAGGGAGGAAAGGGAGAAGATCTGGGGGAAAAAAGGCCAACAGGGAAAGGGGGGAAAGATCTAAGGAAGGAAAAGGGAGAAGCTCTCAGGGGGGGAAAGGCCTTAGGCGGGAAAGGGTGGGAAGGATCTCAACAGGGAAAGGGGGGAAACAATCTTAGGAAGGAAAAGAGAGAAGATCTGGAAAGGCCTTAAAGGGAAGGGGGGAAAGGATCTCAACGGGGAAAGGGGGCAAAGGATCTTAAGGAGGAATAGAAGATCTCAGCGGGGGGAAAGGCCTTAGGAAGGAAAGGAGGGAAAGGATCTCAACAGGGAAAGGGGGGGGGAAGATCTCAGTGGAAACGATCCCAGGCAGGGAAAAGGCCTTAGGGGGGAAAGGGGGAAAGGATCTCAGGGAAAGGGGGCAAAGGATCTTAGAGGGGAAAAGGGAGAAGATCTGAAAAGGCCTTAGGGGGAAAAGGGGGAAAGGAGCTCAACAGGGAAAGGTGGGAGACGATCCTAGGGAGGAAAAGGGAGAAGATCTCGGGGGCAAAGGGGGAAAGGATCTCAACCAAGGGAAAAGATCTTGGGGAGGACAAGGGAGAGGGTCTCAGAAGGGAAAGGCCTTAGGGGGGAAAGGGGGGAAAGGATCTCAACAGGGAAAGGGGGCAAAGGATCAGAAGATCTTGGGTGGGGAAAACGCCTTAGGGGGGAAAGGGCGGGAAAGGATCTCAACAAGGAAAGGGGGGAAAAGATCTTAGGAAGGAAAAGGGGGAAGATCGCGAAGAGAAAAAAGGCAATAGGGGGGAAAGGAGGGAAAGGACCTCAACAGGGAGAGAGGGAAAACATCGTAGGGAGGAAAAGGGAAAACCTCAGAGGGGGAAAGGGCCTTAGGGGGGAAAGGGGGAATGGATCTCAACAGGGAAAGATTTTAGGGAGGAAAAGGGAGAAGATCTCAGGGGGGGAAAGGCCTTAGGGGGGAAAGGGGGGAAAGGATCTGAGCAGGGAAAGGGGGGGAAAGTTCTTAGGGAGGAAAGGGAGAAGATCTGGGGGCAAAGGCCTTAGGGGGGAAAGGGGAGAAATGATCTCAACAGGGAAAGGGGTGGAAAAGATCTTAGGGAGGAAAAGGAGAAGATCTGGGGGAAAAAAGGCAAACAGGGAAAGGGGGGAAAGATCTAAGGAAGGCAAAGGGAGAAGCTCTCAGGGGGGGAAAGGCCTGAGGGGGGAAAGGGTGGGAAGGGAAACAATCTTAGGAAGGAAAAGGGAGAAGATCTGGAAAGGCCTTAAAGGGAAGGGGGGAAAGGATCTCAACAGGGAAAGGGGGCAAAGGATCTTAAGGAGGAATAGGCAGAAGATCTCAGCGGGGGGAAAGGCCGTAGGGGGGAAATCTCAGAGGGGAAGGGGGCAAGGGGACAATTCCAAAGGGACGCAAATAAGAAAGCAGGCCTGTAATGTCGGCGGCCTGAGCCGGAGGCGTTAAAATACAGCAGCATGGGAAACTACAACACCAAAAGCCACTGCCGACGTACCTCAAAACAGTAGCCTGGCAAACAAGCACCGCCAGCAACCACCACACCTCGGCATCTTGAGAACACCAAAAAGCAACCGGACCAGCACCCGCAACAGCACAGCACCAACACCAGCAGCAAACAAGCGCAGCCAACCGCATCCTGACAGCATCGCAAACAGGCACTGCCAGCAACAACCATGCACCTTCAGCGCATCCCCAATGGTCAGGGTGGTCAGGGCGCTGGTCAGGGTGCTGGTCAGGGTGCTGGTCAGGGTGCTGGTCAGGGTGCTAGTCAGGGTGTTGGTCAGGGTGCGCCGGTGGTGGCTGGTGTTTTCTCGGCACTGTAATTAGTGAACTGTGTTGCAGTCATGGTGCAAGGCCACCAATCACTACCAAAATCCTGACCAGCACCTGGCTAGCACCCTGACTAGCGCCGAACAAGCACCGCCAGTCACCACAAACTCGGGTTGCCTGATTTGAGATGCGAGATGCCTCACGAGTAGCATATAGTCAGAAGCGGAATACCCTGGTTACGCAGGATGCTTACCACGCATGAACACACACCCACACACACAGACAATGCCCATGATGAATCTTGACCAAGCTGAGTTGCTCCCGCCTCGCTAGGGTTGGTAAATATACCGGCACCAACATGTTGCCAGTTAAAGCGAAACCCAGCAAAAGCGCGACAAGTTAAAAGATAGAAAGGTAAGCTAAGTTTGGCGATGGCATAAGCCACCTAGATTGTCCTAGGATGCTTGCATGATGCCGGTGTTTGTGAATGATACTCCGCCCCCTTACGCTTGCACGTTCTGCATGTAACTGTCACAGCATTTCGCACTGCGACTTCAGCCAGTCCCTCCCCTTTTTCATCATGTCATCCTCCAACCAATTCTGGCCATGAGGGTTCCTCTTCTTTGTCAAGGTTGCGCCGGCGCATATTGTGCAATGATGGTTCTTGCCGAGCTCTGCCTCGGAGAGACGGGAGAGCTCTACACACTGAGGAGGCAAGCGCGCAGGCCAAAATGCGAGCCGCGCAGGCTTACCGCAGCAACATGTTTTGAATAAGGACGCAGAAGTACAAGCTTTGAGGGCAAAAGCCGTTGACGAGGAGAGGGCAGCCACTTGTGCTTTGCGCGATCGTGGATTCACATCCTGACGTCAAAATCTGCGTGTTCTGAAGCTTCTCGACCTCCTGTTTGTTCTTGGCCCATTCTTAGACTTCTCCTGTAACTTATAGACGCCCGCTTCAACTTCCGTCAGTCGAACGCCTCTGTCGTCAAGCTGAGCTTTTTTGTCGTCACGCGCTCATCTTTCATCCTTCCGTGCGCATGAGCAACCTGGTTCTCCAAATCTGCACTCGGGCGACATGCATTCGACGCGATTCACTCACCCTCTGGTGTTTCCGAATTTCGATGCCGAGCTGTTGGTCTGCGCTCCAAGATTTCTCTTGGAGAACTAGGCTTGTCCCCTTTTACCGCTTCACCTCCGTCGGAAGGCTCCCTCGAGCGAGAAGCCCTTGACTTCAGCATTAAATTAGGCGCTGCTGCGCCGACAGTCAGCACCATCGCATTGCCGCTTCCACGGCTTCCTGACCCATATGTCCATAGAACACATCGTCCGGCTCCGGCTGAGCCGCTTGGACGATTGTCACGCGCGCGCTGGTACTCTTAGGCTGTGAGTGGAAACAACAGGTACCCTTTGAGCCGTGGATAAGACTCAAAGCTCGTGGGAGAATACTCTACGACTGATAACCTGAGGAAGGAGGGAAATTCACATTGATGTTTTCTGTCCTGCTTACCATGGGTTGGACCCGGGTGGGGTCAATCAATGATAGGTTGGCTCGATACACGTGATTTTCCTTTGTTTCACTCCGTGCGGGTTTGTGCCACGCGTGTGGCGGTGAAACCACGTACATGACACTTAAGCCAAGATGGTGGCCCACATGTTCTATACACAAAACACACCTATGAGTGACTGTTCACACAAAATGTTCAACCTGGAGACTTCGCCAATCCAAAGCAATTCTCTCCAAAGGGAAACCACCACAAAGGAGACCCCTGTCGTGGCCTAAGGGAAGCTTCAAGAATAACCTCTGAGGCTGAAAGAAAACCCTCCGTTTGCGGTCCACTCCGTTTGCGGTCCAAATCATGGTGCCGAGGGCCCCGTCAACACAAATGGCCTGATGGGGGGTGGGGCAGTCGCAAGGATAGGACGTTGGCTGCCTTTCGGCTTCCCTTCAAGCCAACAAAAGGGTTCCTTAGACAAAGGAAATTCGAACAACGAATGTCGTCAACAGTTTGGCTTCCTGAAAAGGGGGGTGGCCCCAAAAAACATGTAGTGGTCCAATTCCAGTTGAGGACACACCTTTCTGGCCTATATGAATATCATGTTGATGGGCAACACATCAAAAACGGCTGGTTGTTGTTGTGCCGTTGCCAGGGAGATCGGAGGCGTCAAGGCGTACAGCTCAGCGAGTCTCACTCGAGATGTTCAAAAGAAACCCAGAGCTGGTGAACCCATCGTGCTTGGAATGCGTTGGAATGGGCCTAAGGCTGAGTTCCTGAGTGGATTGGTCAGAACAAACCTGGGTTTTCTGTTTACCGCTAGAATGGTCTTCCCAGAAGGTATAAAGTCCAAAAACTCAGGGAGTAAGAAGGTGAACGATCTACCAGGAACACAAGTTGACCTTTGGGGACCTTGCCTGAGCATTTGCCAAAAAGGGAAACCTAAATGGTGAAAAGATTGGGGCGTTCGTCTGAGCCTCTCAGCGGATTAGACCCGGGAGTGCTTCTTGCGCGCGGTGCACTGGATTGGGAATTCCTCACACTTTGAGAGTCTCTTTGTTTCCGAAAATATCTGGAAGTTCCGACTTTTGCACAGGCCCAAAACAGGCATAAATCATGGCTGAGACTCTCACCTACCCCGCTTCTACCAGGCTTTGATTGTGCCTCCAATCTTCTTTGGGGCTCCCTTGGTAGACACCATAAGTGCTTTGAAAGTCACGCAACCAAACATGTTGGTGCTAGTCCAACTGTCCCGCCATTCCTTTAAAGCGCAAAAACAATAGGCGCATCACATCCTCTAAGCACATTGCTTTAATTCACAATTTGGAAGTAAAAAACCCAGGCAAGTCACTCGGTTTACCCCGATCTCTTGCTGAGCTTGTTATAAATTGCCCAGAAATGATCTCTTGAAGGGTTCCCCGTCTGAGTATCCGCTTTCCTCTTTCAAACTTTCCGTGAGGCGGTCAGACCTCTTTGGGTGACCCGAAGAACGGGTTCTAACACACGGGTTCATTTTGCAGCCTACACACAGACTTGTTCGGGTGATCCTAAATCACATCAGAGAGTCCTTTGCAAGCGATCGGACCCCGCTTGGCAATCGGAACCCGCTTGACAAAAAGCATCTTCGGATCCTATGGACGAAGACCGAGGACCGAAGCGCGGCTTTCAGGTCAGCTGCTTCACGTGATCCTGCTTGCTTCCACTTTTACAAGGACTCGAGCCTGACTCATGTAGAAACCCTTTTTTGCGTGTGGTTGGGACAACTAGAACCCTCCCTGCCATGACTGGAAAAACACATGGGTCCCTGGAAGCAACTTCTTGCCGCTTGGTTGGACATCCCGCCCCGAACTGGAAATCATAGGGTACCCACCCTACATCAGTTTCATTTGCTACCATCAAGGGAATCTGTGCGAATTGAATGCCTGCTTGAATGGGTGAGGACCTTTAAACCAACCAAAAGGAGGGAAATATAAATATATATATATATATATATACAGGGAACTCTGAAAGCCCCTTATGCGATTCCATGGAAGCCACCAGCCATGGAGTCATTTGAGGGAGGGTAAAGAGCAAGCCATATAGTCATGGACCTCCAGGGGCTATGAGGCTCAATCCGGCTTCCCCAGTAACTCCGAAAAGGGATTCTACCAGGGTCACCGGGCAACTGCTTGAAGAATGAAACAAAAAAGACAAAAGGAATAGAAAGAGAAGGGGAGGTATTGGAGAAGCAGTAGGAGGAGGAAGGTGAAGGCGGAGGAGCATATCTTCCCCAAATATACTCTGGCATTTGGAGTGTTTTCTACCAAATGCCCCGACCCTGGTGTTGTTGTTGCTTGTTGTTTTTGGGGAAAACTAGATGATAACAATAATAATAATAGAAATAATAATAAACGAGGAAAAAAAACAGTGAGTCTGCCGGAGTTTGTTCCAGGACACTTCGTGGCTCGTCCTTTAAGTAACCCCCGTCCTTGCCGAAGAGGCAGCTCCACCAAGAGGCGGCAGGTCGCATCCTCATGGGCAAGCTGTCTGTTGCTTCTTCAAACTGGATTTTGAGGCAAAGGCCACCCTTTTGATTCTGTCCCAAATCTGAAATACAAAACAACAAAAATGTTTTGTTGATTCTGTTCCGTGTCAACCAGGATGTTGTTCGCTTTCTGGAGAGCCCCCGGTTTCCAGCCCGGTGAAACGGGAAATCAAAAGGACAACGGCCTTCTGCTTCGGGGGTCCAAATCCCTTTGAATTAGCTGATGTTGGTGCCTCTTGTCGTGCTTGTCGTGCTAAGCTTTTCTTTTGGAGGCTTGTGGTTTTTGTTGCTGGTCTTTTAGGAACAGACTGTGTTCATGTCATGTCAAGATGCCTAGAGTCAGGCAGCACAAGCAAAGGCCCTTCTTTTTTGCATACCTGACTTGTACCTCAAAACAGGAACGTGTCTAAGGTCCTACTTACCCTGACTGAAGATATCAACATCGATGGTAGATGGGTACAGGGCTTAGCCCAAACATCATGCTGGCTATCCAGCAAGGTGTCCAAGGACCTTCAGAACTTTGCAGTGACGCCTGAACGGTCCCACGGGCTTAGGCAAATTGAGGCCTGGCCCCTGGCTTTTGTGGTTGCAATTTGGGGGCCGGCCCCTTGTCTGGCCCTCAAAAGTAGAGGACCAATCTGTAATTCACCCACCTGAATTAAAAAATATGCCTACTATTTTTCGGGGTTCCCCGTTTTTTTGGCGCCACATACCCAGATATGCCGTTCTGCGGCTTCTGGGGTACAGAAACATAACAAATTGAGTCGTGGTAGAAGCAACATTTTAGTACTAGTTTGGCCCCTGATAGCAACCATACGAAGAACCCTTGAACTGGGAAACTGCAATTCATCTAAGAGAAAACACATCTTAGAGTCACTACAGGCGTCCTGTTGAAGAAGTAGACACTGGTAAATGATTTCCCAAAACTGAAACCAGTGGAACCCATCAAATGTTCAGCCAAACTGAGCCAAACTGGCAATGTACCGGCACTTGGGAATGTGTGACAATAAGGGTTTGGACCCAACATGGTGAACTTGATTCTTGAAGAGAATGAGTGATCAACCCTTAGATCCCTGGGTCTAAGTCCCCATGACGGCCGCTTCTTTGTAGGGTCTCATTTGCTCATTTGCTTGTTGACGTGTGGAGTAGCCCCTGACTCATTGACGTGGTTGCTCCTTTAAAAAGCCAGACAAATATTCACTTACCACCCGGCCCTACAAATGCTTGAATGTTCAACCGTAAATTCTAACAGAAAGTGGCTGACACGTTGGCAGACATATCACCAAGCAACCCCAAATTGAGACTTGTCAAACCAACAAATTGAACCGAATTCTTTGGGGGGGCTAAAGAAACCACCAGGTCCCAAAGAACATTTTGAGAACCCCGCTAGATGCGACCAATTTCAGGAGGGTGCCAGTTGTTGATTCCCCTCAAGGTAGACTTTTCCCCAGGTGACTTCCCAAAAAGGGAAGAAAGCCAGTTTGCTTTAAGGCTTCTTTTGGGGTACCCAAACAAAGGAACCCTGCTTTCAGGGGCCCACATTTGGCGTACACCGAAAATAAGAGTTTCGGATTCTATTTCATATTTAGTCTGCCGTAAGGCACAACATATGATCCAACGGTGGAAAGCTCCGAGCTGAGATACGCTCCGGAGTGGTCTGGATCAGCAGTTTGATAGGGTTCCAGGGCCCATGGATTCCATGCCCAAAGACTGGCATAGGGTTCTGGAAGGTTCTGAAAGGCTCGGAGAAGGTTCCCGTGCAGGTTGCGGATGCTGGGTCAGAATTCTGATTTTTTCCGGAAGGTTTGGAAGGTCAGAGTTTTGGAGGAGACCGTAGGCCAAAACAAATTGCCCCTGTGGCCGGGTCGCGAGTTCTGCTTGCTCATGGTCTTGGAGGTTTTCGGATTCTGCATAATGTCGGACAAATCCTGGACGAGCTTCAGGTGCTCCACGTACTCCTGGCAGTCTGTTGAAACCTACTGGGATGGTGATAGAAACACCCATTTTTTGAGGTTGACTTTAAGCCCGCCCTCAAAAATGCGATGTTGAGAGGACCCTCGAAAATAGCCGGTCCTCTTTGGTGTTCCTTTCACCCTCCAACAGGGAGCACATAAGCTTTGGACTCCTCCCAGTTATAGATCAATATATATATATATAAATTTATTTATAGCGGAACATCAAGTATTTGGATAAAACAGAGCAATTTCCGCTTGGCAGGGTAGGCGCTTTCATGACAAGCGCGCTGTGGGCAGGCATTTCCACAAGTGATCCTGCTTTTTCTTTGGGCCATTTTAAATTCGCTAAAGGAAGCTGCTGGTGTGGTCCTATTCCCTACACATGGTTAGACAAATCCACGCCGATCGATGCGCACCAGTTGGAAGATTCATGGATAAACCACCAATCCCGACTGGCGCCACGGATTTTGCACATGTGCAGTATCCATGACAGCACATGTCCATTTTTCCTTTTGGCTATTAAACCCATCCAGATCACTTCCTGAATGTATTGGTCAGAAAAAGTCCAGACTCTTCGTTTGCCGCTAAAATGGTCTCCGTGGGCCAAAAAGCTCGTCAAAGTCCAGGAACTCAAGGAGTAGGAGGTGGGGTTGCCTGTTTTGATCCAGACCCTGCTTGATCGCTCTACAAGTGAAAGAAGGATGTTTTGATCGAACCTGACTGAAAGGTCCTGGAAGACACCTTTCCTCCAAAAGGGACCGAGCCTCTGCCAGGTTCCATGTTAGTACATGATAGTGGGTGGAAGGGCAAGGCTTTGGCAATGACTTCGGTTAGTCCTTGGCATACACCACGGCCACAGAGCGGCATTCGTTGCTGTCTCCCACAACTTTGCCTTGGGCCGAACCGAAGCACGTGGTCCGAGCCCGCTGAAAGTAATGGAGACTATTGGAGACTATAGCTTCAGGGTTGAAGCCATCACCAATAGCATTCGCCGAACTTTCTCCCCAGATAAGGCCACCCCCGACAACTATAGAGAAGAAATTTGCTCCGAATGCTGACCCTGCCACACTGACTGCAGCGTTGACTGTAGCGTTGACTGAGCATTGACTTTAAATTTGGCCGAGTGCTGGAATCGGGCTTGCCCACGCCACTGACTGGGCAGGTCCAAGTTGTGACTGCAAAGGCAGAATTGTGAAAACTGGACGGAATAAATTTTGCACCACCTCATGGTGTGACCTACATTCGCCCCTAGTTCCATGCTGAACAGACTTGCGGCGGTGCAGGAGTTCTTCCGTCAACTGTAAGGAACAATTGCTTGCAGGTGCTACACTCTGCTTTCTTGGCCCGGTACTGAGATGGTGTGTTTTGCTCAGACAGCTTGCAAATGACATCGAATTTCTGCAATGCGGTTAAAGCTCAACCTTTGCAGGCAACACTGGATTGTTGCGCTAAAACTGCCAGCCACAGCCTCGGTCAACCTTTAGGTTCAACACTAAGTCAGCGCTCAACGCTGCAGTCAACGCTACAGGCAACGCTACGAAAAATGTTGGCAGGGCCAGCATTTCTGCTGGGGGTCTAGAAAATTATCCTGGAAACCTCCAAAACTCCTAAATATAGGAAAGAAATTTGCTCCAAATACCCTCTGCCAGCATTTTTGTACACTGACTGTAGTCTTGATTGAGGGTTGACTGAGCGTAACTGTAAAATGGGCTGAGTGCAAGAATTGGGCTTGCCGGCATGTGAACCCTTCGAAGAACAATGTCGAGTTGGGAGCAAAGAAGCGTCACGAGAATTGCAGAATTTCTTCCGTCAACAGTATCTCTGGTTGGGACTGTCCCTAACCTTCATCTACCGTTTTGATTAGAAAATTGGATTCATAGATTCATAATCCAGGTGTCGCCCCCTCCCCACTTCCATTAATGGGGGCGAGTTTGTGCTTTTGTTTGAGGGTACGCCTTTCACGATGGGACCTCAAAGGACAACAACCAAACAAAACAACACACCCCATTTTGGAGGCCTAACCGAGTCTGTCTGGGCATATCGATTCTATGGAATTCAGCTTGTCTTTCTGTGATACAACAACAAATAAGACCCAGCGTGACCGGAACCTCAGAAATCCACCCTACGAGCACCGTAAACTATGAAACAATGAGGTTTGCTGGCAAGATACTCTAGTTCACAAACCTTTTCAGAAAGTGAATTCCCCGGAAAAAGAGACATTTATCATGGGTCAGAACCATACGGCCACCAACTCGCACGAAGTGGCAAAAGGCGTCCACTTGAAGCACCACCAGGCGCGACACGTCCTCCGGATCGGGCATGTCATTTCCCCCAGTGGGTTCCAGAAGGTACTCCTTAGGCTTATTTGATACCCGTTTTAGCGGGGCGAAAGGCCACGCAAAGAGAAACGGTTCTTCATTCAACAGCAACCCATGTAACGCCAACATATATTGCTACCCAACTGGAGAGGGCAAATTGAAGGTTGCGTCAGCCCTGGTTTGCGGAAAGTTCCAGGCTTCTAGATTAAGTTATAACCTATATACCTAATAATATGTGGGTTGAATGTCTCGGTTTAGTGGTTAAACAAAATCGCAGAAGCTTAGCCCCTTTTGCATGTAGGTCTTGCTGTCGCTTTCAGCCTTAGAGGCTGCCATACATGTTAATAACAACCTATTGCCACGCGTTTGGATGCTTGGGGGACAACATGCCCTCTTGGACGCTTCATTGCCATTGTTGCGGGTCCAAGTCCAATTTCAGGACCATGATTTCACCTTTCAAAGGGGCGACCTGAGCCCGAAAGCATGATCATGGCGCTGGGCCAGTAAAATTGGCATGGGTCGGCCCCAATGTGGCCGCCGGGGTAGCCCCCAAACTGGACATATCGCGTGAAAGTTCCTCGGTTGCCTTTCGGTGGGAAACTTTTGCACAATCCAAAGCCAACTGATGCTCTTACAAGGCCGCGAAGGGTTGCTCCCCCAAAAAAGCATGACTGAGGCCTGACTAAAAAAGCATGACTGAGGCCTGACTAAGGCCTAAGAAGATACCTGGCAAGGAGGTGTCCGGTCCGTGGGGAGCGTTGGGCTTCCATGATGATATCAATGACCTGCAAGGATGCCTTCGGCGGACAGGGTAATAGTAAATGCTACTGAAAAACATTCACCCACAGCTCTGCAAAGTGTGCCTTTCCCTCAGTTGAAATGGTATGCTTCAAAGTGGCCAGGGCTTCCTTGTGGTTTCCCTAACATTCCCAAAAGGAGCTGTCCTCATTCATGTTTTTCGGAGAAACCCCCACTGTCTAGAACTTGTTGACCCTGAAATGATCGACAAATGCTGCAAGAAACTCGGAAACTGAGCAAATAAGAAACGGGGGGCTTGGATATATGGAAACTGGACACGGAAGCCAATCCGAAGCCACCGCCATGTAAAATCAAACTCCTGTTGCTTTCTCTAAGGCGGCCAGGGCCGTGCCTACCGTGGACTGAACGTCCAATGGTCTAAGATGGTTTCTGGCCCCAGTACCCCTAATCAACACCTGGTATCAAGCTGGCTACCCAAAACCATGTTGATCATCAAAAGAGAACATCCGCACCTGTATAGTTGGGACTATCCTGCTACCCAAAACGGTTTGGCTCAATACGTTCAGCCAACCCCTCGTTCCTCAGCCACGAGGTCTCCGAGATGCACCCAGGGTGTCCACAAGGTCATCTCCGCGATCCAGTTGTGCCCTACGGGATTTGATTCAGATGGGAGCCACGGTGCTCGACGCGACGCGACATGTCAAAGCGATCATCCATTGCCATGGAGCCTGACTGGGGGTTCCGGGGTTGGAGTGTGCTTGTTTTCATGGGGTCTGCTTGTTTTACTCCCCCAGCCTCGTATGTGTTTTGCTTTCTTTGTAGTGAACACCTTTAAGGGGTCATGCTTTAAGACCACACATTCTGATGGGTCTACCATTTTGAGACAAGGTGTCTCAAAATAGGGACCGTGCCAAACATGGCGGGTTCTTCAAAGGCGTCCCTTTGAAATGGCCCCCAAGGGGTAGCCCATGACTCTTGAAATGTTGAGACCGCCTCTGGAACCTCAAAAATGAATGGGACAGAACATTTGAGCCACAGTCAAAGCTCCTTGTGCGGGTTGGTTCTCATGGCTCCCTCAATGGGAATACTTATCATGGTGTCTAAAATATCTACTAAGGGGTTGATGACCAACCCTACCAACCCCAAGTAAAGGGGTATTCTGACTATGGCACACATGGCCCATGGCGCATTTAATCATTGGGACCACGCAAATGGTTGGGAAAGGACATTTAACTCCAACCAAAAGATCCTCAATCAAACCACATACACTCACATGGTGAGGGGTTTGCCACAAGTTTTGGGTCCTAGGCAACTGAGCTTCGGGAAGAGTCAGTTTAAGCAACGGTCAACATATGCAACGATATACGTGGTAAAATCAGTGCTTGCCCCCCCCCTCCCCGGGTTGAAACGAAGCCATCAAAACCAGGGAGCCCAAGGGCAAGAGATAGTTTCACAGGGAAACCAAAACGAAACCAAGCATCTGGATAGGGGTCCCAAACACGGAGTCTTCATCCTCTTTGAGGCAATCTCCTTGCGTGATTCTTGTATATAGCCACGGTCAAAATGTGGCCAGTTACACAAGTGCACATGGAACAATTAGGGTATGTCCCTCTGCTTTTGTGGGAAAAGAAGGGAGTGCCGCCATGGTGTGCGTGCTTGAACTTCAGAAGCGAGGCCCTCTGTTAATTGAAAGTCCGTCAAACCCCCCCCCCAAAAAAAAGAAAGAAAGAAAGAAAGAAAAAAGAAAGAAAGAAAGAAAGAAAGAAAGAAAGAAAGAAAGAAAGAAAGAAAGAAAGAAAGAAGCAACAAGGCGTGAGCACCGTTTGTTGTCCCATGGCGCACCCTCTGGTCTACAGGGTCGAGGGGCGATGCTCATTCGATTCTCAGTTTTTACCCCCCAACCAAAAATATATCTGTGGTTCCTGTCCAGAGTTAGTGAACCTTACAATGCAAAAACATGTTAGAAGATACTTTTTTTGAGAAATGTGCCCACATGTGAAAAGACACCGAAGTAAAATACCGTTGACCAGCAAAAGCACAGGGGCTCAAGCAAAGCAATCGGACTGAGCATTGCAAATATATATATATATATATAAATGTATATGTGTGTTTGCGTGGTCGAAAGAACGGACCCCTCCCAAACAACTTGGGGACCCTCTTGCTCCGACCCGAACTTGCTTCTTTGACCCACAGGTAAATGCAGGATGAAAAGGCAAATTGTGGCTTGAAAAAACCGTGTCCCGTAGTTAAAAGACTTACTGATTCCCTTTCGATGCATTTGTCCAAGTCGACGCAAATCGGCCTGTGCCCGCCGCCCCCCCCCAACATGGCTTTGCCTTCCACTGGAGACGGTTCATCTCCGAAATCATCGTGATAGTTCCTGGGAACTCGAACCGGGCTGGCCCAGCACATGAGCGCTCACATGTTTTGCCACGCGAGCCCTTTCAAAATATCCTGCTGCATTTGAACATGAGGTGGACACAGGTGCAAACACAAAGGTCATGAACAGAGCTGCATTTGTCCAGGCACGCCAAAAGCAAGTGCCTTCATCATGGATGAGCTCGTTTCATCCCCAGATCAGTAGGCTCGTTTCAAAATAGGCAGATCAGTGCATCATCCCCACCCTCGGGGAATTGATCTGTATTGCAATAACACCCCCTCCCCTTCCATATTTTGCTCAGGGAGTGGGGATACTGCAGCTCACCAGTTCTGTCATGCAACTATGATATGATCTTTCCCATGACATGACTACTGACTACTGCAACACTTTGAAGGGCTTTTTGGGTATCCTGGCAAGCGGTAACGAAACAAATATATATATATATATATATCAAATACATATATATATATATATATATATTATCCAAAACCCTGTCAATGCTCTTCATGGCAAACCGGCCCCTCCCCCCTCCACAGTTTGTACTTCGGAGTGGGGGATAATGCAACCCAAGCCTCATGTGCCCGCTTTGTACGAAGTATGCAGCTGTGGCAAGATCGCCGCTGCAGAAGAGCACGTCGTCGTGCGCCACCACGGTATTCGCCAGCGCGTTCATGGACAGCTTGTGCAAGACTTGCACCGTTTGTCCTGATGATTGTCGAGTGGCGGAGATGGGCATGTCTTTTCTCCAGGATATGCAGAAGAGGGAAACCCAAGTGGTTAGAGGTTTCCTCTACTCTGAAACAAACCCATCTGCACAGGACCGTCAATTACCGTTCGCGCAAGACTTGCGCCGTTTGTCCTGGCACTCGTTGAGTCATGACAGGGAAGAGGGAAACACGAGGAGGACCCCTTCCGCCACTTCTCCACACGGCTCCTATGTTTTGTCCTCACAATCGTTGAGATACAGCAACTGTTCTTGGCGCGGATTGAACTGTTCTTGGAGCCGGCGGCACACGCCAACTGCGGTTAAAGAACACAAAACAACACAAAGCAAGCAAGCAAGCAAGCAAACAACATGTTTTAGTTCAGTCGAGCAATTTGAGTAGGTGTATCATTGACATATACCATCCATAGACCACGTGTTTGTATCGACATAGGTCCTAGCGTGTCTTCTCCTAGCCCGGGCGCCCCGAGGCCGAGTGGAAACTTTCCGAGGCTCGGTTCTCCAAGGCGAGTAGGCGCTCCGTGAACTTGAGCTCGTAGAGGCAGCCCCGGTAGCGTTCGAACTGCAGCTCCCCTGATTTGGGTCCAGCATGGGGACAAAATATCTATGGAGTTGTGTAGTCTCAAGCTTTTCTGAGAGATGATAAGCATAAACTATAACTATTGTTGACTGATGATTGGCATAAACTGTAATTATTTGGTGCCTCATATTCATGATAAACCAATTTTCGAACCACCCCTCGAGCCTTGCAGCGACTCGGACAGCAAGTCGAGGATGGGCAAATGGCTGCCCGCCGATAGCGCCTCGTGGCGCATGCGGTACCTGGGCAAGGCTTCACACTGCCCTCCGTCCCCGTTCACCCCTTGGAGTGTCTTATGTCTTATCTTACTCACAATAAGGGGTCAAAAGCAACTCCGAAATGGAAATTCAACCTGCTTAGGAAGTAGGTGATTTCACCGTTCCCAATAAAGAGGAGGAGGACCAAAACAACAGAAAGAACAACACGCCATCTTGAGAAGACAAGTCCACTTTCATGGACCCAATATTAGCTCCAAACTGTCAATTAAAAAGCAGCGGGTTGCACATTCCCACAGCTTCGGACGTTTCCGATAGTCTGTAGTCCTAACATGGGGGCACTCCAAAAGCACATCCCGCTCAGTAAAAGACTATAGGGGCTACCCGTGTCAAACAACGATAATTATAGCACTTGTTTTGACTGTGGCACACATGTTGTTGAACCGGTAAAATGAATTGGACCGACCCTAGCGGCTCACTCCCAGCAAAGGGAATCGACCGGCTGACTCCCAGCAAAGGGAATTGAACCGTCCCAGGTATTTTTGTTCAGCGTCCCTTTGGTCTCCTGTCTCAAAACCAGCCTTCAAGTTTGACACAGTCCCCACCTGGTGACTCTCGATTGCGTCTTCGACATACCTGGTTTTATGTTATTCATAGTACTGCCACTAAGGCGTCAAGAGCGACATTTATCACAGGGCTCGTTCGTGACCCTTGCCCGGAAGCACAAGGTCCACTTGGCCAGACTCAGACCCCCCAATAAAACAGTCAGCTTGGTGCTGGTCAAAAGGGAAAATGAAGGAGGGAAAATGAAAGGAAACCCACAAGGGCCAACGAAAGGCAAAGAACGGGTAAGCTAAATGGGCCCCTTTGTTGCCAACAAGCACTTGACATCGATCATTGGCCGGAGCCGGGACACCCATGCTGCAAGAACCGGACGATGCGCTGGCTAAGGTGAAGCGGGATGTCGTTGTAGATGAGGTAGCGTCGCAACAATCCTTGGGACGGTCCAGCTTCCACTTCCCCTTTTTCTTGAGGCAACCGCCGCAGGGCAAATAAAGCTGGAGTTACCACTGAAACTGGCAACAAGAGCAATCACCACCTAGAGTCTAAAGGGCCAGGTGTCTTTGCCCACTTGGCATGCTTCCGTGGGATCTACTTCTAAATAGTTGCACCCAGGTTAAGACAAAACACGGGTGCAGGGACCAATTAAAAAAGCCGTCCCCTGGTAAAAACAAACAACCAAGCTTGCACGAATCCACTTGTCAAATTACCCCAGGAATGACCTGAACCCAGATGTTCCCCTTTCATGAAAATTAACCACTCCCGGGCAAACCAAAAAAGGGGCCATTCACACCAAGTTCCATTTTGGGTTGTCCCGTTATCCCCTTTCCCTTTTCAAGTCTGCCTGGGGGGAGCGTAAATCGTGGGGACCTCTGCTTTCAAAAAGCATAGAAAAACCGTCGGATTTTCTACACAGAGGCCTGCTAGCCGAGGTTCGGAACTGCTCCATCTCCTCGTCCTTGAGTTTGTTCAGGGAGGACATGAGCGAGGTCATCTTACCTGAAGGGCGTGATGCTGGCACAAAAGTGCTGGACTTGTTGATTAGTGGGCAAAAAAAAGCCAGCGAAAACAAAGTTTTGTTGACTTACTTGTTGGTGAATCGGCAAAACAACCAACAATTGTTCAAAACAAGCCCAAATGGTATCCCCCACAGTATTCGCCCATTCGACGCTGAATCGTTAGCTACCGAGGCAGGTGAAGCTGAAAACGCGGCTGACGCTGAAATCAACGCCTGAATTCCTGAGGGCCTGATGCCCGAGCCAAATTCATGTGCATGCCAACGTTTCCTGCCTCTTGCTATTCCCCAGCTCTCGTGACGTCTTTCATTTTCCTAGCTTGTTCACGCGTGACACGTGCATGTAGTGGAGAGAGCTAACCGCTAAACTGCCTGGAAAGCCGTATGGCTATTTTTTCGGACGGAACCCGTAGTTGGATCGTTTTTCCCGCATGGTCATTTTTTGCTGGCCGTATTTGAGCCTTCAAGCGATTCAAACCAGCAAGTCAAGAAGAAATGCAGAGCACTGCAAAGCCCAAGCCCTCTCAAAAAAGAGGGCTTGGGAGAACAGTCATTGCGGAGAGACCAAACCTGGGGATAACGCCTAAAACGATTCCCGACCGAGAACCAGCAAGGTGAAAGATAAAAACGGCTCCACCGTCCAGCTTCCCCAAAAAGTGAAAAATCCAACCAAAAGATTGGTGCAGCCAAGTGACTAACCAAGGTGGAAAACGTCATCAGCGCCGTAAAAGCCGAGAAGATTCCTCGGGTCATTCAACATGCGATCGAGCATCGGATTCCAAAACCGAATGCCCACCGGAGGTCTGGGTTTACGGAAGTCTCACTTGGAAGTAAAACGAGCGAAAACCCATGGTGTAGGAATATATGAATTACTCGAGGATCTAACATGTAACAATGTAACCCCCGGGCACTTTTGGGGTCCCCGCCCTTTTTGAGCTCCACCTCAACTTGAAGGTAGGTGACTTCCCCTACTTGATTCACCTAGGTTATTCTAGTTGCATTCCCCCCCCCCCCCCCGATTCGGTCTATGGCCAAACACCTAAAGAATTTGGGTGTGCCAAAAGATAGCTTGGGAAATGGGGGATCGACCTGTAGAGAAACCCTAGAGGTGTCTGAAATCAGGAACTTTTTGGAGGATGGTTGAATGGAAGCCACAAGGAAACCATCCATTTTAGGGGTTGATTACCTTGAGGATACAGCCGGGTGGTGGAATGCATTTCTGTTGGCCCAAATAAAGATAAACCGCGCTAAAGAGCGCGTTGAACACGGAAGATGTAAGCAATCTTGGAAAGCACCCAAACGCCGAAGGAAGGGGGAGGAGGAGCTGGCAAAATGGATATGACGGTCCGACATTCCCCCGTTGATCAGGCACCAAATTGACGCCCGCCATTTAAACAAAAACATGGCGCGTTTCCTCTCTGCCTGAGTAGACCGCCCAAAAGAAGGCGCCACCTAGCGTTCGGTTAGGGTTTTGCAATCCCATTCAGCGAGCCATGGGAAGCCCATGGCCCTTTGTCTTGGCTCCCCAAATGGAAGTGTCCGCACAAAAGGGCACATATTACTTGTCCAAAATAAGGCTTGGAAGGGAACCGGAATCCAGGGGCCGCAAACCAAACGAAAGCCTTCGTGAGGGTCGCTCGAAATTTGACCAGAATCCAACCCAGGGCCGTGGGGTGTGTATCCCGATAGAAACATTGCCCACAGGAAAGTAACCTCACAATTAGCAAAAATGATTAAAGCCATCCTCTAAGGGGAAACATCGGAATTCAATCAGGGACACGTACGACACAAAAGAAAACATGTGTACGAGTTTTCGCTGGGGGACCCTTTAGTAGCATGATTTACATGCAAAGCTATGTCCACGATGCCCTATTAGCACATTCATAGCCACATGGATGTGTTTTGCTTGAATGTTCCCTTTTCATGTTGGATTAAAGGAAAACCAACAGGCTATCCGCCACTGTTTTTCTTTTTGATGGGGGGGGGAGGGTCCGAATCCCTAGCTTGACACATCTTGGCCCAAATCTGGGGCACCCAAAAAACACAGATTCTGGCCCATGTTGAGTCTACCCTAGAATAGAATGTTGAATTTGGTGGAGACCCCAGACACAGGAATGTTTCTCAGAATAGACCCCCTTTTTTGGTTGGCATTCGGAAATCAAAAGCAAGCCAAGACCACGGTTTTCACAACCCCCCCCGCCAACGCCCACCCAAGGGAAAATTCCCAACCCGCCCCGGTCTGTGGCAGGGCTCCGAAGGAGCGCTCGTAGGTGTTGGTGGGGTAGATGGCGATGCCCCCCACGCCCAGCTGACAAAGTGCCCAGTGGTAGCTCGTGGTGTACCTTTGGCAAAGAAAACGACCTCTCCCAAAAAATGGGTGGGGTTGATATGGTTGGTGTGGTTGGTGTGGTGGGTGTGGCTGGTGTGGTTGGAGTGGTTGGTGTGGTTGATATGGTTGGTGTGGTCGGTGTGGTGGGTGTGGCTGGTGTGGTTGGTGTGGCTGGTGTGGTTGATTTGGTTGGTGTTGTTGGTGTGGTTGGTGTGGTGGGTGTGGCTGGTGTGGTTGGAGTGGTTGGTGTGGTTGATATGGTTGGTGTGGTCGGTGTGGTGGGTGTGGCTGGTGTGGTTGGTGTGGTTGGTGTGGTTGATATGGTTGGTGTTGTTGGTGTGGTTGGTGTGGTTGATATGGTTGGTGTGGTTGGTGTGGTGGGTGTGGCTGGTGTGGTTGGTGTGGTTGGTGTGAGGTTGATATGGTTGGTGTGGCGGGTGTGGCTGGTGTGGTGGGTGTGGCTGGTGTGGTTGGTGTGGATGGTGTGGTTGGTGTGGTTGGTGTAGTGGGTGTGGCTGGTGTGGTTGGTGTGGTTGGTGTGGTGGGTGTGGCTGGTGTGGTTGGTGTGGTTGGTGTGGTTGATATGGTTGGTGTGGTTGGTGTGGTTTAGCGTGGTTGGCGTGGTTGGTGTGGTTGGTGTGGTTTAGCGTGGTTGGTGTGGTTGGTGTGGTTGGCGTGGTTGGCGTGGTTGGTGTGGTTGGTGTGGTGGGTGGGTGTGGTTGGTGTGGTTGATATGGTTGGTGTGGTTGGTGTGGTGGGTGTGGCTGGTGTGGTTGGTGTGGTTGGTGTGGTTGATATGGTTGGTGTGGTTGGTGTGGTGGGTGTGGCTGGTGTGGTTGGTGTAGTTGGTGTAGTTGATACGGTTGGTGTGGTTGGTGTGGTGGGTGTGGCTGGTGTGGTTGGTGTGGTTGGTGTGGTTGATATGGTTGGTGTTGTTGGTGTGGTTGGTGTGGTTGATATGGTTGGTGTGATTGGTGTGCTTGGTGTGGTTGGTGTGGTTGGTGTGGTTGGCGCGGTTGGCGTGGTTGGCGTGGTTGATGTGGTTGGTGTGGTTGGCGTGGTTGGTGTGGTTTAGTGTGGTTGGCGTGGTTGGTGTGGTTGGTGCGGCGGGCGTGGTTGGCGTGGTTGGCGTGGTTGGCTTGGTTGGTGTGGTTTAGTGTGGTTGGCGTGGTTGGTGTGGTTTAGTGCGGTTGGCGTGGTGCGGTTGGTGTGGTTGGTGTGGTTGGCGCGGTTGGTGTGGTTAATTCGGTTAATGTGGTGGTCTGGTTGGTGTGGTTGACGTGGTTGGTATGGTTTAGTGTGGTTAGTGTGGTTGGCGTGGTTGGCGTGGTCGGTGTGGTTCGTGTGGTTGGTGTGGTTGGCATGGTTGGTGTGGTTTAGTGTGTTTGGTGTGGTTGGTGTGGTTGGTGTGGTTGGCGTGATGGGTGTGGTTGGCGTGGTTGGCGTGGTTGGCGTGGTTGGTGTGGTTGGTGTGGTTGGTGTGGTTTAGCGTGGTTGGTGCGGTTAATGCGGTTGGCGTGGTTGGCGTGGTTGGTGTGGTTGGTGTGGTTGGCATGGTTGGTGTGGTTTAGTGCGGCTGGTGTGGTTGGTGTGGTTGGTGTAGTTGGTGTGGTTGGCGTTGTTGGTGTGGTTTAGCGTGGTTGGCGTGGTTGGTGTGGTTTAGTGTGGTTGGCGTGGTGTGCTTGGTGTGGTTGGTGTGGTTGACGCGGTTGGTGGTTTTGACGTGGTTGGTATGGTTTAGTGTGGTTGGTGTGGTTGGCGTGGTTGGTGTGGTTTAGTGTGGTTGGTGTGGTTGGTGTGGTTGGCGTGGTTGGCGTTGTTGGTGTGGTTGGCGTGGTTGGTGTGGTTGGTGTGGTTGGTGTGGTTGGCATGGTTGGTGTGGTTTAGTGTGGTTGGTGCGCTTGGTGTAGTTGGTGTGGTTGGCGTGGTTTAGTGTGGTTGGCGTGGTTGGCGTGGTTGGCGTGTTTGGTGTGGTTGGTGTGGTTTAGCGTGGTTGGTGTGGTTGGTGTGGTTGGTGTGGATGGCGTGGTTGGTGTGGTTGGTGTGGTTGGCATGGTTGGTGTGGTGTAGTGTGGTTGGTGTGGTTGGTGTGGTTGGTGCGGTTGGTGTAGTTGGTGTGGTTGGCGGGGTTGGCGGGGTTTAGTGTGGTTGGCGTGGTTGGCGTGGTTGCTGTGTTTGGTGTGGTTGGTGTGGTTTAGCGTGGTTGGTGTGGTTGGTGTGGATGGCGTGGTTGGCGTGGTTGGTGTGGTTGGTGTGGTTGGCATGGTTGGTGTGGTGTAGTGTGGTTGGTGTGGTTGGTGCGGTTGGTGTAGTTGGTGTGGTTGGCGTGGTTGGCTTGGTTTAGTGTTTGGTGTGGTTTAGTGTGGTTGGCGTGGTTGGCGGTTGGTGTGGTTTAGCGTGGTTGGTATGGTTGGTGTGGTTGGCGTGGTTGGCGTGGTTGGTGTGGTTGGTGCGGTTGGCATGGTTGGTGTGGTTTAGTGTGGTTGGTGCGCTTGGTGTAGTTGGTGTGGTTGGCGTGGTTGGTGTGGTTTAGTGTGGTTGGCGTGGTTGGTGTGGTTTAGTGTGGTTGGCGTGGTTGGTGTGGTTGGTGTGATTGGTTGGCGTGGTTGGTGTGGTTGGCGGTTGGTGTGGTTTGGTGTGGTTGGTGTGGTTGGTGTGGTTGGTGTGGTTGGCGTGGTTGGCATGGTTGGTGTGGGTTAGTGTGGTTGGTGTGGTTGGCGTGGTTGGCGCGGTTGGCGTGGTTGGCGTGGTTGGTGTGGTTGGTGTGGTTGGTGTGGTTGGTGTGGTTGGTGTGGTTGGTGTAGTTGGTGTGGTTGGCGTGGTTGGTGTGGTTTAGTGTGGTTGGCGTGGTTGGTGTGGTTTAGTGTGGTTGGCGTGGTTGGTGTGGTTGGTGTGGTTGGTGTGGTTGGCGTGGTTGGTGTGGTTGGTGTGGTTGGCATGGTTGGCCTGGTTGGCGTGGTTTAGTGTGGTTGGCGTGGTTTAGTGTGGTTGGTGTGGTTGGCGTGGTTGGCTTGGTTGGTGTGGTTGGTGTGGTTGGTGTGGTTGGTGTGGGGTTTGTGTGGTTTAGTGTGGTTGGCGTGGTTGGTGTGATTGGTGTGGTTGGCGTGGTTGGCGTGGTTGGCGTGGCGTGGTTGGCGTGGTTGGTATGGTTTAGTGTGGTTGGCGTGGTTGGCGTGGTTGGTGTAGTTGGTGTGGTTGGTGTGGTTGGTGTGGTTGACGTGGTTGGTATGGTTTAGTGTGGTTGGTGTGGTTGGCGTGGTTGGCGTGGTTGGTGTGGTTGGTGTGAATGGCGTGGTGGGTGTGGTTGGCGTGGTTGGTGTGGTTTAGCGTGGTTGGTGTGGTTGGTGTGGTTGGTGTGGTTGGCGTGGTTGGCGTGGTTGGCGTGGTTGGCGTGGTTGGTGTGGTTTAGTGTGGTTGGTGTGGTTGGTGTGGTTGGTGTAGTTGGTGTGGTTGGCGTGGTTGGTGTGGTTTAGTGTGGTTGGCGTGGTTGGTGTGGTTGGTGTGGTTTAGTGTGGTTGGTGTGGTTGGTGTGGTTGGTGTAGTTGGTGTGGTTGGCGTGGTTGGTGTGGTTTAGTGTGGTTGGCGTGGTTGGTGTGGTTTAGTGTGGTTGGCGTGGTTGGTGTGGTTGGTGTGGTTGGTGTGGTTGGCGTGGTTGGTGTGGTTGGTGTGGTTGGCATGGTTGGCCTGGTTGGCGTGGTTTAGTGTGGTTGGCGTGGTTTAGTGTGGTTGGTGTGGTTGGTGTGGTTGGCGTGGTTGGTGTGGTTTAGTGTGGTTGGCGTGGTTGGTGTGGTTGGTGTTGTCGGTGTGGGACCAACAGGACATTCGTTTAAACCAGCAGGTACACAGGGATGATGCTTCCTCGGCAGAGCCTTGCAAGTCCCCTCCCTCGCCCTCTCTACATGCGAAGAGTGGCTCTAGGGTGAATGTCGAGCTTGCAACACCCACACACACGTACACTTAGATGGCTTGGCAGTCTAAATGGTTGGCACATCTAGGCTTAGGCATTAGAGGGGGCTAATTAGCCGGGGGCACATCCATCTAGACGCAGTCAACGGCGCCAAGGCGCTGATAGGACAGGGTCCGCTCGACGAGGCTGGACTCCATGATCCAGCTCCTCTCCTGGCCGTCGCCTGAGAACGTCCCGGTCCCACGGTGATGTTTCAATGGCAAGGGCGCACCAAAATGTGGGTCTTTCTTGATGGAACCCCTGCTTGGTCGTATTTGCTTGAAGGGAAACCGAAGGGAAACCCACCATTTTGGTGGGGGGTGTTTTGCTTCAATCAGATTCTTAGACAACAGAATATCCGAGACCACAGAACTGTGGAGTCCAATCTCTTTTTTTGGCACTTTGGCACTCTTCAACGGGGGAAATCCAGCTGAGATCCTGGGGACAACCCAATGGCTCCAGACTGATCCGACCCCCCGCATTGCACTTTCTGGTTAGAAGGAGTAACGGAACTTCAAGGCAAAGTCTCAAGAAAAGGCGGACGTCGTACATGCGGTCCCATGTTTCATAAAATGAGTAAGCAAATCCAAAGAATCCAAAGCTGCATAAAAAGCAACCCAACGAACGCAGGTGCGCCACCCAGTTGATTCACACAGCTTTAGGTGTGTGAGATCATTTCTGTCACCACACACCCAAAACTCACGCCGCAAATCATATTAATATCTGGGAGAGATAACCAAAGCTCCCCAGCAAAGAACAAGGGAAAATTGGGCTGTCTCATGGATTTTGTTGGAATGTCGGGTTTTCTGTCCTTCTCGTCCTCCCAAACCAGCAGACGACCAATAATACCAGTTGCTCACCTGCAAAGCAGACTTACGGCGCCTGCACGAGCCCGTTGTGTTTCTTTTTTTGCTTTTCTGCGCGGGGGCATCCAGCGCGGGGGCCAAAAAACAGATTTCCCGTGCCAAGCAAGTCTAAATACCCTGTTTTAGCGGACAGAGGTTCCCAAAAGGAAAGGCTTTCGTCTTCTAAACCCTCCTGTGACAACTGTGAGACACAATCAAAGCCTGATATTAAAGGAGTCTATCCAAAACCTGCAGTTGCCCGGGTTTGATTTTGCTTCTGTCAGCTTCCAAGAATATTTGGAGGATACAGTTGGGTGAAAGTTCATGGCACAATTCCCCCCCATGTTTGCTTAGTCATCCTCTTTTCTTACCTAATTACCCAAATATATAAAGGGAACTGTGCCGTCTGTTGGGTGATCCTCAAGGGGTTCTAACAATTGGTTTGCAGTTGGATGCTACACGCTTTGTGCTTTGCAAGCGGAACCTGTTCATTCGGGCCAGTTGAACAGCTCCGGGGACTCGAATCTACTCTGGCCCCCGTGTAGCACTTCCCATTAAATACCTTGCTGCCGCGGCACTCTCATCACTGAGTCTGCCAATGCCGTACCAGGAGCACGCTATGAGGTGAGTAAGCAGAAGCAAACGGAATATGCCTCGGCTCGAAAAAGGCAACATGTGGAACGCCGCGATCAACATGTATAAAGTAACCGGGTGTTCCTTTGGATTTTGGTGAGTAACCCCCCTTTCTAGTAGTAAGTTTTGGTGATCATGCCGTATGCCTAGTGTCATGCCCTTGGCTACAGCAGCTGAGCAGTAAATATTGATCGCTGATCATGTCAAAATGGGTCTTGCATAGTCTCCCAATAGGGGGATAGAAATCCAAGCCGGGCTTCAATGTTCCCTTTGGTTTCCCTTGGGCTTCACTTAGCCTCCCTTGCGATTCCCGCGGGTTTCGGCTCAATGTGAAAGCAACAAAAAAAAGGATTCCCTGAAAAACGCAACCACGAAACTGGTTTCCCTGGAGGAAAGTAACACATGGCTGCTCTTGAAACCCCAAACATGGTCCTCTTGAAAAAAGCTTTGACATGTGCAAGTTGCTGAATTCACAAGCCGGTCCTGCTCGTGACGAAAGACAGTCCCCCTCTTCACGTTACTCCTTCACGATATTCCCATGGCGCGCATCTCTCGACCATTCCTTGAATTCAAAACAGTGGTTCAATTAGTTCGATTGCTTCACTTCGACTTGGGTACGGATCTGGGCAAATTCGAACAGTTCATAAACAGAAAACGCAAACCATCATGTTTGTTCAAACAGGATTGGTTTCATCTGCACGAATTTATGCAATTCACCCGAATGAATTGATGCTCCTAGTCCCCCACATCGATGAGCTGGTTATAATGGCCCGAATGTGGAGGTAGCAAAAATAGAACTGGAACGTCAAAATGGGCGACGCTGACTTGGCCCTCCACACTGGCTGGCAGGTATGCGTCAAACTGGTACTGTTCCTTTTGGTTCTTCCTTCAAACCAATCTGAAAAGGGTACGCTAAACAGAAACACACACGCGCGCGCACACACACACACACCGAGAAACCAACCTGGGTGTCATCTTGACGTCCTGTGTAAAGCCTCAACCAAAAACACCCCGGTTCTGCCACATGTCCAGTGCTGCATCGCAAGAATTCACTGCCAGGGTGCTCTTGAAGAGGCTGTACTGGATGTTGGCGGATTGAGATTGTATCTGCTCCTGCACAAAGGGTGCTGATTTTGCCGACCCCAACATGTCTCATCAATGTAAGGGGAAGGGGAAGGAAACCAGCCTCTTTCAGACCCCGATCTCCCGAAATGCCGCTTGCAACATGATTAGTTTGTAAGGCTCTTGCGACAGAAATAGCTCTAAAGGTCCGATGGAACTTTGATCAAAGGATTAATGACACCGATCAAACTCTCCGACCTTAAGGCTCGGAGAAATCCTGAGTTCAACTCGATGAACCCAGCCTGGATGAATTTCCGAGCGACCCTGGAGCTGTAGACCCAATCCGATCTGTGAAGAATGCCCCCCAAAATGGCTTGCACCCCATAGTTCCCGTGGCTGTATGAATCAACATGGTTGGCAACACACGGGGGTTGCGCTCTAAAGCCGTCCCCAAAGATGCCTGTTTGTTTCGTTCACGGAGAGCTTTAGGATAGTGCCATGAGGTCGGTGTGTGACGTATTGGGTTCCCAAACGGCAAAGGGTGCGGGAGAGAAACAAATTTCACCAGCATAGAGCCCAAATAGCGAAACAATCCCCAAAGTGCGCCTGCACCAGCACCCCCGGCCGTCAATCTCGCAAAACATGCGCCTGCACCATCACCAGCACCCCAAACAGCATCCCAAAACAGCACCTGGAAACCGGCACCCAAACTGCACGCGCCATCACCAGCAGCTCAAACAGCACCCCAACAGCACACGCACCAGGACCCCAAACTGCATACCCCCTAGCACCCGCCCGTCAATCTCGCAAATCAGTTTCCCTTCTTTATTAGAACTTAGAACCCCTGTAGCTTTCGGTTATCTGGGGAAAAAAACAATGGTCTTGCCTTCTCATTGCTAGGCCGTACTACTCCGTTCAGGCATCCTTCTCTTCAGACAGTCGGCAAACACCTGGGCAAAATAGTGGTGCCTGAAGGGAACGGGGAATCAACCCTTCCGCCCTTCCTTTCTAGACTGCTTCAAAAAAAGTCATGTCATCGACTACTTACAAAATCAGGATCATTTCTGTGTCCCGCACTTTGAAGGGCAGAGAACGGGGCGTTGACCAATGGAACCATGGGTCTAAGTCTATCTTGTGTTTATCACAACACGGAACTCGGATGAATTTGTTTGAACCTTGTGAGGTGTCTAAAGAGAACCATGCGTGAAAATAATTGGGAATCAACCCTTAGAACCATGGCCGGAAGGGCAACTGGCATTTGGTGCACCTTAGGTCTAGTGACCAAAGGGGGTAGAGGGCCAAAGGCCCAGTGCCTTTGGGAAATCGACGGGTTCTGCTAAACGCGAGAAACCAAACTGAAATCAGTAGAAGTCATCTATGGTTTCATTCCACAGGCGGGGCACAAGGCTCAGTGACGCCACATGGTGGCTCACCCAAAGAGGTCCCTAGCTAGAATTCAATTGGGTCCTTTCAGATGCTGCACGCACATGATCTGAAGCGACGAGCTCTTTCGCCGGCGAGAAACCGCGGGAAGCAGTCGGGCGCCTGCACCGCCTCGGACATTCGGCTGATCTTGGCCAGGCGCAAGATTCGCACCATGCGGAGAAAGCGCAGCAGGCGGACCTCGGTGCGGGATGAGATCCCCCAAAAAAAGATGACCAGGGCACTTGTTCGTTCCTTGCTTCCCTTCAAATTAACGGAGGAGCAAAGGAAGGTAGCAGAATGGGCACGAGACCCAAAATGGAAAGCTTCCTTTTGGTTTGCCTTCGAACAGGCTCCAAAACCGGGTTCGCTATAGCCCTGCTCAAGGAACCGCCGGTTCCTGGAAGGTCGTTGGGCCAACTCTGTGGGTAAAGGGGATGACGGCTGACCAAACTGGCTTGGAAGTGCGCCATCTCTCCCCCAAGCGTAGCTTCCTTTTCCTTCTGAGAAACTGGTCCAACCCCAGCGAAAATGGATAGCTTCTGAAGGGAGCGACCAGTGAAGCGAATGGGAAATGACCCCTGCAATTGATAGACCGCGCATGACCGCGCCAAAGAATTCATGTTGTGCATGCAGGGGCCCATGTCGGGGGGCCAAAGTCAACAACCCGTTTATTCCAGACAAAGCCGTATGTTCTGCATCCATGTACTAATGAATTACAAACTAGGGGTTGGGAAGGTGTCTTCTTCCACAAAAAGGGGGTGATCAACACCATTCAAAATAGAGGACCCACTATATCCTCTGTCCGATGTCCTGGAAGCGAACCATAAAAAGGGTCTTAGACGACGGCAACACCTACTCTTCAAAGGCCCCAAACGTCCACTTCGTGAAAGTTTGGTTGCATTGTTCAACCAAGCCTCTTGAATAGATCACGGGCTTTGACAATAGCTTGTTTGGGTCTAACATTTGTGCATTTGCTTGGTTGACACCCTGGGAAATGTCAAACACCCATCGCCTGTCCAACCCACAACCCCCTCTTTGAGGTCAGATGTGCGGATCGCCTTCCACGACGATGGGCTCTCAACAAATCAAACGCTCGCAGGTAGTCACGCGCAAGAAACAGTGGTGTAAATGGGTTCGATCTGGATCAATTTTGAGGAGCAGGGCTGCAGTGTCTGAAACTGCCTTGTTTCAAGGCTGCTTTAGAAATCAGTTCCATGCTTCTCTTAGACCATAGCTATCATAGCTCCATAGCTGGCAGCTCTCTCAGCCTCTCAGTCATCATTCGTCCTTATCGTAGCCAAGTGCCGTGAAACACGCCCATCTCCGACGGCCTTCTTTTAGACTGGAACTGCCATGCCAAGCACCCCAAACCGACCCGATAGCTGTCGTTGGGGAAAACTTGCTGGTTCTCAGTAGAGAATCAAGAGGGGATTTGAGAATGAATCTGGGGGATCCTGACAGGAAACCATGAGCGATTCCATACGGGCCATGCACCTATTCTGCTGAGAACCGGCAAGAAAATGAGCTCAAATTTCCTCTGCGGCTGTCATAAGTCCGAGTGGCCGTCTTCGAGAGGCGGTGTACGCCTTGCGCGTCGCTGTCCGTTGCCAGGAAGAGGATCAGCCAATCGAGACCTTGTTGGCGTGCACTTGGGTTAATGAGCCCTGGGCCATGTGGGGGCCTAACGGCCTAACTAATTACAATGAGGATGTGGGGTTAAGCCATGATCCAAAGAGAATCATACACGCAATTATGAGCAAGTTCCCAGAGGTATTATCCCCGAATCCCGAAAAGGCCGCATGACCAGGCCTTCTGACCATGATGTACTGGGATTCGGGCTGTTGAATTCAGGGATTTGGCAGTTGGTCGAACTGGCCTCCTTGCAAAATAAAGTAGTAGTCAGTTTGTCCGGAAAGAGTCATTTTGCGCCAATTGCAAACATGTGTTTCATTTTGGTCCGTGAAACTGAACATAGGCAGATGTTTAAGAGATCCCAGTCAGTACAGGTCAAAAGAAAGCACAGCCAAGTCTTGGCCCACCCCCAAGGCACACCGAACACAATATGTCATCCTTAGAATATAAAGCGAAACAAGAAGGAGACCCCAGAAGTAGGCCGCACCCAACTAAGGATCCCCCGGGTTGATGTCATTTCCCCAGGATCTGAGTACTGAGGCTGCCACTCACGACTGTGAGGTCGAACATGAGCCAAGACTGGCAGTAATTCTTCGCAATCCTGGGATTCGAAGGCTTCGCGGGGGTGGGGCATGTCCTTTCTGTTTGTGGGTTGCCCGCTAAGATCAACAAATGGAAAGGGTTGGGCAACACCGAACAACGCGACTCCACCAATTTGAGGGAATGAGCGAGAAGGTGCTGTACTGAGATGTTCCCTTATTTCCAGTTTGGAGTAAATTACACAGGGCGGGCTAACAGGATTCCAACCTCAAGATATATCCTATTACCGTCTCGCAGCAAAGCATTCTCGAAATCAGCTGGTACCATAGCCAACCCTGGGCAAGGGGTGGTCCTTTTGCAATGGCACTCGGTTGCCTCAGACGTGCTCGTGAAGAATTGGCCGTTCCAAGAAGCAGCTGCCACTTTTGGCAACACCTACCTCCAAGAGAAATCGAAACACCTCAGGTTTGATAAAGAGTTTGAAATTTCAGGGTTCAAGCAAGCTCCGGGACTTTTCGCAACTCCAGACTTCTGCCTTCGACGGCCTTTGACGCTGATGCAACTGGCTGCTTCTTCAGGAGTCTCAGACCGCTTCTGAAAGCGATTGACCCTTCCTGGGGGGTTGGAGAGCCTTATTTCCTCAATGAGCAATCAAAGCTGAAGCCTGATCCACACAACAGGGTTTCACTTTTGACTTCGTTCTTGGTTGAAAACAAAGTTGGACGTCTTTTTACAGAGGTTCTACACTGATAGAAGGGGCCCTCCTTTATTTTCCTAAGACAGAGGTCAAAAGGGCTCCCCATGTCCTCCACCCAATACGATTTGTCGGTTGCTTGCATCATTCAGGGCAAATGCGCAAAATCCGGGCGAACTGGCTGTGACTTTACCAATCAGGGACAAGCAGAGCGAACGTGCTGCTTCCTCTTGTAAGACATGGCTCAGCCGAAAACACGAAACCGTGAGCGGAGAAGGCAAGGCTCAAATCAAACAAGGAAACCCACTCCCCGAATAACCCGAACCATACATCGCTGACATGTCATGTTTATGATTTACTGGTGCCTGTGCAACAGAAGTAAGGAGTCCCAGCATGTCCGGTGAGAATCGGTATGTCATCAAGTTGGGCTGTGGAAGAGAGAATTGAATGCGGATGTCTGTATGAAGATATTGTAGGGGCACCCCTAAACACGATGGCGTTTGTCTTGGTGTCCGCTTAAAAAACTTGGAAAAGCGTGCCGAGCCTCAATAAGCCTAGCATGTAATGTATCCAAAACAGCCCCGGAACCTCCCCGAGGGAACCCTCCACAACCCTCCCTGAAAGCTGCTCTGAACCACTCCGACCCAAAAAGCCAGATCCAAGCGCGTCTGCGACCTGCACGCGCCCCCATAGTCTGCTGGGGCACTTCACTGGTCGCAGGATCAAGTTACCGTCTTCGTAGTACCCAGTCATGAAGGATGCAATGATGTCCAGGTTCCAAAACACCTGCGAAACAAAGCAGGTAGATCAGGCGTGTCTAGCTCTCATGGCCAGCCTTCAACCACCCGTAGGCCCCTTCAAGGGACAGAAGGTTGGTTCAACAGCAGTGATTAAAACATAGCAAGGCGTTGCCTAACCCTGAACGGAAGGCCGCTTGGCCGCTTGAGCTGCACCCAAAACCCGTTGACTTTGGGTTCTACCAACATGTAGTCATTCTATGACACCAAATAGTGACATAGAAGAACCATCTCAATGACCAATAGGGGTGGGCACTCACTTGCATTTTGCTCCAGGCCTGCGTGAACCAGGCCAGAATTTCCAGGAACAGGGCAGCGGGCATGTCGAAGAAGCGCAGCGGGATGACGATCATGTCATGCCTCAAAACGATCGGACCCGTGGTCAACACTCTCAACCTGTGGTTGACGGTCAGGTTTCCCTTTGGAAGGGAACCCTGACAAGGCCTGACAAGGGTTGCCTAGATTTCTGTTGACAGTTCCACGGTTTGACCATGGCACAAATGGGGGCTGTCCTGTTGGCACTTTGTTGGATGACAAGCTTGCTGCAAGTTGTGGCGGGCCTGTCTCATGAAGCTGGATAAAAGCAAATGGTGCTGGAAATAAACCACCAACCTGCCAATTGGTTCTTCTGAGCTGAGCCCTCCAAAAATGTTGGTTCTCCTGTCAACCGGTCCCAAATGATTAACTGTCCTTTTGCCACAAATGGGGACAGGCTTGGCACACCTCGAAGAAGTATTCACTCGTCGGGGCCCCATGCATGTTTCTAACAAGGTAGTAATCAAAGGACCGTCAGCTACGATTGTTCAAACATTACTTCTGCGATATGGTCTACGTTTGACATTTGTCTGAGGGTAACAAACAACCTTTTCACGAGCCAGCGCAATCAAAATGGCGCAGGCAATCGTGCTCTTTGTGCATTGCAAGGACTTTCAATTTTATGATTCAGATTGCTGTGTTTTCATAGGAAAGTCAGCTCAATCATAAAATTGGAAAAGCTTGAGAACAACGCGCGCCGTGCTTTTCTCAAAAGTTGCAAACTTTACTGTGTTTTGTTTTTTTCCCCTATGGGAAGTCTCAGTGAAGACAGCCGCCCCCCAAAGTCAACTTTACGATTTTCGTGTTTTTAATGGCAGGACCAGGATTCTGCAAGTTTCAAACGTTCTTCATGGTTCATGGAAGCGCGTCGAGCCAAGTGCGAAAGTGCACGAAACCACGAGAAAACAACAAACACGAAAACATATTGATTTCAGGGGCACGGGGTCGGCCCAAGGGCGGCCTCATTGGGCAAGGAATCCGCAAGAGTTCTGCCACCATTGTCATATCTTCTATGGGTACTGCAAAAGCACCAGCCACCAACCAAAGATGTTTCGCGCCAAACCACGAAAAAAGATGAACAATGAGAATCCGTCGACTTCAACGCCGCTGTGCCAAGTTTCAAGCACAAATGTTGCGGCGGGCAGCCTCAGTTAAAAAAAAAAAAAAGAGACATCACGAGAAAAACATGAAAAATCGCTGTTGCCCAGCTTCGTACACAAATTTCCCACCGCGCACGGGGTCGGCCCAGGGCAGCCCCTAGTGTTGCTATGCCATACACACAAAGGCATCCTTCAGACTTCAGGGACACCCACCTCCCCGAAGGCTCCCCTAGCAGAACTTGATCCAGGTCCAGGTATTTTCGGGGGAAAACAGAATCGGCCAGATTCGGGTGCCAAGTTGGCCGGGCAACCCTGAATCAAAGCCAGCAGGGGACCGGCCATTTTCAAGGCGTCGCCCCTGTGGGGCCCAAACAAAGCTAACTCCAAGAGTCTAGCTATACATGAACCCATGGCCATTTGTGGCCGCCAAAACACCAAAGGGTTCTTGCCAAAGGTTCATGTTCGCTAGGAGCTCAAAGAGGTTCACCCGCTTAAAAGTGAATCCCCACCACCCTTTTCGAAACTCATGTGGGGCTCATGCATTCAGCCTGAAAAACCAACGCGGCGGAGGTGCACCAGGAAAACCACTGCCAGGATATCCCACGCGTTGCGCAACGGCCGCCCAGGTGTAGCCACGAAACGTGCCAGCCCAGCCGGAGCCTCACTTCGCGGGCGAACGAGACGGCAGCGGGGACCTTTCATGTTCCATGGGAACTTCCTAACTATCGCATCAGCAAGCCATGATTCCCTTCATGTTCTTTTTTGCTCCCCCCCCTCCAACAGCTGAAAGCTATGGGGTCTCTGCCCAAATCGACTCTGGGGTGGTTTGAAGCAGACTTCAGGTAGGTTCCGGAGGGTTCTTTCGGAGCTGTTTGGGCTTGCTCGTTGTTCTTTGTACTATCGAGCAGTTTACATCACTAAGGCCACCGTAAGGAATGTTTAAATCATAGTTTTGCAAATAGCATAGACTGTATTCCCGTACGTGTTGTTCTTGATAGATATGCCGGTGCTATGTAACACAGCAAGCACTGGTTGAGTACGTGTTTGCACATATGATTGTCCCTAATATAGAGTGTATATCGCCTGCCTGCTTTCATAAATACTGCAATACGAAAAGTCCGGAAAATATGCAAGGTGTTGCTAGTTTGTTTTGATACAAGTTCAATTACAGTAGCGTGGTTACCTAAATGTCTTTGAGAGTCACAAATAACGACTATTCACTCCATGTTTTCATTGTTATGTAAAAAGCTTCAACTAATCATGGTTGGCCGCTAGCACAATAAAACAATAATTGTTTTGCATCTAAGAGCATGACATTGTCGCTTAAACACAGACCTTTTATGTGTTTATTCTCGATCCAATCATATTCTAAAATGTTAGGATGTCTAGAACAAAAAGTTGTGGTTCCTGTTTTCCCAATGCTAGATCTTGTCTACACTCCTTTTGTGGCATTGGCGAGGAACCTTATCATGGTTGTCTCAATTCCGTCTTAAGGGGTGTACAATCCCCACCAAGCCCAAGCCAAAGGCTGTGTTTGACCATTGCGCACATGAGGCACGGTCAAAATATAGTACTTTCCTATGGAGTGTATATATAATCGTTCGCCCAAGATTCATGGCCCGTGGGTGTTGGGGGAAATCTAGCGAGTCCCCCATGTCCCTCCCAAATGCACCACTACCTGTAATTTTGAACAAACCCTCACATCGTTTCCTGTGCTAAGTGCAGCCAAGTCGGCATCCTTGTTGAGGCCCTTCTCCTTGCAAGGGACAAATCTGCCAGGCAGGACAAGGACCAAGGTTGTAGGCATCGGGCTTGATGTGGTGTGTGTGTGTGTGTGTGCGTCTGTGTGTGATGTGTTGCTTGCTTTATCCCGACTTTGCTCCAAAACCTCAAAACCTCCCATCATCTGGCGGGGGGGGGGGGCGCTGGAAGACCATCCTCCTCTAGGGAAGATTTCCTGAGCTGTCCGCTTTTTCAACCATGCGATCCAATGCGATCCAATGATTCACTGCATCCAAGGCACACTGATCCCCTGAGTAGCTCCTGCCAAAAAATCAGACGCTGGTTTGTCTCCAAATTACAAACCCGTTTTGGGATAATTCAAAGAGAAACCTAAAGGAAGCGAAAAGCCAACCAACCACCTCGATGAAGATTACTCGAAGCGTGCTGAAACGCCAACAACAACACAAGAGACCCCTTATGAAATCCAGCTTCAGCCATAATATGGGTGAGTTAAACAAGGAACGCAACAGCTGCACAAAGCTGTTGCTTTCCTAAGTTGTCAACACCCCCCCCTCCCCGCCTGAAAAAACTAATTCTCATACTTCACCAGGGAAGCTTCATCAGGGATAAGCTCGTTTTACCCCCACGTAAGCTCCAGCAACATCATTGATTTGCCTATGGTTTACTTTCTAAAAACTGACAAAGATACGGTTCCTTGCCTCTCAGGGGTGGCTCCATTTCACCCAGGCAAGCACATCATTTTTAACGATTCCTCGGACTCTTATGGTTCTCAAGGAAAATTTACCTGACTGTGATACCAGAATGGGCCATGGGCCACTTTACCCCCTTAGAAGGAGACTCCCTTGGTATCACTGAAACTGGGTCTACAACGCGATCTCCCACCCTGAAACACGCGCTCACTCATCGCCTTGAGTAGAGCCTCGCGTCATTGCACCACGCGGGCTGGGCATCGGCCGTGTCGATTTGGAGGATCGTTGTTGCCAGCACTCGTGAGGAGCCCTTTGCGCACGGCCGAAATCGCACCACTTGGGTTTGTGGTTTTGAGCTGGTGCCCTTTCAGGGTGGTTTGAAGGGAAACAAAAAGGAAAGGGGCTTCACCATTTTAAGACACAGAGAGGATCAACCGGGGGCTACACGCAGAAATAAGCATTTGGAAATTGGAACTGGCCCAATTTCTGAGGGTCAAAGGGAAACCAAAAGAAAACCAAACACGAAGGTCCAATTACTATTCATGGAAAACCAGCCACCTGTGGGAACTTGTCGAAATCCGGTGGGCCCCTCAAATTGGCCTTATTGATTGTTAGGGACGCTTGCTAAAAACTTTCTGAGGGGTTGATGGCCATCTCTACCAATCCGACAGATTCTGAATGACACACAAAATCAAATGGAAGTGCAAGGCACCTGGCTCATTCCGGGAGGGCAGCAGGTGTTTCAACATGCCTTGCCAACTTCGGCTTAGTACATTCATTAAGGGGGGACAAGCCCCTCTTGGCGGGGCCAGACCTCAACCTCTTGCAAGAAGTGAAGATGCCTGGGTTGGTGCAAGGGAAATCAAGCCACCCAAAAGCCGTGAAGGGCAAATAAGTTTGTTCAGCCTAGCAATGCATAGTGACTGTAGATACGTTGTGTTGAGGTCAGAGATCGCTTCTTCGGCTGACAAATGGGCAGCTTGGAGGGATACCCCTTCAGCCGCAAGCTCTTCATGCCGGAGACCGGAGGGATGTCATAGTTGACCATGGCCACCCTTTGGCGAGAGCGTCATTGTCTTCTGCATACTGGCATGGAAGAGAGCTGCCGCTTGAGTCTGGGTCTTACCAGGCTGGCGCAAAGCCAGCTTCAGCTGGTAGGAGGACCGGAACGGCTGCCCACTGCAATGGCCCAATCGTGCAAAGAAGCCGAGCGTCTATGAGTTGGCACCCTCGAGCATGAGCACGTGCGCAGGCCAACGCCGCTGGTGGCAGGGCCACCTTCCAGGCCTCGGCGACTGCACGTCCTGCATCCTCAAGCACGTCCTCGTACGGCAGGAAGAGAAAGCAAGGCCGGAGGGGGCCTGGATGCTCTGGAGCTCGCACCACGCCTCCACCTTAGCGGCAACCTGCTCCGCGAGACCCTTGAGAAGAGGAGGGGCCGAAAAAGAGAGCTGCCAATGCAGGACCTACCCGGTCCAGTAGCCTGCCTGGCTATTTTGGCTTGATCAAAATGGCAAAACGGCAGGCACGCATGTTTAACAAAGCAATGATACCTCACCCACCTGCGCAAGCTTGAAGCATCTCAAAAACAACTGAACACCTAAGAAATCATGCTGGGAACCGCCGAGAAAAGAGACCACTGAAGATCTGGACTAGCAGTCCACCGGTTGTTCACCTGTTTCAGCACTCTTTTGCGCTCAGAATGCGCAGGACGGCCCCATGTCAATTCAAGCTCAGCTGCTCTTGCACCTGGCTGCTGTCCCGCCAAAGTGCGGATTACCCCAGGTCACAACAGCCCCAGATTCTAGAATGGCCGCAAAAGCACAACTCTGAGGTGTGATTTTTTTCGCTTGAATGTGACGGACGTTCCTCAACTGCTCTTGCACCTGGCCGCTGTCTCCACCCCAGGCTCGGCGACCCCAGGTCACACAAGCCCCAGATTCAAGAATGGCAGCAAAAGCACAAAAAGTCGCTTGGATGTGCTGAACATTCCTTTGCTGCTCCTGCTGTCTCCACCAGATTCTTGATCACCCCAGGTCACAACAGCCCCAGATTCAAGGATGGCTGCAAAAGCGCAGTCAGTTGCTTGGATGCTCTGGACGTTCCTCAGCTGCTCTTGCACTTGACTGCTATCTCCGCCACATTCTGGATCACCCCAGGTCACAACAGCCCCAGATTCAAGAATTGCAGCAAAAGCACCGATAGTTGCTTGGATGTGCTGGACGTTCCTCAGCTGATCTTGCGCCTGGGTGCTGTCCTCGCCACCATCTGGATGACCAGGTCACAACAGCCGCGGACTCAAGAATGGCAGCAAAAGCACTGACAGTTTCTTGGATGTGCTGGACCTTCCTCAGCTGCTCCTGCGCCTGGCTGCTGTCTCCGCCCCAGATGGCAGCAAAAGCTCTTTCAGTTGCTTGGATGTGCTGGACGTTCCTTAGCTGCCCCTGCACCTGGCTGCTATCTGCGCCAAATACTGGATCACCCCAGGTCACAACAGCCCCGGATTCAAGCATGGCGGCAAATGCTCTTTCAGTTGCTTGGATGTGCTGGACGTTCCTCAGCTGATCTTGCGCCTGGGTGCTGTTTCCGCCATCATCTGGATAACCCCAGGTCACAACAGACCCTCCGAAGCCATGCCCAGCAAATGCCCTGCTTGTGGCTGCGAGTTTGCCAAGCTGAACCGCAGTCACCACCTCTCCATTGGCAAGCCTCACTCAGCGCTGTCAGATCGAGCTGGCCTTCGAAGTGAGCTCCAAGCGGCGCGTGGCTGTCAGAATGCTGCTGCGCTGCAGCTTTTGGCTGGCTGATGGGCATCTGCGGTGAGGCTGCGGAGCAGCCATCTCCATTGGGCAAGTGAACATCGACCTTCAGGTCGCAGGAAGGTATTGCTGGGTGAACTCAAGCTACCAACACGAACCAGAGATTCACAAACATGTGAGTTTGGGAGAGTGTCAATCTCCTCTGAAGCCCTGTGGCTGAAGCACAAGATGTCAGCGGTCCGTTGGCAAACACGGCACAAATTCGCTCGCAAACCGAATCTGACCCCCTAAAAATACCATCGTTTAGACAAACTGAAGGCCATCCCACGCGTAGATTCGCGGTTGGGGAAATTCCTCCATTCCGTGATGCCAAAGTGAATTGATTCCTTGTCACTTTCCAGACACAAATTTGACCGCATGCTCTCACCAGGAAGACGCCTTTGCCTGAGACCGATCAACGTGCCCGTGTCAACCACCAAAAACGCTTCGGTGAACAGCGTGAATTGCCCTAAGAATGAGGGTTCCCTCAAAAAGACACATTCGAATGGATGGTTTGTTTCATGTTGGTCCCCGGGCCTAAAACACACATTGCGATTGCCAGCCCTCTCAGGTTTCCTGCATTTTCCCTTTCGACCAAACCGTCTTTACTTTTTGGGGGTCGGAATTGTCCCAAGTTTCGGGGGTTCCCCTTTGATGGCCCATGGGAAGGTTTGGAACACTGGTTTTCGAGAATCCACTTTTTGGTTTAACGGAAATCATGAAGGAAACCAGCCATGATTTCAAAGGGAAACTCAGAGGAAACCATGTCAACCCACACTGGCCATTCATTTCGGATCAGACGATTTTGAGTGCGGGTTCCACATCCCAAGTGTTGGAAAGAATCCCATTTGGAGACTGTTCTCTCTGGCCGTATCTATCGGCTCCAAAAGCGTCCAAAAGCCCCGCCGAGATTCCTAGCTGTCCACTTGGGGTTGACTGGAAATGATGATTTGGACGGCTACATTTTTGTTTTTCCTTGGAAAGCCAGCCACCAAAAGGCTGACAACAGACTCCAAAGCATGTGGCTGCCCTTTGGCATCCCTTTAGTTAACTGGGTCCGTTAAAGCGACATCCTTCAAAACTCCCCTCTAAATGGTGGTTTCACCGGAAACCACCGGCTTCCAAAACCACCGGCTTCCAAAAGTACGTCTGTTTTCAAACCCAATGTAGTTACTTTAAGCAACCGAGTGAAAAGTAGGCAGTTTCCCGTTGGCCCGCCCCTTAACACATCCAAAAGTTGCGCACCTCGCTCGATGTCACGGGAGAGAGAGAGAGAGAGAACGCACAAGAAGAGAGGCAAAGCCAATACTGATTGGGGAGCCACTAATAGGCACTAGCAGCCACTGTTAGGTCACTAGTGCTCTCCCTATGGCTCCAAATCAGTATACGGAGTTTCTCAAACTGGTGGGACCCCGTTCTGGCTGGTCTTGAAGGGAAGCCACAAGGAAACAATCCATTTTTAGTGGTATATTCTGAGAACCCCCCATATGAAGAGAAAGAAGAAACAAAACGTCCTGCACTCCAAGGCGCATATCCTCTCCCATAGACTCGGCCACCTCGCATCGATTCGTAAGATTCATTGGAATCCATCATCCCAGGGACTCGGAAATTGAAACGAGGTGGGCGTTTACCAAACATTACTAAACCAAACTGCTTCATAATCATGGGGCAATGTTTGTAATAATTTAACCGCCAGCTTACTGGGCACAACCTGTTAAACCCGAAAGGAGGATTCTCTACGACACAAACCTTTGGGCGGTCAAACCGGTTGTTTCCTCAAAGTCCGCAGCTTTACCAGAAGACACCGCGAAGCATGGGGACAAAACCGATTGTTGCCCTTCTTCTTTTTGGGGGTGGGGGGTGGGAGCTGCTTTCAAAGTCCTGGCCTTCGCACTGCAGGCAAATCAAATGGAACCAAACCAATGGTCTTCTGGCTTGGCTCAGGGGAATTTTCAGGTATGGGCTTTCGAGATATGGAATACACCAGGCATACACTGTGTAGGATTAGATTGGTAGTATAGCATCCATGCCTCCCAAACCTGTGCTGCAAGATACCCAGGACACAAGCTTCTCCCGGAAGCCAAGTGGATTTCCACGGGAAACAAGAATGACATGTTTGTTGGTTGGTGGATTTCAAACAAGGGAAACGGGAAAGGCAAACGCTGAGCAACTGGGGAAAGCTGTTTGGGTATGTGTTTGAATGCGGGACTGCGGCTTTCCTCTTGGCTTCCCTTCGAACAACCTGCAAAGGGTACCAGCTAGAAATGGCAAAACGATTCTCGCCGTTCAAACTTTGTTTTGCAGCGGCACTCTTGTTTGTGGTTGGGCTAAACCTTAAAATACTCAGGTGGGGATTGTGGTTCCTGATTGTGGAAACTACACCTTTGTGATACCACGGTAAGCCAACCCTCTTACTTTGTCAGGTCGGGGGGTCCCATGGTACACAAAGTGAACCTGAAAGCCAAGCGTGTGGCTCCCCATTTGGCTCTACCAACATGGATATAAAGGTGTTTTGTCTGCCTCACAATAATGCTGTCTAAAACCAAATTGTAGAACCACTAACTAAAACGGCCCTTTGGGAGTTGTTTGCTGATTTTTGTGCGGCTCAGCGGTTTCGCTCAGCTGTGTGTTTCTCAAAATACGCCCGTGAGATGGCTCGTCTCTTGTTGGTTTCCTTTTTTAATCAATTCAAATTAATTGGGGGTTGGGGAATGAACTGGAAATCAACCTCAGTATGGTTCAATTGGACGCCCGCTCCCGGCCTTCAGGCTGGCGATGCGTTCTGGGTGGGCGTGGTTCGCTTCGCTCACTTTGGCACTGCGGCGGCGGCCCACCGCGAGTTGGCACCGGAAGTCCGAGCTGTCTGCGACAGGCGCTGGGCTTCGAGAACATCACCCAGAGAAATCAGCCATGTCATACACATGATGCTTCAAGTCGTTTAGGGCCCGCTATGGAATGGACTTGTTGTTTGCCATTAAAATGGTCCAGACCCAAAATGTGACTGAAGTCCAGGCACTCAGGAAGTCATGTTCCATGTGTGTGTGTGTGTGTGTGGGTGTGTGTGTGTGTGTCTGGGTGTGTGTGTGTGTGTGGGTGTGTGTGTGTGTGCGTGTCTGGGTCTGTTTGTTTTTGAGGATGCCCTTTGTGGGAAAAGAACACACTGTCCATCTTCCGTGGTCCATGTTCCATATCTTCCATGCGAGCCGCTTCTGCTTTGTTGCCGGTCCAGTACAGGACGCTTCCCACCATGAATGTCCTCGTGCGAATCGTGGGTGGGCCTCGGATGTTTGAGGCGGAGAGCCATTGCTTCCTCATGGGCAAACTTATTTACCCCCTTGTAAGATCGTTTAACCCCCCATGCAATCCATTCAGGCTCTTTGCTTCCTACCTCTCACCGTACAAGACCCTACAAGACCCTAGAAGACTGCGACTCGCTGGAGCACATAGGTGAAAAGCGGCTCTCCTGGCAATTCTCATAGAAGAAAAAAAGATGCCCCGTTGTAGAAGAATCTCTTCGGGGTTCCATGCAAATCGTTCGGGAACTAACGAATCAACAGCTGATTCCCGACGTTTGGCAAAATGATCATTCACAACCGATGAAACCTTCATGGACCACCTACAAGGGGGGGGGGCCTATCCGTGACAAGCCGAAGACAAGCAGTAGTAGGTGATAGTCCCATCCACAGCCCACCTTGGAGGTCCATGAGCCTTGGAATGTTCTCCGGCGCCTACAAATCTCTGGGAATCGATCGTACCGTCGCGGAGGAATCAATCGGCACCGGGCGCGAGTCTATTGGAGTTCAAACATCAGGCGCACAGGCGCCACGCACGAAAAAAGCTCAGGTGTCGTGTCTAAACTTCCTGAAAGTTCCACAGAGGCCTTCGTTGCGCGGATCATCAGCGATTGGGCAACCTTTAGAAGAATATGTCTAATATGACAGTGTGTTATCATGAGAAGATTTCAGATGCAGAAGCGGTGAATCTCCAGTACACAGGGGGCTCAGACATGACAATGTGCTGACTCCCTCCAGCCCTTTGGAAAATAGATGGCACGGCAAAGTATTAGAAGCAAACTGAAATTAGAGCCATCCATAGTCAACCAAGCTCACCTACAAAGGGCACCTACTTCACTCAATGTGCCAGCCACACTTGGGACCAAGATCCAAGAGGAGCCCCTCCCACCGCTCTGCAGATCTGAGGCACTGCCCAGGAACCACCGCGAAGCCGCGCATGCTGTTCCTCCTCTGAGAGGTGCTCATGCCTCACGAGCTTCATGCAAGCCGCGAGCTGCACCCAGTGGATCCAGTGCCGACTTTGGGAAATGGGCATGTGTCAAAAGTAGGGAGGCACCAAAGTTTTGTGTTTTTACTTTTGGGTTCCTTTTAAGGGCGGGACCCCAACAACAAAACAGAACACGTAATGGATTCAAGCAGGGGCACGCGGACACGTAAACTGCAAAGATTGCCACCATGCCGGCCCCACAAGCCATGTGGGTCCGCGCGCCAGAAGCGCAGGTCCTAGGCGCGCACGCGGACCCCATCATTTCTGCAAGGCGCAGCCTCGAAACATCCGCCCCAACAGCCCGCCGTCGCGGCGCCCTTCGGCGGTCCGCTTCCGAACTCTCGCAACCACGTCGGCACCGCTGCCCGTAGTCACAAAGAGACGCAGACCCAAAGCGCGCAAGCCTTGGTGCCACACTGACTCCTGACGTAAGCGAGGCCGCGCCGTATGGGAATCGTTGGTCTGGCGTCAAGCGCAGGGGCTGGGCTACGTGGCTTGCACCCCCTTCAAAGCCTGATTGCCTGGGATCATTTAACTGCATGACCCAAAGGGATGGCACTCACCTCCCCTCCCCCCCACACGCGTCGCCCGTTCTACCGGTAGCTGCGCTCGCATTTGAGGCATACCCATGTGTCAAACCAGTGTTTACAAAAAGCCCTGGCGCCCTATGTGCCATACTGGCATGGATCGTGTCGGGACGGTAGATCAGAAAAAATATATATAATATATATATATATATAAGATTTCCCAACCGCAGACCCCCTAGAGCTTTCCATCCCCATGCCTTAGAAAAAGCGCTGATCTCTCTTTCTTTGGGTTCACCAAACTGTCAGGGGCAATATTTGCCTTCTGGGGCAATTGCGTATGCTTTACGTCATGAGGCAAACATGTGGTGCATGTTTTTTTTCTTCCCCAGATTGTGGCTTCTCAAGATTTTCAGATTCTTCAGATTGTGGTTTCTCCAGATGTTCATATTTTCCAGATTGTGGTTTCTCCAGATGTTCCGATTTTTTCAGATTGTTCTCCAGGTTTTCAAATTTTCCGATTGTGATTTCTCCAGATTCTCCAACTCGATATGATTCCTGGACATACTTGAAGATCTCAATTGACCAGAGGTGCAAGATCAGATTGGTAGCTGACTTTGAGTCGTGCGTCTGGTTCCGCAAAACCACCAGCAGCCATGAGAAGAGCATCGCCGTTCAAGTCCTCGAGTTCTCGCTTGGGCGACGACAAGAATCTAAGACTGATGACTCCGGAGGCCCCTCATCCTCCAAATCTTCGAGAAGCACTGTAGACATTCATCCAAAAGAACAGCACATTCCTGAAGTGTGGTGGCATCGGACTCGGGATCAGAACCACACTATGGCGAAGAGGCAACGATGGATGTGCAGGATGTGGACCATAAGTGGGAGACCGAATCAGAAAACGGGATAGGACGGAAGGACAAGGATATGCCTACCACCTACTCCAAATACCCATTTTTTGAGGGTAATTGTTTGAATAACCTGGGTTTCCATGGTAAATGCCTTCTTTTTTTGTAGAGGGTCGACATGATACCCTACAAACAAAGGGTATTTGGAGTAGGGGCTATGCGGAAGAGGAACGACCAAGAAGAAATATTTGTCCTCTAACCCAGCAAGGACCATGCGAAGAATAATGAAGCCATACAATTCAGCTGGTCCAGCTTCTCAACTGGACACCAGCATTGACGGGATCGCGCAGTGACTAGAAATCCCAGATGTATTCGTACAAGTGGTCATGGACCTCACCGTGAGAACTGTTCAGAAACTGGTTCGCCGATGGAAGGAAGCACCGACATCTAAGACACGCACAGCAGATCTTGATGAGAAGAACGCAGAGGGACTCGCATCCTTGATCCTGTTGGGAGTGCAAAGATTGAGCAGGATGTTCTCAAGAGCACTCCGACATGAAGGCAGCTTCGAAGTCACAGTTGCAAGAGCTGGATCCGCCAATCTACGTGAATTCCTCAACTCGCTTCAACTCGCTCAACAGGGCATTAAACTTATGCTAAGAGAACCCGAGCATCATATTGATGACCATGACGAGTACAAGGAGAGATCCAGCAATAAGGAGACAGTTCCACCACACCGATGGATCAGCAATTGCCACCACGTTGTCGAGATTCGAAGAGTTCAGCACTCACGCCGAATCGACATGATTACGAATCACTCGAAATGGAGGTATATGTCAAATCTATGTCCGGGCACACCAGAGATGGTGACAACAGACATACTTGGTCAATCCATTGGGCAACAAGATGAATGCTGAACCTGGAAAAATGACCAGCCTCAGGAAGACGTCCCCGTGGATGTCAGTCTTCCAGAAAAGAAATCCAACGTCGTCGAAGAGTTCTCAAGGAGGAAGATTCCAGGTCCGACGAGCCGAGATCGTCGAAAGACAAGATCCGTCCAGAACCGCCATTGCCTGGCCGAATGAAATCACCCGCTGAATTGTATGAGCACGATGAACCATCCAGGCCATTCTCATCTCAGTATGAGATTGCCTTCATGGCCATGCCACTTCCCACACGAACTTGAAAAAGATTCTCGAGTCAGATTTCCTGAAGCCACGACAGGAACTTCACGAGAAAGGCAGAGTTCACATTCACATGGCATGCATAGATGACTACATCGTTCCCAAATACCTTCCAGACATGTCCCAGAAGGAAGACAGGCGATCACCATCATTCCAGCAAATCCAACTCAATATCCGAAGATATGCAGCTGAAAGTTATGCCGCGGGTATCCAAATACCATTGCGATGTCATGACAGGGGGCTTCAAGAAGACGGCCAACTCACGATCGAAACTGCAGGAAACATGCAGCCCCAACAATCTCGGATTGATGAGCGCCAATATGGAGGAAATGAAGTACAGGTTCAGCGAGTACTGCGAATTCCATAGCGACAGCACTGCAAATTGGATCGACATCAGCTTCCAGTCCGCAGCTACACTCGAGGATGCGGGACGTCACATCACACGAGAGGACCTGTCCTGACTGTGTGTCTACATATGTATTCCGATTCCGCCGGGTAAAGACCTAGCTCAGCGACATCGACAACGATTGTCCGAAAGTCTGTCCAAAAACGAACGCAGGGATATGAGTGACGACCTTGATCGAGTGTTTCAGAGCGACAAGGTCAATCACCGAGCAACATTGGACCAATGTGATGCTTAACTTATGAATGCAAGATGCAATGCACATGCAGATTGGCATCTCCCACCAAAGATGGAACAACCGAATGTACTACGATACAACAAACCAACTGGATACTGCCTCGGCCGCTACAATTTGTCTTCATGCCTTTTCGAAATCATTGCTCATATCCAAGGACTTCGGCCACATGAATTTTCTATATGAGGCAGGCAATCCAACGCTTCACACGGCCGAAGACACAAACAGAGTGTCTCTCTTTTTGCAGCACACTCATTTGAGTCGAAAGAGCACTTGAGTTTAAACTTAAACAGGAAGTGAGGAGATATTTTCCTTTGTCGTGGCTACGGCACATTTCATGGCTACGGCATAGAACAAAAGCCTTGCTGCTGCGCTCAGTGAGAGACTCAAGAGAGATTTCATGTCAGGATCGCCCTTGCGTCCTCACATTCTCCATATCAGATATCCCGTTGTCGTTCAGAAATAGATCCAGGGATATACATGCGCCGGGTACACAGGGCCCGTACCCTCATAGTATCGGTCCACCACCTCCCCGCCCCGGACAAGGCATCTCGACAAACAAACGTGCGAGGTCACGAGCAGACCATGTACCTTTCTTCGGCTCCCAACAAGAGCCCTGTAAATAAATCACCCTGCCAAACCGAAACTCACACATGCCCTTGAATCATCCAACGCAAAGACTTCGGACGACAGGGTTGCTCCCGCTCAACGCTAGTAAAAAAAGTGGCCAGGAAAGGAAAACAAGAAGACCCCCATTCTCGCAATATCCACATGAACCTTATCCTCAAAATTGTGGTTCCCTTGTAGTCTGGCAGGCAATCAGGGTGGCGTTTTGAATGGCCAAAGCCCCAGATCCACCCCGCGATTTCTCTCACCAGTGCGTGGAAGAGGAAACCGACCCCGAAAGTCCCCACATAGACCAGAACAAAAAGGGGACCAAAAAGAGACTTCGTGAACATCGAAAGTTCGGTGTGAAGATCGCTGGTGATGGGAACAAAGATGTGGGGGGGTCCCTTTAAACCAACCTGCAAGAAAAATAACGCTTTGCCAACCCCGCCTGATAGCGCACCAGGGCTGGGAACCGCAGCCAAATCCAGCTCGTGCGCGGCCTGGCATGGGGAAGCTGTTCGGTCGGAGTTCTAACCAGTAAAAGGAGGGCTCCAACCACAAAAGGGATGCAACACTGGCTCGACCAAGATCATGTTGTCTTTAATAGCGCAGCACGATTGAGCTAAATATGAAGCAGGCCTGGGATTTTTGGCAAGGCCTATAAAACCTTCATAACAGTGTTGGTAGAACCAAAATCACTCGGTTTTGAACAACCAGTGGTACGGCGGCGTCAGTGAAGCCTCAAACAAATGAGACAGTGGGGGAGGAGACCCCAGACAAAACCAGGTGGTTCCGGGGTTCCGGACAGAACATGCAGCGATCGACCGAACACTTCGTGCGCCTCCTCGGGAGGGACAACGTGGCGCCTGAGGTTGGCAGCCGTGGTAGATGGTTGATCCTTTTCATCCCTTTTTCTTGTTGTGCTTTGTTGGAAGGGAATTCACTTCAAGACTAGGTTGGTGGCTTTCAACGGAAAGCAACCAGGCTCCGTTTTGGATGGGCCCCAACCCCGAACTTGAAACAAAGAGATGGTGTCAGAATCAGGGATCCCCATGTCCATTCTCACATGCTGTGGCACTTTGAGGAGATGGCTTTGAGTTCAGGTTGCCGTTCGAACCCCCAGACAAGTTTGTCACGGGGACGGAAACACACCATTTGGGAGGACTTGTCCACAACAGCGTGGCCAAACCACTTTGGAACGGCCAGGGTGACTTTTCCGCAACAGTGTGGCCCGAAAAAACACCGGTGGCCCACAACAGAAAGGCACCGGTTGGCAGAATGCTGTATCTCTAGGTGTGGTTTTTAATTCTCTCCTTCAGGTGCCCATTTGTCGTGCGACCATTGCGACCCTAAATGGGGACGGGTGCCTGAAATTGAATGAGGCTCACCTTGTGCCACCAAAGTTCGGCGCCACGAATCCATGCCAGTACTCTAAGTGGCTGACGTCCCGATACATGTGCTACACTGCAAGCCTGGAGTTTCGCGTTCAGTCTCTGCCTTGGAGTGCGTGTTCAGCGCTGTGCTGTTGTTTGAGAACGGTGAGCTTTGTGATTTTGAAGGAAGAAAACCATGTCTTGTCAAAACAGCCCAGCAACAATTCGACTATCGCTCTGGCTCTACCGCAAGTGCGACATTTCTTCGACTACCCTGCCTGCAATAACTGACGGCAAGTAGGCCGAACAAAAGACAATCCAGCTATATGAGCATAAGTTCATTGTGCTGCCACTGCGTCAGAGCCTGGAGCATTCCATTGCTATTGGCTTGCATCACCCCGTGCTCCGGGAAAGCAAAAGGAAACCATCCATTTTAGGGGACCACCGTCGGGTGTTTCGAGCATGGGCATGCCAACCTGCCGTCCCAGGTACTGTGACGGAGTCAAGCAGGGCGTCATGGCCGTAAGGCTCCTTCGAGACTCAGACCTGCTTTTGCCTGGCGCGCAGCCCGGGCTGTGGGCCCTCGGGCAAAAATGGGAGCCCCATGTCAGCGATACGAAGAAATGAAACTGGTGGATGATAGCAATCTGCCCGGAGAAAAAAACAAAAAATGGAAAACGTGGGTTAAAGGGGGAAGTCTCCCCCAAAAATACATGGGTCCTTGCTCGAACCCGACACCCCCTGATCAAACAGGGTGGTCATCCTAGATTCCCGTTGCCAGAACTGTATTAAGTTGCAGGAGCGCCCAGTAACTCATGTGGGTTCCCCTACAAAAAGCAAAGTTTGCTTTGACACTCGGCTTCATGTTTTGTTGCTCACATGCGTACGTGGTTACAAGTTGGCATGAATGTACAGCCATCCTTGCTCTCGGAAACAGGGAAGAAAAACGCCAAAAGAAGTGTACCCAACAGCTAACTGGATGTGTAAAAATAGGAACACACGATGGTTTCCCTTACTTCAAACCAAGGCGAAAATGCCACACACACACACACGCACGCACGCACGCACACGCACACGAACACGCACTCACACACACACACACAAACACACAGACACAGTGAGAAATCACTGAAACCCCCACCCTTCAGCGCATTTTGGAGTTTAGTCCCTGCAATTGCAACACTTAGGCAGGGCTACAACCCACTCCCAAGGCGCGTCGCCACGCCCTGTTTACCGCCAGTTGCATTGTTGAACCGGTCAGCAACCTGGACTGCGAAAGTACGCGGGAATCCCAGGGTGTGCAACAAAAACTGAAACTGTGCGCAAAGCCAAGGTCGACTGAAACGCCCAGCTACGCATGTCGTTGCATCACGGCAAGCTGGCAGGGCTGGAGACAGAGTCGGCTCATTCAAGCCTTTGAAAGGGACAAAACGAGGCACTCAAGCCGTCAAGCATGGATGAGAGGTCACAGCAGCAACTGCGGAAACAGTCTGGGACCTCATGTAGGTCGCTGGGATGAAGAACCTTTCTTGCCTTTCTTTCTGGTAAACGGCCCTTTCACTTTCACGGGAAATGATCCGTTCTTGCCTTTGTTGTGGCAACAATCCTTTTATGGTGGGAAACAACCCTTTCTTTTGTAGGAAATAAGCATTTGGAAAATCATTCGTGTCTTCCTGCCACACCAGAAAGTACACCCCTCTCAAGAAGAAAGCGGCAACCCACCCCCACCCACCTACCCCTCTCTTCCAATGGCTTGGATGGTGTCATGTAGGCAGAGTGTCTGGGTCTTAGCACAAATCTGGGGCACACAGAACATGCCAAAATTCGTTTGACAGACAGCTGCCACGAGCAACCAGGAACATGTTCACCAGACAAAAAAATATTACTTTCAGATTCCGCTTCATATTCTGCCAGTCTACCCTAAAATTTAGGACACCCCACGGGTGAGCTTGCCGGCACTGGAAGTCACACACTCTCTTGCAAACTTGCAAGCTGAAAATGTGGTCGTCCCGTTTTTTAGAGGGGGCCTGTTTTTGGGGGTAAGCGCACCCCCAACTTTCGCAGAAAGAGGCACGAATGGTAAGACAGTACAGCAACTCGTGAGCATATCATGCGAACAAACATGGTTTTAGTTGTATAGTCATGGGCTGTTTTGCGTGTACAGAACAAAGAGCATTTCGGCAAGCTATCTTTGTTCGCAGCATAAGAATGAAAGTTGCAAATGGAGCCAGGTGGGATTGGGGAGGAAGGACGCCTGAAGATGTCAAGGTTCATCCCACGAGAAAAAGAAAACACCATGTTCACGCTCAACTGTTGAAAGTCGTATAAATTAGAGGCAGGATCTACCATCTCAATAGTTTGGAAGCCAGTAAACAATACCTTACGTGACCTCAAACTGGATTGTGGCGCGATAGTCACCCTTGTATTGAGCCAATACGTTGCTAGGAAATATGAATGATACAAATGGGATTTAAGCATGCAATGGAGCAAAATGGTTGAGGATGGAGATGAAACTTGAACGTGCTAGCCTTCATGAAAAGACAACACTGCAAAGACTGTAAATGTTCACTTTTGAAGCCATAATGTTAAGAGGCAATACCTACCATCTCGAGAATTCGGAATCCACCACAAAAGATCACGAGACCCTAAAGCTCAAATGAACCCACACAACAAATCGAGAGTTTCCCCTGTGCATTCAGCAGGAATGTTGCAAACGGAACGGAAGCATGAAAGTGGGGTTGGGGATGAAACTTGAAAATGTCAAGGCGCATCTAACCACAACACAACAAACATGCTAATGTTGGAATTTGAAAGTCAAGAACATTAGAGGGAAGATGCATTCTCGCGAAAATTTGGAATCTGCCGAAAATCGCTTATATACGAGACCCTCAAGCTAAAATGCGGCGCGACACCTGCAAAGACAAAATTTGCGAGAGTTCACCATTGCATTGAGCCAAAATGCTGGTAGGAAGCATCAAAGGTCAGAAATGAAATTGAAGCAACTAAGGGAGTAAAGCGGTTGGGGTTGGGGAAGACACTTGAAAATGGGAACGTTCATCCAACGGTGATACAGCCAAAATTGCAAATTGTACAATGTTGAAACTCAAAAACAATCAGAGAGAAGATCTACAGTACCATCTCGAGACTTTGGAAACCACCCAAAAAGGGGCATGAGAGCTCAAAATTGACATATGGTGCGAAACCAAAAAATGTGAGTTCCCGTTGCATAGGGACAAAATGGTGGTAGGAAGCATGAAAGTCACAAATAGAGTTGAAGCATAATTGGCATAATACCAGGAAGTAAAGCCGTTGGGTTTGGGGCTGAAGCTTGAATTCTTCACGGGGTATTCACTGAAAGAGAGAGAGAGAGAGAGAGAGAGAGAGAAAGAGAGTCGGTGCTAAAACCGAAGTATGGAGATGAGAGGCATAGCCGACTATGAAGCATACGCGCACCGAGTGTCCCACAAGAACTTCGGAACAAGACCTATCTGGGTGGAACGGCTTTCAAACGCAAGAGCAACAAGGAGGGATCCGGCAGAAAGCAGACTCAAAGAGAAGCGTGAAAAGCGGAGCGAGGCCTGGCAGAAAAGCGGCCAAGAGAGAGGCGAGAAGAGCTGATAGAATTGGCGAATCGGCGAATCAGGCCTTGTCAAGCCCGCGGAGGGGAGTCGGTGAGAAAATCTCAAAGGTTTGTACAGGAACCCAAATGCAATGAAGACCTTAAGGTTGCCAGCAAAGGGCTGCCTTTCGTGATCTGAGGTACAAGACAGAATCGGTCGGCCTGAGACTCCTTTCGGTGCCCACCCCTGAAGGGCGAAAAAAGCACTGGGACCTTTCTGTGGTGCAAAGATGGGGGTATCCCTGTGACTACTGTGCCACTTTGAAGCAGAATCCCGGATCCCTTTGGAAACTGAGAACCTACAAGCCCAATTTCCGCCAGCATGACATAGAGCATGTTCCACCTCGAGTTTTCAACCGAGTTCTCAATCACAGTTTTGCTCTTGCCTGGGGATACGGAGGAAGACTCGTCGTCCACGTGAATGGGGCCCACCTGGCAGAAATGTTTCGCCGCCGAAAGCTGAATTGCAGGGACCGGTTCTTGCCACAAAACCCACCTTTAAACGTGGATTTCAGGGTCAAATATCCAATGCTGGAAACTCAAGTCCAAAAACGGTTGGTGCAATGTTTCAAGTGCAAATCAGCCGCCTTGGCAAAAAAGAGCAAACTGCGTGGCAAGATGCCACAAAAGGGCACCTGTTCAACCGAGTTTCCTTCGATCGAAGAGGGACTTCCTTGAAAAGCGGGAGTTTCGCTGCTTTTGTGCTTCGAAACGGGGGTCGGCGCTGTTCAAAAGCCGTCTTCCGCCGAGACAATCCAATGCCTCTGATTGTGAGGAAATAAAGAATCGAGTTTAACCCGGAATTGCTATTTAGGCCTTGATTGGTTGGTTCGCCTCTTGTTTAAAACCACCAAACGACAAATACACGGACCCTGATTTCCCGACTTGCGCGAGTCGGATTTTCGGAGTTCGGCCTCGTGAGACTCCTCGCCGGGGAACTTCAAAGAGGGGCCGAACCTGAAATGGAAACGTGCGCTCTCACTTAGTCACTCCTGTGGATCCCAAAAACCTCCAAGCTTGTTGTCGTTTGCCGCTAAAATGGTCTTCCCGAAAAGTGGCTCAAGTCCACGAACTTAGGAAGTGAGGGAGATTTGCGACCCCAGTCATTGAAACCTTGCGGTTGCCCTCCCCTCAAAGAGCAAAAAGCAGGAAGGGTCGTTCGCCAGTTCGCCAAAAGGGTGCCCTTGCTCTTTGAACCTTGTGGCTTGGGGAAATGCAGCTACGGAAACGGACTAACATTTCCTGGAGCAAAGCTTCCGTCGACTTCGCAAACCTCAGGGGGTTGGTCAAAGAGAAAACGTCGCTTGGGAGCAAAAGGGTGCCTGGATGGTCCCGGTTGTTGAACAAGCTCATGGCGGGGGAGGGGTGCTCCATTGATTGTCCCTGCGGTCACAAAAGGGTTGAAACTATCGCATGAAGGTGTTTAAAAGGCCATAGGGTGGCTCTTCAAACACATAGGTGTTCTCCAAAGTAGGGGACAACCAGAATGCCCTTACTTAGTAAGCAAATAGTACTTCTGGTCATAAGCCGTTGACAACAGCTTGGCTGCTGGTTATACAAGCATGGTGCTTCGAATTGTAACCCATTTGGCCATGAACCTCAGCATCCGCTCCGCCGCGAAGGCGTGTTCCTTGATCTCCAGCTCCCAGCACCTCAGCGAAGCCGCTTCTCGCAGGCGGACGGCGGACCCGCCGCTCCTCTCTCGGTAGGAAACCAGCTACTTTCGGGAGAAGCCGAATGGAGTTTTAGCCCAAGTGGTTGAGTACCCAGGTGCAAGTGAAGCCCGGAAAGCCGGGGGTCGAAAGTTTCCAAAAACAAAAAACAAAAAAAAAAACAACTGAACGCATTTCCCCTTCCTTTCCTTGCCATTGTCCTTTTCCTTCGCCTTTTTTTCCTTTCCCTTCCCTTCCCTTCCCCTCCCTTCCCTTTCACTCTCTTGTCCATTTCCTTTGCCTTTTCCTTTCCCTTCCCTTTTATTCTCTTGTCCTTCTTCTGTTCCTGTGTCTTTTCCTTTCCTTGAGTTTCCTTGCCTCTCCCTTCCTTGCCTGTCCTTTCCTTGCCTTTCTGGATTTCTTTCCCTCCCCTTTTTTTCCCTTCCCTTACTTTTCTTCCTTGCCTTGCCTTTCCTTGCCGTTCCCTTTCCCGTTCCCTGTCCCTTTCCCGTTCCCTTTCCCTTTCCCGTTCCCTTTCCCGTTCCCGTTCCCTTTCCCGTTCCCTTTGCCGTTCCCTTCCCTTGACTTTCCTTTCCTCTCCTTCCTTTCTCTCCATTCGGAAACTTGAGCATCGCACAAAACAAGTTTTTTGGAAAAGACCGATTGGTCCGGCAACTTCATGTTTTGAGAGCGACCAACCAAAAGTGTGCAGAAGGTTCACTTGGCGAAGATCCGACAACGTGAAAATTGAAAAAGAGGAGTTTCTTGAGATCGAACAACCAAAAGTGCGAAAAGGGTTGATCTGGCAACTTGAAAGTCGAAAAAGCAACCAGGCTGTTTAGGTCGACCCCACCGAAAGTGCGAAGAGGTTCACTCTCTGAAGGCTGCGAAACAGCGCGCATTGCCATTCCAATGTGTCCGACGGCAACCCAAATTGACCCAAACCCGAGCAAACCCCGAGCGCATCCGCACCCACGCGGTTCCCCTCGCGACCACCGACGGGAACCAAGTGCTGCACTGCCACGAAATCCGCGCCGCTATAGCACTTTCTTTCTAGGTCAACCAACCGAAAGTGCGCAGCAGGTTCACTTGCTATGTCTACGCCTTGGCTCTGCTACGTCTTTGCTTTCCTGTGGCTTTGCTTTGCCTTTGCTATACTTTGCTTTGCCCTTTGCTTTGCTATGTCTTTGCTTTGCTTTGCCTTTGCTTGGCTATGTCTTCGCTTTGCTTTGCCTTTGCTTGGCTATGTCTTGTCTTTGCTTTGCCTATGCTTTGGTATGTCTTTGCTTTGCTTTGCCTTTGCTTTGCTATGTCTTTGCTTTGCCTTGCCTTTGCTCGGCTATGTCTTTTCCTTGCTTTGCCTTTGCTTTGCTATGTCCTTGCTTTGTTCTGTCTTTGCTGGGCTATGTCTTTGCTTGGCTGTGGCTTTGCTCTGCTGCGTCTTTGACTTGGGATTCAGCTTCTCTCTAATTGGTGATTTGGATTGGCTGTTTTGGATTGGTGGTTTGGATTGGTGGTTTGGATTGGTTCCGGGGTGGCTTCTCCATTTACTGTCCACAAGAACCAGGACTTCATTTAAATCCCAAACCACCAATCCAAACCGCCCACTAAGGGTTGCCTACAAAACATGTGAAAAAGGAAAAGCACGACCGCGCTATTTGGGCTAGGAAGTGAAAAAAGTCGAAGACCCTCGCAACAAGTATGCAGAACAGCATGTTGTTCAGGGTTGCGCCATGCGTTTTGCGAGCGTCAGTGGGGCATATATTATCATGTTCTAGTCTGGAAGCAAGACTTAATCTTCCCAAAGTTGACAATCAAACTCAAGGGCAACAAAGCTAGAGCGCCTGCCTTCACGGGTCCCACCTGATCTGGGGAGCCAAAATATGATGACACCAATGGACATGGAATTAGGGTGTTTTTCCCTAGTTTGCGGTATGGCAAATCTAGTGAGCCCCATGTCCCTCCCAAGCTGATCATAGACGACTGGTGTTGTTGACCAACGCCCTACTCGGTATGTCAACCGTTCCTGATGTGTGCCTTTTAAACATCACCAGAATTAGGAGATATATCTGGCGCAACAGGCAGAGTTGGTCCCATTTAAGCGAATCGATCGGCCCGAGTTGGCACTCCGGCCCGGAAAGGGAAACCAGTCTGACTTTCTGTTTTGGTGGACCCCATTTTTGGGTTGTCGAGGGGAGCCCAAAGGGAACCAACCAACATTTCAGGGGCGGATTCCTATTTTGAGACACACCGTATGGTTTGCACCTTTGGGCCCATGTTCTTCGAGTTGCCTTTGGGTGGGGTGACGGCTATACATGAACAACTAACAAAATTGCTGGCAGTCTGATGTTAGTCTGGGAGGGCGAGAGGGGGACAAGAACAAACCTCCTACAACCAGGCAGGCCGGGCCCCAATTTTGCCACGCCTTGGGAAAGCGAGTCATTTTGCCCGGGGCTCAGGTGTGGCAGGGTCCTTGTTGGGACAACATCACCTTCGGCTCTGAGTGCTGCGCTGCCCGAGTCGAGCATGAAGCTCCCAGAAGCTCAGGCGCTGCGCGCTTTTGCAGCTGGGGCACACAACCGACATGGCGCGTTCGCCGAAACGAAATTCGGGCGACGTGTCTCAAATTTCGAGTGAAAGGCCTGGCCAATTCAAAACCTGGACCGAAAGCACCGAAAGATGACTGAACTGGGCGGAAAAAGCATCATCGATCTTGTTGGTTTGTTGCCCAGGCGGAGTGAATAGAATTCGATTTGGCCCGGTGGGCGCAAAAACGCCGCCCACCAGTGGCACCGATGGGCTGGCCACAATTTCCTAGTCTCCCATTTGAGCCAAGCTGGCCAAAGACGGTTGAGGCAAAGTGCTGAAAGCTGTCGACCCCAGAACAATCCACCTGGGGAATGTTGTTGCGTGTGTTCCCTCCAAATGTAATCCGGATTCCTCTTAAATGGGACATGCGGCCTTATAGGTATGTACAACCAGGGGCTGGTAAATCAAGCTTCTGATTCAACGTCAGCTTGCAGTCTTCGCATCAGCAGCTTCTCTGTAGGGAATCAAGACGAGTGTTGGGAATGAATCAGAAGATAATGGTTCATAAGAGCGCTGAAACCAACAAATGTCCTTTTCGGTCGTACCCCCTTTGAAAAATGAGGGTCTCTTGGAGGAGCTAGTCTTATATACTGTGTCCCTTCATAAGTGGCATGTATGGGGCAAGTTCAGTGTATGACTCTGGAAGCGTTGAAAACGACCCCTGCCAGGGACAAAACATGGCTCACTTCCTGGGTGAGCAACAAAGACATATCTCATGTCCAAAGTAGATGACAAAAACTAAAAACTCAGTTGCTTGTTAAGGAATCCGCTCATGTTTCCATCCTGATCATCTTGCCGGCTGGGAGCCACGTTGCTTGAGGTCGTACTCTAACCCTTTGACTAAAATGGTTTATCGGGATTTCGTTCGGCCCATCTTTCCCGCATAGTCAAAGTCACCCCCCCTAATAGGCTAAATGAATTTCTGACTTACCCCCAGAAACTATCAAATTCATGACCCGAGGCTTGCATCCCGAATGCTCCTGCTTTGCACAGCTCCCCCATCAGGTCTTGGATTGCTGCCAAGTAGGCAGCAAACTGGCGAGCTGCGGCTTTTCAGTGTGAAGTTGAATTGGAGACCCTTTGATCTCAGCTGTTCGAAATGGGGGGGTCCCTAATCCTCCAGCATCCACACTGCAAGAAGGGAAACTACTACCATCTGGCATAAGGATTAAGGACTCAACCCAGTTGGTGGACATCATTTCCATGGGAATTGTCTACACCAAGTGTTTGAGTGTTGAGGGGGCACTGTAGGCAAATCGACTGCGGTCCTGAAGGGAACTTAACACTGTATACCGAAAGCAAAGCAAGGCTTTGCGTAGATCCTCATACTCTTGAAAGAAACTGTCCTTGTTTGTAAGGAGACCCTTTCATTTCCCTGCAAACATCACCCCACCCAAATGAAAATCATCTCAAACATTCTCAAAGGTATTTTGTTTCAGATGTAATATGATGAACCTCTGGTGCTGCCTTGGCGTTCAACAAGAGTGGGACTTTGCTTCCACAAGCTATGCGCCAAACGCGTGGGTCTGGACATGTCCCCAACTGACGGAACTCCCCAAGCAGCGTGGCTTCCCTCAGTTTCCCTGTGAGACACTCTAAAAAGGGGAACCTTCAAACAAAGACGGTCCAACATGGTGGACGTACATGCGCGTGGAAATGAATGTCCACAAAAGGGTCAAAATGGAGAAACAAGCACACATGAGCGTGTGATCAAGTTACAAATGGGCTTGAGATGGCCTCTTCAAAGTTCAGCCCACAGGACCCCGATGTTTGAAGCAAATCTGAAGAACCCTACCAGGGCTACTAAATCCACCCATATCCAGATATTCTGAAATTATCCATCTGAACATTACCCCAAAAAAGGTTGGTTGCTTTTGGCTTGGCCAATTTGTTTCTTTACACGAACCAACAGGCAAACCACTGTTTGTTTGGGGACTCCTCCGATCTAGGCACAATCCCATGTGAGGCACCAACTCCAACAAGACACATACTCACACACATCTCCAAGCGCGCAGGGCGCCGCTGTTGGGTTGACAGCGGATCTCTCTGGCAGGCACGCGCATGCCTCAGCAAGATCCAACAAGACCAATTCAACGACGTATACCCCGCAAGGCTCCCCATATTCTCCCCTCAAACATCCAGCCCACCAAGAGAAACTTGTCTGAACGTGGCCCAAGTGATGCTTAAACGGGCGGAAAAGGGAAATATAGGGACCTCTGTATGTAAGAAGAGTGGTTGCCAGCAGGTCAACAGGTTGGAACATAAGCAAGGCAATCACCTGGTGGGTTGAACATCCACTAAGGGCTGAGAAATGGGCCACCTTGGTGCTATTTTGAGGCCCGGTACCCTGTGGCTGGGCAAACCACCCATTTTGAGACAAATACACATGGAGCGGGTTTAGCAGCCTCCTTCGGAGGCCAGGGTGGCCTGTTCAAAGTTGCTTTATGGGGAAAATAGAACATCCCTCCCAACTTCCGAAGTGAGTCAAAAACTGGCAAACGATGATTATGGAAAAAGAGTCCAGTTCGGCGTAGAGCAAACCTTCAGCCATCGAAAGCTCCCAACTAGAGCTACAATGTCAATAAAGGTACAGCAATGCCCAGGTGGGCATTCTTTGTGACAACGGTACTTGAGGCACGTGAAGAAACGTCAGTTGCTCCAGGTATGTCTGGTTCTTAGCCAGCATCTCCAACTCACCTCTGCCAGGGTTCTGGGAGCCGCCCTTTTTGCAATGCCACTGGAAGACGAGCGAATCTCTTCAGGGACATTCTGTCACAAAACCTCCCATCGTCCAACAAACGTGCCACACCCGGCACATTGATTCCTGCGGGATACCCGGAGATCTGGCTGGGAAGCCAGGGTTCTTGATTGGAGAACAGGAACCGCCCTTGGGTTCTTGCATCCTGGGCTAAACGATGCATTGGCATATGCCCTAAATACCGAGAACAAAATATGATTGGGTTGACAATCGTCAAGACTCATAACAACGCAAGGTCCTTTTCGGCAAAACCAAAAATAGAACCCTGGGTTCTTGTGTTCTTGTGTCCTTCGCGGCACCAGAACAAATGGAACCTGCGTCTCAGTGTTTGCGTAAACCACTGGGTTCCCAGTTTGTGTTAAGGAACATGTGGGTATATACATACGCGTGAGTGTACCCTTTTTCAGGACGAATCGGTTTAGAGATACACCGAAAGGAAAGGGGCCCCGATTTTGACGTACCCGAATGTGCTCGTTCTAGGTCAGTTTGGTTGAAAATCGATAGGTTGCACTGGCTTGAGTGGAGCCTATCCATATATTTTGCTAGAAGGACACGCAAACCCGCCAAGAAACAAGGTCTGCGCACGCAAAGGGAAACCGCGAGGAAAACCGACCATTGTGGTCCCCCATGTTGACGCATACCATGTGGGGTCTTCTTTCTTTTCAACCCTTTGTGGCTAGTAGACCTGTTGAGCCAAACCCGTGTCCCTCAATGTCAGACATCTGATGGAGTCCCCGGCTCCAGCGCGTCCATGGCCATTTCCCGCTCTTGCGATGCCTAACGCAGCGCGGACCCCACCCCCGATGTTCATTGTGCCGAGGAAATCGACAAGGGCTCAATAAAACTCAAGGAAGAAATGCACCCACTGTTCTTGATAGGTTTCTTTGGGTTCAGACACAAAACGATAAAAACAATGAAAGGGCGCCCTGAAAACCCAACCAAAAAAAGGAAGGGATCCTGTTGGTTCTCCTTTCACGCACTAACCAAACCCCTGTCAGGGGGGTTCTTTACACTTGGAAACGCCCAGCATGTTGAGACCCCGTATGCTCGCGTCGACTGATAGCGGGCTTCCTTTACAGAAAACCAGAGCAGCAGATTGCTTCAACAAATGTTGCACACTGCTCGGTCTTGGTACAGGTTCTGTGCACCAGGACGACCGTTTTTGACTTGGGCGCTGGGCGCACACACTTTTCCCTGAGAAACATCTGGGGTTGAGTGATATGCGGCTCGTGCATCACATTCATGTGCTGACAGCACAAGCAACTTTACGTAAACACGCCAGTCAATCCACCGCGCAGGCCTAGAAAAACGGCGCTTGTACATTGGCCCTCAATGTCTGAAGGTATGTTCACCAGAACCATGGGCGAAAAAAGACTATCTTTCTGAAGTTCTTGTCCCCTGCAATGTTCAGCCCGCAAAAAGAAGACCTAATCGAAATGGCCCAAAGAAGGTGCTGTTACAAAGAGCTCAAAACGAAAAGGTCTCTGAGGACCCCCGGTAAATGCCTGGGGCCAGCTTGCCTCTGGGCTGATTTAGCATGCAAGGGCAAAGGACTAGCATAAGCTGCTCGTCTTCTGAAAAACTTTCTTGAAGGCACCTAGTGCAGCCAGGGTTCCCATCAAAACCTGAAACTCGATTCCTCAGTGGATTGACTGCAAAGACCAAATGGTTTCTTTGCCCTAAGACGGTCTTCCCAAAAAGCATCAAGATCAAGACCTTCGGAAGCGAGAAAAACCTTTGACCTATGGCCGCGCCGCGAGCTCCTTCTCGCGCCTTGAAGAACGCCAGCTGCAAGTCTTTGTGCTCGGCCTCGAACCGGTCCTGTAACAGAAAGCCAAAAGGCGGAAAAGGACCGGCAGCCTCTGCCTCTGCCGTGGTTGCGGGTTTCCAATCCTGCCTGTGATACCATTCAGAGCCTCATGCGATTGTCATCAAGCCGTCCAAAAAACGATGGGAGAGGGCGAAAAGACGGGTCCCCGGAAGCTCATTTTATGCAAGTGAGTGATTGCCCGGGAAGCCACGCAAACCGGCAGTCCTCCTTCTCCTCCATGTCCTTGCGCGCCTTTTCCTGAACCGTTTCATTGTCTTGAAATCGGGAAAGCCTCCAACTGGAAAGCCCACCATTCTGCGTTGGTGTTTTAATATTTGGACACACCCACGGAGCCTCCAAATGGTGCCAGGGTTCTTTTCGAATTCCCTTTAACCACTCCCAAAAAGGGTGCCAGCTCGAAAAAAGGCACCACATCCCCGACTTACTTGGCTTATCTGCTGCCCGGCAAAAACAGCTCGCAGCTCCAGCGCGCCTGCGCCTTGTACTCCTGATAGAAATTCTTTGTGTCCAAATGGGCCTGGCCGTCCCTCTTGCCCACAAGGCGAAACGTTAACATGAATCTTTTGACAAAAATAGGTGGCACTGGCAAATGATTAGTGGAACCCGTTGATTTGCAAGCACAACAAAACCAGAAAAGATAGCCCCCAGTTCCTACTAAGGGTACCATGTAAAACCAAAGGACAGCTATGTCAGCCAATGTCCTGTCCCCCCAAACTTAGAGCTCGTCCCCCCATTCGCAAATGGCCCATAGACTACGGAAAGCTTTGACCACACCGCATTTGAAATAAACCCCTTTTGAGATCCCCGCCTCGACCAGCATACGCTGCTCTTCTTGCATTTGTACCCTCTTGTTCTGGACCGTCCATTCCGAGAAGTCCTGCCCGAAGAGGAGCCTTTCGGCCGCAAGGCGAAAAACCCGCAACAACCTGGGGCAAACAACCCCCCCGCAAGAGAAAGCTGGTTAGTGGCGACCAAAAAAAAGTGGACTGTCTGCTGCTTGTTAGCTGAAAACACTCAGCAAGCGAAATGATCAGTGGACTGTGTGAGGAGTGCCGTTTGACCCCAACATCGAGGACATAGAGTGATCCCCTCGCTTGCAGAGTTCCTGCACATTCAATTGGGGGACTTTATTCCCAACCAAACAGAGAGTACAAAAGGCCAACCCTGCTCACCCTGCACACAACCTAAGGTTGAAAGTTAAATGTCCAACGAATTGGATGACCCTAGATGACTTCAATGGGTGCCTTTCGCATGCAACACGCGGCGTGATTGTCCTTTGGATCACGTGATCGGCACCTAGAACCCGCTTAGGGTCCTCCAACTACAAGCCGCCCAAAGGGATTGGCGTCCCATCGAAAGCTTCAACGGGCGCTCTGTGGATGCTCGAACGGCACACACAAGCTCGAAGAATGTGGGGCATGGTCATGGTGCCCTTAGTAGGAACCTTTACGTGGGCTAAAAATGTGTGTAGAGGTTGACCATCCCTATAGCTAGTAACACCAACAAAAGGAACCTATGCCTCTTGACACTGCTGCTCAGGGTGTGTTGCCCCAAGAAGAAAACAACGCGAACGGTTCACGCAAAATCTGTGATGCCATGGGTCGTGTCCATGATGGAATATCACTTTGAAGGCTATTCCGTTGGCCACTCCCAAAAATGGGCGAAAATTTGGTTGTCCACAACCATGAGCCTAAAATAGCATGCTTCACATTGACCCAACGGCCACAACAACATGCATGTGTGCTCTCGCCAACCTCAGATCTTCGGCTTGGGTCCTTCTGGTCCAGGTACCCGTCTGTCGTCTTCTGCAACTCCTCCTGCTTCTGTGCCTTCTTGTGAGCACGCTTGAACTCCTGACAAGGGAAGTGTGTTTGTGTGTGTGTGTGTGTCAATACAGAGGGATGCTCAAATTGGTGGCTTCCTTGTGGAGTCCCCTTAAATAAACCAAAAAGAGGTACCACCCCCCCAAAAAAAAACACGCGCTCCAATGGCCAAAAAGGAAGATGCCCCGTTCAAAATGCCCTTTCCAAGTAAGCCACGGTCAAAATGAAATTAGTGAGTCCCCGGATTTGTGTGGTAAATTTAGCGAGTCCCCCCATGTCCCTCTCAAATGAAGCGTAGACTACCGGATCTGTTGATCAACCTCAAATGGTGATGTCGAAATCACCCTATTAAAGGAACACGGTGGGAGGCAGTCAAAACTATGGTTCCTTTTTGTTGCACCCCCTTTCAATGCGGCACACGTCCGATTTAATCATGAGTCCCACAAGGCCCTTTGGCAAGGAAGGTGCAACAAATGCAGTTTCGTTTCAACCATTCCTCTTCAAACTGAGGTCAGCAACCATGATATTAATGTATACTAGAGGTATACCGGTATAGCAGGTGCATATTTGGGGCACGTACTTACCGCAAACCCTTTGATACATGCAGGTACTGTCTCCAATGTGCCTGTTTTTCTCAACTGGCCAACCCCCTTTTGGGGCTCTCGTGGAAAGCTGGCCTTTAGAATAGCTCAGGATCCCAAACATGGTGGCTTGTTATTTTTTGTGGTTTGCCTGCAAACCCAGGTAGGTGCAAAGGGTGCCGAGCCGAGCGTCAAATAAGCGAACCCATTTGAGTGTGTCCGAGGAGAGCTTCCCATGAGCATTTTGAGGGTTCTCGAAATTATTTCAGATGCTTTCCCTTTCAACCACCATTTAGAGGGCAATTTTGGAGGATGTCTTACTAAAATAGACCCAGTCTCACTGTGGCTCCACTTGTGACTTCAGCGTCTCGGCTCCTGGTACTGCTTCTTGTCCCGGAGTTCCTGTGTCCGGAAGGAAATGTCAGGCTGCTGTGTTCTACCCAAATGGGTTCCGAAACCAGATGCTACACACATGATTCTGTCTTGATGCGAGCGATCAGAACCCTTTGATGAGAATCCGGAGTAATCAGAGCCTTGACGATCTCCGTGTGCAAGTTCTCCTGAATCAACCTCGGGTTCAGAGTGCGGTGCGAAGCACAGAGGCCACCGACCGCACGGAGCAGTTGTCAGGCTTTGGTTCAGAGTTTCTGTGTCAAACATAGGCTCGTCAGCGGCTGCGCATCAATCAGCCCCCGTCGTGTGAGCAAGCTCGGGCAAGTCGGAGCCGGAAGCCCCCTCAAACATCACCCGGTTAAAACCAGGGGTGTGGTTCCAATGTGTGTGGTCTGTCAGGGAAAGGCGAAGCAACGAAGGGTTTGGGATGCCCTTCGGATTGCGATTTCAGCCTGTTGGTGGTTGAAGCGAAAGCCAAGAGGACGAGGTCTGCGGATGGTAGCCCAGCCGCCCCCACCAGGTTTGGGTTGAAACTATCTTCGGATGGCTTCGAGAGGAACCAAGAGTAGCAATCACCACTTACCCTTTTCCAACATTCAAGAAGTGGACAAGGGGGCGAGGAGGATGGTCTTCCAAAGCCCTCCGATTGTCCACTTCCGATTGAAAGCAAGACCCATTTGGAACTGGCGCCCGGCCGACCACAGCCGGGAGCGAGAGAGGCCCTGGCTGTTCCAGGCCATCCTTGAACTCAGCGCGATCTTGCATGACCTTCAGCTCATCCTGCCAAAAAAATCTGGCCGAATGCGAATTTGTGTCTAAACAGGGTGGACCAACTCAAAAACAGACACCTCCCCACTGCCCACCACGTGCGCGTGTGAAAACAAGCTCACCCCGCTCTCCAAAGTGGGGGGTGGCTCATGCCAGGTCTCACTGCAAGCCATCCAACCAAAAGAGTATTGTTGCTTTCTGACACGCAGCCACGTGTCCTTGGGGGTTACATAACCCATCTTCCCTTGCGGCAGTGGTTTTGGCATAGCAACACCCGCATCTTACTTTCGCAGCCGTTGTTGGGGTGGGGCGAAGAATTCGTTTACACGTTGGTTTAAACACCACTTTAAAACAATATCCTGGGTTCGGCTTTGGCTACCAATTTTCCAACCAACCCTGGGTTGCTGCAAGAAGTACATCGCCGGGTCCTTCAATTCCTCGGTCTTTTTGAACTTTTCCTCCTCCCGAGCGATGTCCCATCTCACCGCAGCCTGCGGACAACAGGTGCGGGAGTATGACTTTCACTCCGCGGGTTGTCTGGGTGGGTGGACCCTTTTTGAGCTTGGCTTCAAGGGAAGCCAAAAATGGTGGTTCACACGCCCATCAAGGCATTGCATTCTTGCAAGGCTGTTCGAAATGAGGCATGTAGGACTTTGGGCCCCCTGACAAGGTCCTGGGACGCAGGTGCCAAAGAAGTGACGCCCGCCCCAAACTGGGTCCGTCTTAGTAACATCTTAGTAAGACATCCCCGAACCTGTCCTAATCTTTTCAAAAGTCATTCTGAGAATCCCGCAAGATGCAACCACTTCAAGTCGACCTTTTGCACAGCTCATCCTTTGCCTCCATCCCTCGCAGAGAGCGGGCATCTTTCTTCATCTGCGCAAGGCGGTATCGCAGCTCCTTCAAGCGGACAAAATGAGAGATCCGTTTGACGTTGGAGTTTGACGTTGGACCGGAGCCCAACTCCAATTAAAGGGTTACTCTCCTTCCAACCATCATTCCAAGAAAGGTGGACTTCCAAAGCCATCCTGTCAGCTTCCAAAACTGTTGCAGAAGCTCCCTTGCCTTTCATTAGGTCCGAATGACTTACAGATTTTCTAGGGCAAAGCACGTTGGCCAATGAAAGTGAACTGTTAGGTCCGAAAGAGCTGGACATGCGTCGGACCCTTTCAACTCGGTGTTCTCCCTGACCTCGAGGTCAGCAAAAGTCGTCCTGGGTCCTGCCATCGGCATCGGCACTAGAGATCCCCTTGCGTGGGGTTCATGAATGCAAGAAAACAGCAACAAGCCTACAGGGAGTTGCCGCTGGTGGTGGGTACTGAGGGAACTATTTGTACAATTTCCTGTACTAAACGGAACCTCCTTCCAACACGCTACCTATGGGCCTAAAACGGGAATGCGACACGGTGTATCGCCTGATCAAGCCCGTTATTTATTGGGGGGGATTCATGAAGTGAGCTAGTTGGGTCTGAATCTTAATATATAGGGAATGTCCTTACAACTTGCGCTTTAAAGTTCAAAGAGGAACATAATGGGGGACCTTTGAAATTTAAGTTTGGTTTGACGTTGGCATGGCTGGTGGACACACATCCGTGTAAACAATGTCCACCGAAGGGTCCCCAACTAAGCGTCGTGGCTGGAAATGCCTCTTTTGACATGCAGTTACAAGGGAAATTTGTCAAAACTTAGCTCAACACTTGATGTGGCTTCGAAGGAATATAGGCATCCCTGCTAAAGGGACTCTCACATCCCGAGTGCTTTTTTGGTTCGCCAAGAAAATTGCCACCCAAGTCCAGCTGGGATCCCCCAATGGCTGTCAAATGGACCGCAAAGCCTAAAGATGGTCACTCAAGAAGCCATCCTCACCGAGCCCTAGCGGTTGGGGGCCTCTGACTGGCGAAGAGCTCAGGCTCGTGTAGCCTCCCCGCTCCGTCTCAGTTTGCAGGCTGGCGCGACGGGGCAGGTGTCCCAACGAGACCGCTTCAAGTGTGTGGTTTGCGTGAATGTCTTTTGGAAATGAGCCAAACCATGAATGCCGTTTTGAAAAACTCCTCTACAGCGTGTTCTAACAAAAGTGGATCCTTCAATTGGCTTGTTCCATGATTGCCTTGTTTTAATGAACCAACAGGGGCCCAACTCATGATGGATCTCTCAAATTAAAAGCGGCCCAACTCATTTTGACCCATCCCCACTCACTTTGAAAGCTCAGCCCGCGGCGGCAGTGGAGTTGTTGCCCTGAGCGAACAATCCACAAGCTGTGTAAAAGGGAGGTAGTTGTTTGGAGTTGTGCTTGTCAAAGAAAGTTTAGAGAAACTTCCGCGCTACGCACACGAATTGAAAGGTAGTCTTGCGCACAGCTGAGATGAGATAAGAATGCATGCGTGTGAGAAAGCATGCGCGTGTGGCGGGGGAAGAGAAATCATGAAGAAAAGTGACCCTCTGCGTGTTTTGGCGTCTCCGGCGAGCTGACAGGCTCAGAGCTTTCCCAAAGTCAAGTACGGATTTGATGGCAAGCGCAGCGTTTCGGCAACACTGGCACGGAAGCGTTGGGAATGCCATTGGCGCAGGCACGCAAACCGGCGCACGCAGATTTCATGGCAGGCGCATCACTTTCGCAAGATCAAGTGCAGATTTCGTGGCAGGCACAGCACTTTTGCAAGGTCTATTGAAGTTTTCGTGGCAGGCGCGGCACTTTCGCAGGGTCGGGTCCAGATTGCGTGGCAGGCGCAGCACTCTCAACAGAAAGGAAGGAAGATAAGAGAGAGAGAGAGAGAGAGAGAGAAAGAAGGAGAGAGAGAGAGAGAGAGAGAGAGAGAGAGAGAGAGAGAAGGAGAGAGAGAGAGAGAGTGAGGTAGATAGATAGATGATAGATGGACACACCGATAGTAGAAAGATAGATAAATAGATAGATAGATGGATAGATAGAAAGATAGATAGAAAGATAGATAGAAAGGTAGATAGAGAGATAGATAAAGAGATAGATAGACAAATGAATAGATAGGATGGATGGATAGATAAATAGATAGACACAAAGATAGAAAGACAGAGAGATAGAGAGATAGAGAGGTAGAGAGATAGAGAGATAGAGAGATATATAAGTAGATAGACAGGTGGAGTTGTGGAGATATAGATAGACAGACAGATAGAAAACACATAGATGGATCATAGAAATAAAGATAGATAGATAGATAGATAGATAGATAGATAGACAGAGAGAGAGAGAGAGGCTGGCCACGAGGATACAGATGGATAGATAGAGAGATAAACAAACAGTTGGTTGGTTGGTTGGTTGGTTGGTTGGTTGGTTGGTTGGTTGGTTGGTTGGTTGGTTGGTTGGTTGGTTGGTTGGTTGGTTGGATAGAAAGATAGATAGATAGATAGATAGATAGAGACAGAGACAGAGCAGAGAGACAGAGAGCGAGACAGGGAGACAGGGAGACAGAGAGACAGAGAGACAGAGTGACACAGAGAGAGACAGAGAGAGACAGAGAGAGACAGAGAGACAGGCAGAGAGACAGACAGACAGAGACATAGAGAGACAGAGTGACAGAGAGAGACAGAGAAAGACAGAGAGAGACAGAGAGAGACAGAGAAACAGAGAGACAGACAGACAGAGACATAGAGAGACAGAGTGACACGGAGACAGACAGACAAAGAGACAGAGAGACAGAGAGACAGAGAGAGACAGAGACAGAGAGACAGTGTCGGCCATGGACAATCGGAACCCTTTCCATGATTGTCTGAGAGGGGTCCACGACCGCCGCTACCAACGCCAAATAAACAGGTTCATGGTTGCGGAGAAAAAACCAGCTGGGATGCCAAAGTATCCCATCCCTATGACTACTTGGCAACTTTTAAAGGGGGTTGCACAGAAAGCGGCAACATGAAACATAATTGTGGCTCCCCGTTTGCTTCTTGGTACCCACATGCATCTGAGGCTTGTATATTTCGGCCTCATTTCTAAAAGGGCCCTTTTGGCCATGGCCTTTTGACCCGCATGGCTGGAGTGGTTCTTTTCGACCAGGCTGCCCCACCCTCACAGGCACGGGCACTGGCCGCGAGCCGGTCTGCCCCTCGCGGTGCTTGCGAGCCCGGGCCCACGCCCTGAAAACACAAGGGATATGTGATAAGGTAATATACTAGAGGGCAAATTAGTAGAATTGGGGGTTGGGGTACCATAAATTTAAATTAAGCCCAAAAAATTGGAAATCCATACCCGACAGAAACAAACTCGAGCCATCTCTTGACCCAAGCCCGAGGTACAGGCTCCCAAAAACTGTGCTTTGGGGAGGGAGGGGCAGCTCGCGAGAGAAACAGGCATGCCGTTTGGGAGGGCGGAGCGGCTGCTAGAGGGGCTCTCAAAAACTGTTGTTTGGGAGGGGGGCGCAGCTCCCGAAAAAACGACTGGTGACGCAAAGATTTGCCAGGAGGCTTGAGGATGGATGACGTTTCAATGCGGACGATGCTGGGGATGCGGGGGATGCGAGCCCTGCATCCCAGCATCATCCGCATTTTCAATTGAGGCACCCACTTCGTTCCTCCCAAAGAAGAAAACTTTTGTATTACCCTTTTCAGGTTGGTTTGCAGGGAAACCAATAGACAACCCACTTTGCATTTTGGCCCCTACCATCTGGCCTGCGCGGACTGAGCCATGTGACTCATCTCGAGTCATTTGTATTTCTTGGACAGCCCTCTCTGCAAACGAATGAAAGGAGTGAAGCGAGCGGGATGAGTACAGATGTCAGGAATCCTTTCATTGGCATTGGATCAGGGATGTCACACGCTCCCTTCCCTTCCGGCTTCTCTCTTTGCTACACAGTGAAAGTAGATGCAACAAGATCCCCATTTTGATTTGTCCAACCACAACTCGCATCTTGTTTGGAGCTACCTTCCCCACTTTTCAGGGTTCCGCCAGACAAATAGGGCACAAAAGCTGGTGTTCGACAAAAACAAGTTGTCCGTTGCAAAGAACATCAACCCCTATAGAGCTCTTCAAAGAGAACCCCAGAAAAGGGTGGCTTCCTTCAAATGTCCTTTACCCCTCAAAAGGATGCCCAAACACAGCCCCCCCCAAACGTGGATGCAGGAATCAATAAGAAACTTAGAAGATTTGTGGGGCCCGAGCTCAGTTTTAAGGCGAGCTTGCCACAAGCAGCGCAAATGGTGGGTCAAAGCGAATTGTCTCTTCTCGACAACTTCCAACATAGCTTTCTTGCGTAGCTGTACGACTACACGGGGGCCACTTTGCCATTGTCCTCGTTCGAAATCAAATAGCAAAGGACTTCGGAACAGCCCGCTGTTGCCGTTGGACAACCACTTTGGGAGAGCCCCAGTTCAGCGGCCGAGTCGCTGTATCTCTGACGCTTTTGGACTGGAGTTCCCAACCAAAGAGTGCCTTGCCCCCAGAGACATAGCTGAGAGGTGACTTTCAGCTCAATCAACATTGAAAACCAAAAGGGGCCAACCTGAAGGAATTGGTCCCTTTTGAGAAACACCTGTCAAACAATGTTCAAGCCACCCAAGTGAAGCCTCCTCCGCCCGCCTTGGGAGCGCCCGGCGCGCTCTTCCTCCGCGCAAAAAACGCAACATGGCAAAGCTTGTCAAATTCAGCCCATCTACCCCATGAGGGCATTTCAGCTATACGTTTTGGAGGTATGGAGGGAACACTTGTACAAGCATCCATACCTCCCATGCTAGAAATGCCCTTGACATGAAGTCAGGCGACCAGGGAGACGGGTATGAACGAGAGCGTGTGCTTCCACTCATAGACCTTTGGCTTCAAATTACCTCGTGCGCTAGAGGCTTTGGGAGGTCTGCATAAACCTGCCAGCATGCCCCTCCCCCAAAAGAGCCATAAGAAGGCCGTGGCCCTGATACCCACTAGTCACTTTGAGGCTGCAATGGCTCCCCTTGCTATGGCTCTGAAATAGAGCATATGAGATAAAGAACCTTACACAGTCACATACATACATGCATGTGTATATGCGCACATATATGTCTATATATATCTATTTGTATAACATTTACAGGTGTACGTACGGCAAGAGGGAGAGAGAGGGAGAGAGAGAGAGGGAGGAGGGGGGCTTGGGGCTTGGGGCTGGACCCAGGTCCCAACTCTGTACAGGACATCTGCAACCGCCAACAGGAGAAAAACAAAAACTGCGACAGTGCTTGAGTTTAGAGACTTAGAGATTTGGGATGTCCCAAGTCAAAAGGGGAAGTCATGCCGGGTGGTTTTCTAATGGGAACCCACAAGGAAGCATTTCTCCTTGTCTTTGTCAACGACCATTGGCCGTTCCATTCAAACAAGACTACTGGATCCAGGAGTATCATTGGCTAAGCAATCCTGAGTCTTTTCAGAGGCCAAACATGGCTTTTTGTAATGCCTCTGAGCAATCGAACTGTCATGGCTCCCCTACAAGCAAACCGTAAGGTTGTCTGAGTCTAACCCACCGTTTGGTGATCCGTGACTTTCTAGAGCACAAGTAAGGGGTCTTTTGACCATTGCACGTATGCTTCCTTTCTTTCCCATGTGAGAGCTCGCATCCGTCTAACCAAGCTTTGCCGACAGCCCCCGCACTTCTGTTTGCCCCATGTCTGCGTGGACTAGAACCGGGACACCGAGCAGTAGCAATAGATGACACACAGGAACCAATCGCTCACTCCACTGGCCGCGCCGCTTTCACGCAATCAGACAGGCAAAAGCAATCGCAGGGTGAGGACAAGCTCTTTAGCCCTGGTGACCGCTGCGCAACACCTCGAACGGGCGAAACAGATTTAGGCGCAAATCCCCGGCCGGGATTTGAGACAGCGCAACACAGTCCGTAGTCACTCGGACCAGTCGCTTTGAGGCAAATTGCTGGGCTTGCAATGTGGATGTACCTCTTTTTAAATACCCCCCCCAAAATGGTGGTGTTCCTTTTGGTTCCGTCAAAATCACAAAATTTGGGTACCCTCAAAAACAGACACTCCCATGTGGTTTTTGCAGAGTCGATCTCTTTCAATCTGGACAACCCCCACGATTGCCATGAGTGCCGCTGAGACTCCCTGTTACAAGCCTTCATGTCAAAACCGTCACCTCAACACAGGTCGGACTTCTAAGTTGGGGACCCAGGTTTTCGATGTCGTTTAAAGGAATGTCAAGTGGCTGGTGGACCGACAAACTCAGCATGAGCAACGGTAAGTGTGTTCCATTATGATTGTGTACATGAGATGTGATAACGTTGGGCACACTCACCAAACTGCCATTATGAAATGGGGGTCCCAAATGTCCATGTCGGTTGGGGAGACAATGAAAATTGACCGTGGCTTCTATGTCTCAACTACAGGAAGTGGGGCCTATGGTCACTTCTTTCAACCCTTGGGGTTGCAACCCGTGGAAGAACATTTCGGGGAGCGCTAGCTCTTGCCCCGCAGAGTGATCTCCAGCCCCCTCTCGGCCACCTGGGAGGCAAGGACGCCCTTGCCCAAAGGGATTCTTTAACTCCCCAAATTAAAGAATGGTCCTCCAGAAGCCCAAATGCAAATATCGATCAGAGGGCAAATCCACCGAAGCTTCAGCGCAAAGGCCTCTGGAAACTCGCAATGAGTTCCAGAAGGGGGGGGGTTGTAACCCAACTACACAAAGGAGACCAAACCCGACTAGCCAGGCCTCAGTTGGAAGTGCTCTGAATGATGCCCGGGGAATCACAAGGTCATCCAACCTGCTGTTCAACAAGGCTCGCTATATATCATCATCAGCTTTTCGGCCAATTCAAAGAGAGTTTCCTTCGGGAGGGACGGACATTGATTTGGGCTTCCACCCAGTCACCAACACTGGAAAGTTGTGGTATGGAAATTCGCAAGGTTTGGAAACCTTGAAAAATGCATGGGAAGATTGGCTAGTACCCTCCTCCCATATGAACATCAAGGAACCCAAACAAATCCCGGATTGGGCCTCGTGGTAAAAATGTGTGCTCGCAGACCTTTGCTGAAATCAAACTTGCTGCTTGTGTCCTCCCCTCCCCCTCCCTCTCCCCCTCCCCTTGTTCACCAAGGTCCATTAGTTTCAAAGACAACTTGGAACCAGTGTCGCTGCCAGCCTTGGGCAGTTGCCAGTGTTGGACAGTTGTCGCCAGTCCAAACATGTTAAACCAAGATCATGCTTCACAACATGTCTCCCTGTATGTGCCTTTTCTGAAGCTGGATCCCGAATTCATACGACTCGCAAATTAATAGGCGGGTGCTGCCCCAAGAGTAGATGGTTCCCTCTCAAATGGGACACCCCCAATCTATCACCTAGGGATTTCTGGCACAAAGCTTCGGTGGCGCAAACTTACCTCAATCTCTGCTTGCCCCCGTGCATGTCTTTTGCTCGTGCCTCTTTGGGCAGGTACTTCGGCGCGCACTCCTTGAAGATCTCTTGCAGCGCCGCAGAGTAGCGGACAAAGACCTGAGACAGGGGTGCCTGAGAGTCGCAAGGCAGAAGGTTGGTCGGAAAGGAAAACGAAAGCACCCAACGCCAAGCTTCTACCCTGGGTTTGGTCATTGTGGTTTGTTCGGAACCTACCCTAGCTTTTGTGCTCGGAACCCTCCCTAGTTTGATCACCTTGAGGCTACGAACCATCGAAGCAGTACATCCTGCCTGAGCAACTGATTCTCGCATGTTAACCAGGTTGGCTTGCTTGCTTGCTTGCTTGCTTGCATGCTCGCTTGCTTGCTGCTCGCTCGCTTGCTTGTTGGCTTGCTGCATTATTTGCGTGCGTATTTGTATCATCCAAGTCGGGAAAGTTGCTTTGAACAAATCGATGGCACTGGTACATGATTGGAACCAAGTTGACCCAAAAGGACACTCATGGTGCCAGTCGTGTTTGAAAAGAGGGCCAAAGCATCTTAGCTAACCTCGTACCCGTCCAATCAGTTTAAGCTGCCAAAACTTGGATCCTCTGGCACCAACCCATCCAAGTGGTGAGCCGCGTTCGTATATCCTTGCTATCTGGGAAGGAGCTTGGTGTATGGTGGAAACTCCCAGTCGCGCGTCAGAAGTACCCTTACAAAGCTTGTCTGAATCTACGTATCGTGATTAGTCCCGCCTTACGGAGAGTATTCGGGTCTTTCGACCACACATGGGCAATCCAATTGCTCCCGTCTGCACTCAAGATCAAAAAAATGGCTGATGAACATCACCGGTGTCAACCAAAAAAAAACGCACCGCTCGCACTGCACCTCTAAACCCTCTAAACCCTCTTAGGCTGTGGTTCACAGGAAAACCGACCCTTCGCCCTTGCGCCTTCGCACCCTCAAAGAACACCTCTCAAACAATAAACCCCTCAAAAGAAATCCAACGCTCCTCCAAGGAAACCTCCCCCCTCCACTGGCTGGGCCTCCTCCACTCGCTCCTGGCTGGGCTCTGCCTCCTTTGGCCCCACCTCCACTGGCTTCCCTCGGGCCGAGGGAGGCGCGCGACAGCGAGTGACAGGACCAAGATCGGGGCGGGATGGGGGGGGGTTCTTTGCGAGTGGGCCAGCAAGCAAACAAACAAACGAAGACAAACAGACCCCGAAACCAAGATCAAAACCGAAACCAAACCCAAGCCGACCCAAACCAAGCTTGGAGAGCAGACCTAAACGAAGACCAAATCTAATCCAAGCTAAGCGGACAAAACGATCACCCAGCCACGCACCCACCCACCCACCCACCCACCCACCCAACCAACCAACCAACCAACCAACCAACCAACCAACCAACCAACCAACCAACCAACCAGCCAGCCAGCCAGCCAGCCAGCCAGCCAATCAGGCCCACCAACAAAACCAGACACGACCACCAAACCTTGCCAAACCAAGCCGCTAGACCAACGAGCCAATATCTTAAGGTGTCAATAGACAGACTTCACAATTGCTACAAATGTCAATTAGGTTTCTTTGCACACAAACCAAAGGGGTCCGGAGCAGTTTGACACCAACATGAGAGAGAAAGAGAGAGACTGTCAGGGTTTGGCCAAACCAAATCAAACTAGACTGACCAGCTAACCTGACCAAACCGAAACTAGGCCGACCAGACAAACACAACAGTCAACCAGTCAGGAAATTGGCCAACCAACCAATCAGAATTGGGCAATCCCACCCAGCCAAACTCTACAAAACCAGACTACTACGAAGGCAACGGACCAACCCGTGCCCCCCCTTAAGGCCTTTCCTTCATGTATGGCCAAAAATATCTGGGGAACTCATTTCCTCGCAGCACGCAATTTGTCACTTCCTGAGTGGGTTTGCCGACAAAAGCAAACTGTTAAAAGATGACTCGTAACTCAAATGATCTTCCCAGAAAGTGTTGAGTCCAACGGGTTGTGGCAATACACCGAGTTTGTATGGCTGTGCTTCTGTTTTTCAGGGTACCATCTTAAGCATCCCAATTGGTTGCATGGGCGACCCGGAATGGTTGGCTTCCTTTTGGTCTGGGAAGCGTCCCATGGGCCCTGTGGTGGGAAATGCCCATAGCGCCCCAAACCGATTGACTTGAGATGATGTGATCACTTGGCTCCACGGCCAAACTGGATGTGCAAGCGGCGCCCGGGCACCTCGATGCAACCCGAGCTGGAGGGTTTGCTTTGCTCCTGGGAGCCCCACCCTCTTGGTTTTTTGGCGCTGAATTGAAAGTCCTGAGGCCAACTCATGGATTTAGTTGGCTTCAAGAACAAGAAACAAATCGCACCCATCAGAACCAGAGAGTCGCACCCACCGAGCAATGCTTTCATGAAACTAGCTCAATCTCGGGCTTCCTGGGATATTTTTGTCGGTCGATCGCCGGCTTGGTTCCAAGTGCCCAAAACATAGAATGACACCGCCCATCTTGCATGGGATCGCCCTGGCTCTCTCCTTTGTTGAGGCAAGGACCCGGACCCCGGTTTTTGGCTCATGGCAAAGCAACAAGCGGTGAAAATTGGCATTGAAAGGGACACCAAAATGGCTTGCCACCAAATTGGCGGCGTCCCTTTGCCTCAATTGAGGCTACCAACACTCCCACCAGAAGTGTAAGAACGGTAGTGCTCCACTTACAACATGGGCTACTTTACAGTCGGAAAAACCTTGCTAGCCACCGCGGGCCTCAAAGGAGGCCAAATGAGTTCTCTCCAAATGGTGCAACCCCCACAAACGTGTGGCTTTCAGTTTAGTTTCCCTTGAAACCCGAGCAAAAAAGTGAGGTTCCCGAAAAAGGATGAAGCTAGACAGCTCCATCTCAGCTGAGCACCGGCATGAGCAGCGGATTGGGGAGCAGCGGTGACGCTGGAATGCCGCCCAGGCCTGCGGTCTTTTTGCGAAGCCTCTCAAAACTTGCCATTCCTGGGGCCTTCTATTCGGTTCCCTGTGAGAGGGTGGAGACAGGGGGTCCTGCTATGTTTTTCAGACCCACGACTTGGATGTCCAACCTTATGTCCACCAGCCCCTGGTGTCCCATGTAGAACCACAGTTATCACGTCCAAGTATGTGGGGTTCACAAAACAAAGTAAGGCACCTGCAGCGCCAAATCTCATCGGAAAATCAGTTCGGTCCAGATCCTATGACCTGGTTTTGATCAGCAATCAGTTGGTATTCGGTGGCTCTCGGTTACCCTTCTGCAACTTCCTATCCTCGTGGTTCAGAGTTCCCTGTATGTCCTCTTTAAAAAGTCACCACTACTAAGGAAAGCTCAATTTGAATGGGCCACAAAGTTGATCTTTAAAACCACCAGAAAAGAAAAAGACATCTAGGCACCCGTCTGAATCTCATGGAGCAAACCTGACGACAGGCGATCCAGGGTCCTAGCCGAGAATTATGAGGTTGCCGATCTTGAAGTGCCTTCGGACCCAGCGAACCATCGCCGCCACACAGCAAAATGGGGCTAATGGTTGGATAGGGACACCCCAGAAACCCGTATGTATCTAGTTTGAAACCACCTGCTTTAGGGTCTTGTTTTTTAGGGGGTGCCGCAAAACAACCAAGTTTCCGTGGCATGCATGGCCGTGACCAACATGCCGGAGAATGTTGAACCTTTCCCGTGTCCCACAAAGTGCATGCACCTGTGTTTGGCCCGCAATTCATATTGAATGTGCTAACCATGTGGATGTGCTGTTTTCGAGGGAACACTTTTGGGGGCAAAGTGAACAACCCCACCCATCCAAGCGGCTTGTAGAAGAAACTGTTGATGCTCTTGACCCACTTGGCCGTCCTGACGACCGCGATGAGAGCAACAGACAAATCTACACATGTTTCCAAAGAAGGACAGCGGGTCATGTCAAAATGCTGGCCCCCCAAACAGTTGATTGTCTGCTAAACTGTCCTTGAAAAAGGGTACCCTCAAAAACGTAAACTTACATGGAAATAGGGTGATCTTGTGTGAGCCATGGTCATGACCATCCTTAATGAGTCCAAGCAGGCAGGTCTTCTGACCATCTCACATGGCTGTGGGTCAAAAATAGATACCCCAAATGGAACCCTGGCGATGCGATTGTAAATGACCAAACTGCGACAACATCAAGCGGCACGGCTGAACAAATTGGGCTCCGACCCGCTTTGCTCAACCATGGGGCTGTATTGAATTGCAACCGCTTCTGACCGCTAGGAAACGGCCTATCCAATGACTCAGTCTTCACATAAAGGGGTTGTAACGCTTCAAACAAACTAAAAATAAATGAAGAAAGAAAGAAATAAACCAAAAACCAATGGGGAGGGGGCTTCCTTGTTGCCAAAGAGTCTGGATTGCACATCCAACCTTCCCGCAATCTCCTGAAGAGCTGATTCTCTCCAAAGCAGTACACGGGCAACAGGGGCACCCCATGCTGGATCGCCAACCTGCCGCGGCTTGCACGAATCCGATTGGACCTGTCCCAAAAAAAACTACCAAACAAAAGGTACCCTTTTCCAAGGGCCACCCGGAGTCTAGGAGCGGAAAAGTCCGAACAAGTTGGGCAAAAGAAGAGCAAGAGCGGCAGAAGGTGTCGGAGATGAATCTTTCATGACTGAAACTGGCTTTACATTGCCCCGCAATCCCATTCTAGTGACCCAGGCCTACAAAGTACCTGGTTGTCCAAATGCTTTTCTTTTTGAGATCCATCTCAGGGCGATATTTCTCGTGCAACACGGCATTCCGCGACAGCGTCACATGAACAGGCACATTGCCCGGAAAACCTCGGCTACATGTTGTGATTCTCCAGGGGTCTTTTGGCTTCCAGCATTCCAGGCCGTTCATTCTTCAAATCTTGCCGTGGACCAGCGATTCAGCTTGTAGGGAGTCAGGCACCTGCACATTGTCCCATCCCAATTTATATGGACCCCTGTCTAGTCTCAGATTCAGAGCCATAGGGAGCGATGGGAAGGTCATGATCTCTGAGGGCAACTTAGTCAAGTGGTCACCGTACTGCCCCTGCTTTGGCTGGTCCAAATGAAGATGTCAAAACGAATGTTTGCCAGCGCAAGGAAATCAAACACGGCAAATTGCTTGAGGGAACACGGCTACCCAGAAGGGATCACGGTTGAGACAGTGTCACTTGAATGGCTAAGGGAAGAACAACCCTCATGGCGGGGGCCCCCGAAAGCCGCCTTGCCGTTGGGCAACGCTAGACACCTACCACTCGTGGCGCGCAGCTGCCTCGTCAACAGGGACCTCTGCCTTCACTGACACCCTGCTTTCACCAGCTGCAGAACCCCAACATGGTGGGTGGAAGGGGAACGACCCCAGTTTGCAACTTTGACATCACCATAAAACAGTCAGAGAAAACTTGCTCCAACAAACCTACCAGGTAGAGGCATCTCCTGTTAAGCCCCCCTTTCCAGGGACATCCATAGTTGAGCAGCGCCCATTTGGCTCCACTGACAAAGGTGCTTATGCCCTTGTATAACCCCCATGAAACCGGGTATTAGAACCACCTGCATAGTGGGAGGACCTACTGGGATTCCGGTTTTGCCGGAGGCCACAGTAAGTATTTGTAGCATCCAACTGACATTATTTTTTGGCGAGTAACCCCCGACCCCCCCATTTGTGAGTGTACCCCGTTTCATCCTCTTCCCTAGCGCAGGTGACAGAAAATCTGCGCGTTGCTCTCGGCCCAAAACGACAACCACCCGCCCGAAGCTGCCTGATGAAGCCCAGGTTCGCCGGGAAGAACAGCTGCTCCTGGCGTTGAAGAAGGCAATATTTACCAAAAAATCCGACTCCGATTTTGGTGGCTCAGATGTTCCCGTTGCTCCGCAAAAAGCAAAAAGCCGCTGGGCAACTTGTTGAGATATCAGCCAGAATGATCTACTTACCTATCCATCTTTTCATTTATTCATTTTCGCTCGCCTTGTTCTCATCCGTGGCCACCTGCTCATAGATGCCACCGGGCTGCACCTCGGACTGGAAGGCGGACACTTCGCGCAAAAATCCCCATCTGGAAGATCCTTTCAAAGGAAAGGGAAACCAATGGGAAACCAACCATCTTGGGAAGGGTTGAGACACTTCGCGCATCTGACTGTAGGCATGTTGAAGGGAAATCCAAGAGAAGAACAACTTGGGTCCATCATTGTAGGACATGCTCAACACAACTCCACAAACGTGGTCATGGTCATGCTCCCCAGAAGAACCCTTACAATTTGGTGTCTGCAATCCGTACCAAAGCGTCCATGACTGTTCCAGAGGTTGTCCACTGTGGGGGGAGGGCTTGAAGGTTGTTTGCCTGAAAACCAGGCAGGGCACCAAGAGCCGATCTGTCCTTGCAGTCCCCCGGGCTTGGCCGTGTTTAGCGCTAAGGCTTGGGGTACGTTCCCTGGTTGCAAGCGGATCCAGTCCCCGAACCACCACTCCGAACCTCCAACTCAGGTGGCTCCCTTACAACCTGACCTGGAACCTAAACACCTGTCATGTGTAGAAGAATCTCCTGTTGGGACACCCTTTTCTGGATTCCTTATCCTTGTTTGCTCGGGGTACCTGATATGCCTGATATGTGCCACGGTCAGAACTTCTCATGTGGCCGGTCTCTCGAGTGTCTGTTCGTCGAGCTTGGGGCACTCTGGCCCGAATCGTCGTAAAACAGCGAATGAGAGGAAGCTATTCCTCAAGCATGAAGATGATGCGACCAATGCAAGAAATGAAGTCACTGCAAATAGAGATATGAGGGGCAATAAATGCATCCGAAAGCAACGGAGATGAGATGCATGTGCAAAGCACTTGGCGGGCTGCAAAGGAAGCGTGAGTCGCTGGCACCTGCCACACGAGTATCCGCAAGCCTTGTCGTTGAAGGCACAAAGCACATCCGTTGCAATAAGAATAGGTGCAGGACCTTTCTGGCGTAACCGAGGACGAAGCCAAAGCTCCTTTGTAAGCATCCAAAGTTCTCAAAAGTGAAACACTTTCTGAATCAAATCACATCGACAAGAACATGAATGCGATCGGAACGCGGGCGTTGCAAGGCATAGGGCCGCATTGGATTCCCGAAACTGATGCATAGCACGATGAAATACGGAGTGTGACGCAATCCTCTATCCAAACCTCATCAGGAGAACCCTGGGAAACCCAGCCTTCATTCATGGTGGCTGCTCAACTGGAGGAGGACAAATCGCATCGTATCCAGGAATGACGTCCTTGCATCCAGGAGATTATTAATAGCCTCAACAGGAACCCTTTTCAATGGTTGTGGTCCATGACCCACTACTAACCCCACGCAAGTAGGTCCAACTCAGCAAGAAATGTTCACCCTCATGAGCCGTGGCTCCGCTGAGGTGAGCACAGCCACTGTAGCACCTTGTCCAAGCAGCTTTTGGAAGGTCCTGAGGCAGGAAAGGACGGGGTCCCCGCTTCGGATCAAACCTTTCTGGGCGGGTAGGGATACGGGTTGAACATGCGTCTCTATGGAGTGTCACAAAGTCAGGGACTTGTCCAAATGGTTTGCTGTTTTGGGTTTCCATGTAAAAACCGATGAGGAACACCATGAGAAGAACACACGCACGCTAACGCACTGAACTCCCCGCACACACACACACACACACACACACACACACACACACACACACACACACACACACACTCTACACCGCTAACAACTCATGTTGGCTTCCCAACAGCCCCACAGTTCTTGGTCCCAAAATGTCGTGGCTTGTCAGGAGGGCACCCCCTTTCGATTGGGCGGCAAAGGCAAACCCAAAGGAAACCAACAACTTTGCGGGTCCCCTATGTGAGACAGACCCGCAAGAAATTTCGAGAACCCTCAACTTGCATCAAGCAAGCAAGCTCAGCCATGCCCATCAAGGGATGTTCTAATAGCCATGTTGCTGTCCTTTTTGAGGCTCGGTACCCCTTTTGGAGCGGGTTCAAAGGGAAACCAAGAAGGATAGCCGAAGCTGGCCGCAGGCAAGCCGTGGGAGGTCTTTAATAACGCCGGAACCTTATTTTTAGACACAACCACCTTTCGGCAACCAAAAATCGTCCCAATCTTAGACCCATGTTGAGCCACTTCTGTCCCTGCTTTTGCTCAAGGCAGGGCCACTTTTTGACACGGCCGGTCTTGTTTTGCCTGGGATTCGCAAAAGGGTCCACAAAAACTATAGCCTGCCTCGGAACCCACCAACTCAGAAGATGGTCCAAATCGGGGGCCTTTAGTTCCAAGGCGCATTGAGCGGACCAGCCAACAAAGAGCGGGTCAAGAAACTCAGAGGTCACCCCTGAGCGATTTCCTGTTTGTAGCCAACCCTCCGAATCTGGGCTGCTGGCTTGCGATCTTGAAACCGCGCGTGGCCTCGGGTATTTTTTGGCAGCTACTCCGGGCAAATTCACAGAAGGGCTGACCAGAAGGAAGGTCCATATCCCAAAGGAGCTTCCAAACCCAAAAATGGATGAAATCTTCGGGAGGTGCATGTTAAGCTGCAGGAGGGGAATGTGTAGGTTTACTAGTCAGGGCTTTACATTGCTTGACACAGGGTACCCAAGACCTCTGACTGTAAGTGTAACCTCTCCAAAAGGAACCTCACCAAAATAGTCGGTCTATGTGATGTTCAGAGCTTTGAAGGGAAATAGAACCCTAAAAGAGTCATGCCCAAGTGACAGTTTGCAGCGTCAAAAGCCTTGGGGTCGCGGACTCCGATTCAACACATCAAATGAGCCACGGTCCTAGTGGAAATTTGTTGAGTTTACCCAATGTCATTCCGGTAACTACATGGCCATTTCTCAAATGAATTCCGCACAGATGCGCATCAAGATGAGAGAAGCATAGCATGGCCATCACATCGGACTCCTGAAAAGACATGCCGTCCGCAACTTTCGGGACTTACTTGCGGAAGCCGGAAACCCATTCGGCGAAGGACAATTTCTAGGACGGGAGCCCCACAAGTATGGAGACAGGGGAACAGTAGGCGATATATACCACCTGTATAAGGCTCATATGCTGATTTCTGCCAATGGTTTCCCTATGGCTCCATACTAGGTCGATGCCCAGCTTCAGTCTCTCTCTCAAGGCGCCGACAAAGGAGCAAATACTCGGCCAGGAAGGGCACCCGCAGCAGCCTCGTGAGTCAAAACCCAGACATACCCTCCCTTCGATTTACAAGGAACAAACATTTTCCAACATAATTTCAGCTTACCCTCGACCCGTCAGACTCCATGTTAGTTGGGAGGGTAAGGGAGGCCAATCCAAAGGGTAAAGAATCAAAATGGTGGTGCTCCCGTCCTCAGACCCGGCTTTTGCGTCTGGGTGCAACCCTGGTCCCGGCTCTCAGAGACAGTCTCCCTTTGCACTCCCGCCGGGACATGATCGGAGCTGGTTCAACCTGGATGGTTGACCTGTGACACTATGTCAACCAAAAAGCAACCAAGCAAGCAAGCAACCAGCCAACCTGTCAACCACTTTATGAACACAGTTTTGACTTCCCTACTAAGATTCGCAAAATGACAACTTGGAAATCAACATCAGTTAAACCACCTTGTTGTACAACAAATAAGCTCAGGTGATATCCCCAACAGCACCACACCCGTATGGGTTCTACAGATGCGGAAGGTACGTATATCCCTTGCATTGTTTGATCCTATTCAGCGTACGGATTGGATTCGATTTGTGTGATTCGCTTCATTTTGCTTTAATGCCATAACCCTCCTCGGAGCCGCCCCGTCCTCGCGGAACCCGCGTTCCCAGAACCTTCCGGAACCTTTACGGACCCTCGCGGAACCTTACTCAAAGCCGCTTTCAGCTGTTGCGGAGCCATTGCTTGAAGCTTACACCTGGACCACCCCAAACCTCGAGAACATTGGCCTGGTCTGCGCCAGATCCTGCGGAACCTCTGCCTGCACCAGACCACCCGGAACCTCCGGAACCATTGCTTGAATCTTACACCTGGCCTGCACCAGACCGCCGAAACCGCACGTGGCCTGCACCGACCACCCCAAAACCTCCGGAACCTTCCTTGAACCTTTCACCTGGACCCAGGGCCTTCCTTGAACCTTGCACCTGGCTTACACCTGGCCTGCACCAGACCACCCCGGAACCTTGCTCCAACCTGACGCCAGAGCTCCGAGCCACCCCCAAACCATATCTGGGCTGAGATCCCTTAGCTTTCAGCTGTTTGGGAATAACCATCCATCATTTAATCCACTTGTTGACTTGTATATGATACAACCTAGGGCGCCGGCAGTGGGGCAACACCTCAGCCGCGAAAACGCCCGGACAGAAATCTTCGTGGAAGACATTGCCGAAAATACACCAAGAAGTGGTTGCCAATTGAGTCGCTCTCAAAATTTGAACCATTGTTTCGAAGTTTAGTTGTTTGGCGATGTTGCTTTAATGGATCCAGAAACGCCTCGTTGTAAATGGACACATCTCGATGCCTACTTGATACAAGCCTATGTTTACTTCAGGGAAGAATCACACACACACACACACAAACAAACAAACAAACAAACAAACAAACAAACAAACAAACAAACAAACAAACAAACAAGCAAGCAAGCAAGCAAAGCAAAGCAAAGCAAACGAACGAACGAACGAACGAACGAACGAACGAACGAACAAACAAACAAACAAACAAACAAACAAACAAACAAACAAACAATCAAACAAACAAACCAACAACACACACACATACACTTGCATCAGTGTGCCAAAGTAGGGACCTCTCCAAGTGGCGTGTGGCCGTTTTTCCACAAAAACCGGGACCAAGGCCTCGAACCGCAGGTCGCATTCCCGTTTCTGAAAGCTGGAAGGTTTGCTTTGCGAAAGCAGATTGTGACGTTTGCCAAAACACGCAAAAAGTCAGAGAGCGTTTCAACAAAGGTTTTGGAAAGGGAAGTGCTCTTTGATCAGTTGAGTTAGTATTTGTTTGGAAGAAGAAAAGTAGCACGAAGAAAAAAGGACCAGGTGGAATCCCCAACAGCAACCTAGAACCCTTCTAAAACCCTTCTGGAACTCTAGCTCGCACCTGCTCCAAACAACCCCAGAGCTTATTTGGGCAGAGACGCCAAAGCTTTCAGCTGTTGCGGAAAAAGAGGATGCGTGGTAAAGGGGACCAAAGATCCCGCAAGCTGGTGTCCAGGGGTTATGAGCTAAAGACTGAAAACGTAGATCTCCTGGCCCAAAAATGAGTGTTCGTGCAAAAGCCAGATTGTCCAAAATGAGTAACATGTGGTTTACGCACCTAAAATGTAAACTATATTGGTTGATTTCAACATAAAACCTGGATTTGTCCAAATAAGCACCATTGGTGGTGTTCTGGTGCGTTGAATCTACAACCCCATGTAACTTAATATTTGCCTGTGTCTTTTGCGTGGAGGCGTTGAAGGTGCTTGAAAATTGTATGTAGCCTCTTCATCAAGTTGTAAGGTCATGTTAAACTGACACTTGTGCTGATAAATTGTTGAAATTGACAGTTTGGCCGACTAACTTGGCCCTGACTTAGGGCATCGTGTTCAAAGTCGTAGGGCACGTCCTAGCCTGCGTCAATCGGTAAGGACGCTTCCAGGTGGTTTCATGTCGGTTCCCACCAAAAGGAGCCAACAATTTGGAACAGAGGACCCCGCACCTTGTAGGTTCAAACATTCTGACAAGCCACTGAAAAAGTACACTCGTTTTGACACAAGGCAATTACGAATGAATCTCCCAGGTCTTAATTCAAAGGACTGAACCCTGTGGAAGAAATATGTCTGACTTGACAAGGATCCCCCACCCCGCTTCCATTTTCTACCTTCCCCCCATTTTTAGGACCCCGCATGGCCCTCTCCACATGTCAGACCTTTTGAACCGGAGACTCCACAGCCCCAAACACATAGTGGGCGATGGCACTTATCAGGGATGTCTATCCAAAGTTGGTCCATCCAACGCTTGATTTCCTTTGAAGGGGCCCAGGGCCTGGTCATTTCGCACCGCTTAAGAAAGCCAACGGAATGACTCGATTCCAAAACGTGAACACCACCAAGCAATGGTTTCAACCATGCTTTCATTCCGTGGTGCAAACGGATGTTGTCCATTCACAGTATGTTTCCCCTTTGTTCATTCCCGCACCGAACGGAAACTAGACTTTCAATTTGACCGAAAGGTGACATTTAAAACCGCATGTTTCAACAACTCGAGCCCAATCCTGTACCAATAGAAAGTGCTTAGTAACCCTGATTGTTAAGTCTCTTAAGTGGGTTATAGTGAATCCTTGGGGACTAGGGGTATTGACAACTGGGTGGTCATAGTACCTATCTTAGGAGCACTTGAATAACGGCTGAATGTTTATCTGAGTCCCCTGTTGTTGCATGTCCCCTCACCTTGATACAAAACCTACCGGACAAATGTATATTTTGACCGAACCTCACATGTGTTCTTTGTGCTGAATGGGGGAGGATCTGGAAAAAATGAAAGCTTTTGGTTTGCTTTAGGCTGTATGATTCTAAGGATTGGGTGGACTTTTGTTGTTTCTCAAAATAGGGGTCCATGTTCTATTGTTGGTTTCCTGTTGGTTCCCTTATCTCAAGGGACCGCGTGAGCCGAGCGCCGAGCTCACGAACTGCTTCCCGCGCCGCTCACCAGGGAAGTCCCTCGCCTGGAAGCACCGTCTGCAAAGTTTCGCAGAAAAAGATCCAACATGTCGCAGGGCATAGCCAACGCGCCCATAACCATCCCAATGTCTGAGGCTGGTAGGATTTGAACCTACGGCCTCCCCAGCCCAAGTGCCGGGGCGCGCTGCCATTGCGCCACAGCCCCTAATTGCATATGAAGCCAACTCAAGCTACTAAACACCACTAGACATGACTTGACAAGTGGCGTTTCAAGCGGCCCGAATTTTCGGGAAACCCAATAAAACCTGGTAAGGTGGGCAAGTGCAAACATGCCAGTGGCGCCCAGTAGTGCGAGACAAAGTAGAGCCCGGCGATGGCGAAGGCACCGTGGGGGTGCCAAGACATCACCTCAGCCGGGCTGGGCGGTTCAACTGTACATGCAAACATCCTCGTTCTACCTTTCTCGTTCTTTTGTCTCAAAGGGGGGTTCTTGTTCAAACAGTATCCTTTTGGCGTCATGTCCAATAAATTGGACTGGTGGGTGGTTTGCTATGGTTGTGGGGAAACGAACATGACCTCAGTTGTCAAACGAAGGAACCGTTCAAACTCCAAGGTTCCCAACTTGATCTCCCAAAGTGTTGAAAGGCAAACAGCGGGTGTAGAGCGATGCTCTTTCAAAGTGCTTTAGTATAAGTTGTCACAATGGTTGCAAGTGGATTGCAACCTGACGTAGATCCCAGATGTCAGTAACATCTGGCAGTTTGAGGGGTGTTCCCCCGCAAAAGTGATATCTGGATTCCCTCTACGGGTTGCGAACAACATGCCTTATCTTTCCCAAGTTGCTAATCCTGGGCTCCGATGACTCAAAAAACAGGAATTAGTTCTGGGTGGCCACCACGTTTGCAAACGTGCCGTGCCACTTAGGACTTGAGTTTGCTTCGGGCTCGGGTGTGGCACAAGGATGTGAGAAGCAGCCGGAGAGAATGCAGGAATTCGCGCGAGTTCGTGGCCAGACAAGTGGAGCCCCCACAAAAACGGTGTGTTTTTGTCTGGTTCGAGCGAAAATGAAGGGAACCCAACAGAGTCAGCCAGTTGCGTCTGGCAATGGTTCGATCTAGTTGCGGGTGAGGCAGCACATCGCTGAATGAAACTGCATTGTTTAAAGGATGCAGAGAGACTAGAGAGGGTTCAAGCTTCAGGCTTCCCGGCATATTGCTTGTCCTCGGCCCAGTGGCCTTCCGCCGCATGCTCCGACAACTCGGCAGGCAGTGAGTGCGGACATAGAAAATCACCCGAAGGGGTCATACCAAAGAAGGCCATCCAACCCTGACTGCAGAGAAAACTGCTTCAACGGGAGGTTTCTTGGCTCTGAAAATGAGCCTACCAAGTGTTCGGTCATGAGACAGGGCCCAAGAGTTTGGACGCTTTCCGGTTGCGTCCATTTGAATAAGACATCGGCTTCCAGAACTGTGAGAAGGCCTCCAAATGTTCAGTAAGTCAGGAACAAGGGCCATGTCCCTTAAACCTAAGGAATGAGGCCAAAGCATCCAACAAGTCCGCAACTCTGCGCACTGGGGCGTCTGAAGCCACGTGACTTTTGTCTCATGGACCCCTTTGGTGTTTGAAGGGTCCATACAACATCAACACCTTTTGGGGCTTCCCTAGCTTTCAAGGAGCTCCTTCAGGTGGCTGGTTTCCTTCCAAGCAACAATTATTTAAATATCCGCCTGGTGGTTCCCTTTCAGTGGTCAGGTGTTGCACAGCCATGACTCTCAGCTACCGGCCTCCAAAAGGCGCACAGGTAAGTTGAGGCAAAGACCAAGCTGATTAAGGCGTGATGAAGGGCTTTGTGGGAGCTCCTGGAATGGACCGAGCCCATGGCCCACGTTGACTTGGCGAACCCAAGCATCAGCTGAGTGCCTCACATTGTCTGAGTAGTTCAGATACCAGGACCTGAACATGGCGGAGTCCGGCCGTCAAGGCACGACCTAGCGGATAAATAGGGGGAGATGCTTCCCCCGCAAAGAAAGTGAAGGTTCCGCTCTAACATACGGGATCGACGTGTCTCAAATCAATGATGCCAAGCTCTTTTGTCGATGCGATAAACCCGCTGACAAGCTCTTTGGCTCAAGAATCTGCCAACTGCATCACCCGTTTTGGGTGATAGCTTGGAAGGCCGGGTTGCGGCCCGCGCGTCGTGGGGCGCAGGTCCCATGACCAAAGGTCAAAATGTCCCCGTGTTCAAATGTAAAGGGGATGACAAGGGGCACACTCACCAAATTGCGATTTCAATATCGAGGGTACACCATGTTCCATGTCAACTGGGGAGACCATGAATATCGACCATGGCTCACCGTTCAACTCACGGGCACAGTGATAGTGCTAGGGCGACAAAAGCCAGAATCTTCCTCACAGACCGATCTGCATCTGAAACGAAAATGGGTGTTGTGGAGAGAAGTTCACCCTCCGAAGTGCTCACAGGATTCGATGTACTAGGCATGGAGGTGGATGATGAGTCTGCATTTCCGGATTCCCAGCGGATTCCATCACCATAGATGTCCAGCACCTCCCCATGGTTGTGGAAAGAATACGCAGTTCTGTCATACCAACGCGGGCCGTCCAAATGGTCACTTCAAGGTGGATTATCTTGCTATCACAAAAATGGTAAGCCCCATTTCCCAGAACTGTGCGCCTCAATATATGCGGGCGCTTGGTAAAAGTGCATCTCGTAGTAAATCTCCTCCTCCGTGGTACTCTGAAAGATCCCCGGATTGAAGGCCATCCAGCTACTGAGGTTGTCCAAATCATCCAGCCCCTCCAAGGTGTCCTTGCCCCAGACGCCTTCCCGCGTGTTGAAGGACACCTGGCTTTCTCGACAGCTATGGGAAACTTGTCGACTTGCCCCTGTTGATTGGCAAAGGAACACCAAACCAAAAAACAGAAGCTGCAAAAAGTGTGGCAGAGGGGAACCCCCACCCAACACCAGAATGAGCAAATCTGTATTTAGCGGAAACCTAACCAAAGATACAAAGGAGCTCCGCACAAACAGCGCAGTGAAGCCAAATATATTTGACGGAGCCTCACCCAAACTTCAGACAAACAAAGAAAACACAAATTTAGAGGAAACTCAAACAAAAATCAAAAGAAAAAGGGTGTCTAGAGGGAAACACAGATGACCACCTTTCCACAATACAAAAGTGAGATGTGCATCCCCATGACTATCTTCTCACGCGGACGGGACTGCCTGGTTATCCCAGAAGGCAGCAACCTAAAACAACACTTGTCCACTACCACAACCAACAACAAACGGATCTTGTAGAGGGAACCCCACAAGGAGAAAGAAGCCCCCCCCCTCCCCCAAACCAGAAGGAAAAAGCGGAGACTACCAGTTTCCCTTTCAACACCCCCACAACGGGAACCCTCAACAGATACGCCCATTTTTACATATTGTCTTCCGGCATTTGAGTAGGCAAAGCATTTGTCCGTCATACCAATCTCATTTTGAGTTTACACCACTTCCAACAAACCCACTTAGCAACCACAAAACAGGTGGGAAAAAAAGTTCGGGCGTCCCCTAAAGGATGGCCAAACCCGAGTTCCCCACTTGAGTCATAGTCAAGAACCTGGAATTAAGATGGTCTACCAAAAGCCATGTAAAGAATAATAAAGGGCGGAGATCCGCACCTGTTTTTGGCCTAAAACTATTCCCTACTAACCTTCTTCACCCCGGGTTTTGATCGTGGCTCACACGGGTCATTGATTTCTGTGGACCTCCAAGATTCCAAGGGCAAGCCATGACGACCACATGCTAAGGAAAGGATATATGAATGTCGGGATATGCGGGGCCCATACCAAGGGACCTCCGGAAATGCGGCCTCGCCTTCCCAAAGTTCGTCTCCACCACGTCCAGATCCAAGCGCCCGCGCGTGGCTTTGTACCGCACCGCGAAGCCGAAGGACGCGTTCTTGGGCGCCACCTGGTGGAGCTCCCTCGGCCCGGAGCGAGCCTGGCGAGTCACGAATCCGGGCGGCTGGAAAAGGGGGGATGTAAATGAAGCGCCAAAACGGGGGGGGCACTCGGTGCATGGTAGAAATTGGTTTACCAAGGTGAACTTCTCGCCGTGGTGCTTGTAGTCTCTTGGAGGATTCCCAGAAAATGGCACTCCAACCCCAGGCCTCCGCGCCCACAAAGAGGTACGGATGCACCGCAGGGTCGAAGCCGGTGGCACACTCCGAAGACTCCGAGGGCTCGCGATTATTCTCCACCTGAGACAAGGTCTTGGGTGTACGCTCCTTGTATTTCGCCTAACATCACCCCGGCCAAAGGAAACTCACTCTAAAGGCCCACCCAGTTGGCACCAAGTTTGAAGGTTCCAGTCCACCAAGGCCTATACCCCTCCCAAAATGAGGATCTTGAGGAGTCATCTTTGCACGGCTGGCATCATAGCCAACAAGGAGCTATGGTTTCCCACCTACCTGGTGCAATGCTGAATAGTGACACATGAGGGCGGTGTGGGACTTTTGTCAATTTGCACGGTTGGGCTTGCGTTCCTCCCAAAGAACCAAAATTAAGTTGGAGCGCGCGGTGATGAGAATGTTCCTATTCAAGCTGTGCAGGATTTCTTCCGTCAACAGTAGGGGTGCAGGCTCCGGGATGTGACGTTAGGCCGTGACTGACTCCAACAAAATTGGTCTCCAAATGGGTTTGTCGCTAGATGAGGTTTCCCTTGAACGCGGCGTTCCTTTGGTCTCCCTCCGAAACAGCAAGGATATCCTTCAAAAACGGACTTTGAGCGGGATCCCGTGGGGCCTTCCGAGGCCTTATTCGTCCCTGAACAAACATAGTGAAAGGGAAGCCTTGTAACTAATACTACATCTAGGTGTCCAACTTTCTGGGTCCAGGGCCAAATCATAGCAACAATCCTAGTTAGGGGTGAAAAAGGAGGGCGGTTGTGTATCAACTGGCAAAGCTAAACTCTTGGCCAGCTCCCAAACGATCAGACGATCTAGGGGGGCTGTCCCATGGCCATTGCCCACGTGAGGGTAGAGCTTCCGTGTTATTTTTTTTTGGGGGGGAAGCGCAGGGGGAGCTACGCAACTGTTCAACGCAGTTCCCGCAAAGCGGGGAGTGAGCATTTCGAAAAGACCGGATACGGATACGGATCGCAAGGTGAATTCCCCAATACATCCAGACTGGACACTTCCCATTTCATTGGCCTGTTCGACGTTTGATAATTTTACTCTCTTGGTTGCTTGGTTCCACCATCATCAGCGTTTGGCTCTACCAGCCCAGTTCATGCTCCCCTCATGTTAATTCCATTCCTACTCAACCAGCAGGAAAACCCATCCTTTTCTTACCCATGCTTCCAACCTCTTTGTTGCACGTTCTTACCTTACCCCCTGGTTTAGGCCACCAAACAACACCGTTTGGGACCGAAATCAGGGTTCCGACTCGTATCTGCTCGCCTGATACTGGAGCGTGCAGTAGCCAACCAGCCGAGTGGTGAAGTGCAGGTGCGTGAAGGTCGTGGTGCCCGTCTGCCCCATGGTGCCAATCACTTGCCCCTTCTGCACGGCCTGCCACAGCTTGGTTGACGTGTTACTTCCCCTTAAACCAGCCCCAAGAAAGACACCCTCAAAATGCACGTGTTTGGCTTTGTGCTTGATTCCGCCCCCCTGCGAGAATCAGTTGTGCCCAGAAAGACTCAGTCAGGCACCTCAAAAGGGATCTGAACAGGGGGCCCTGGTTCCGGCCTGACCCACCGTAGTGGACTGATTGTTCATGTGATGGTAGTACACGAAGACCTGGCAGGATTTGAGTGTTTCTCGAAATGGAAACACCTTTCCGTTTGAAGTACCAGGGAAACCAAACGGAAACCAATCATTTTAGGGGACCGCTATTTTGAGAAACCCCATTTGATCCCTTTCTTTCGCGTGCGAGAAAATGGAGGCCCAACTGCAAAGGAATCCTAGTACACGTGCGTTTTAGGATGAGAGGCAATCAGGAAGGCATGAGTTTCTCCATTTGACTAGAGTTCTTCTTGGGTGTATCGGCCCTATACACTGGCAGCCATGCCTACGCGAAGCCTTTGCGGGTGTGGCAAACACCGGGGCCTACACGAGCCTGCGCCACAACAGACGCCCACGCGGAGTTCCTACGCAGACTTTGCTCGGGCAAAACTCCTAAGTTTGCATAAGGTAAATATGCCTATTCGGACCTGCCTACGCCGGAATTTCTTGAACGGCAGACGCGGACTGCCTACGCGCCATGCAGTCCCTCCGGCGTCAACAGAGTTTTTCCCGAATACTCTTCGAATACATAGCAACACACTCTGCTCATTAGGGGCTTAGAACGGACAATCCAATACTTTGTGGCAAATACTAGGGCATGTCAATTCCGCTCCCCTCACCAAATCGTTGGCTTCATTTGGCAACTGACCCAAAGAGGTCCAACTTAGGTTGACAAGCGCAAAGAGCAAACAAACGACATATTTCAGTCTGGCAATGGTTTTGACACATACAGTACAAATATGTATCAAAGCAAGGGAAGCCCCCTAAAGGGGTGGTTGCCTTTTGAAATCCATTTTACACGAAACACCAAAAAGTATCCTCAAAACACCACACACACACACACACAGAGAGAGACACACACTACCTTGTTGATCACCCGGTCGTGGAACATGGCCCCCGTGGGATTCCACAGCGGGTGCTCCACGATGGTGGTGGTGCCCCCAGCGTAAAACGTCCGCTGGTCGAAGACCACGCCGTCCGCGATGGCGTACAGCTCTGTGTCCTGCAGGGTGATCCTTTTCCTGGACCTCCAAGCTACGGGGAGGAGGGGTGTTCCCTTGATGAACCCCAAATAAGGCCTTAACGGCAAACAGTTTCTGACTTTGATAACCCGCGAAAACTGTCAAACTCCTGTTGCCACCTTTGTCTTCTGGGACAAACGAGAAAGCGGTCTTATTGAAGAACTGACCAGTTGGCTTTCCAAAAGACCCCGGCGTATCTGTCCTCGGCATCGAAATAGTCGATGCCCCGGTGGAAGTCGTAACGGGCATCCGCCATCTTCCAGCCTTACTCCAAAGCCCCGTTTGCCACCTTTTGAGCAGTGTGGGCCAACCCCATTTGGATGTTCCAAATCAGGGGCCCCTCCCCTTTAAAGCCATCACAAACGGGGTCCTCCGTTTTGAGACCCCCCCCCCTCGCCCTATCTCCCTATTTCCCCATTCATGAGGTGGTTTGAGGGTAGTGGTTTGGCCCCTTGCTTCTCCTTTTGATTCGGTCCAGAGTCGTTGACACTCATATACCCTGTGTTGGATGTGCCCTTGGCCCTTAGGGTCAGGGGCCCCAGTTCACCAGAGAACTAAGCAGGGCTGTTTGAAGGCAACCACCTTCCTTACCAAGCGAACCGGGGTTTGTGAGTCAACTGGTTTCTCCACTGGGAAACTAAAAGTGACATCTTCAGACCTCCCAGATGGCGGTTTCTTCCCTGTCTCGACCGAGCCGCGGGGGCCGAAGGGGCTGGAGATGGCCAGGGGGTTCGGCACCGGCGAGCCCCAGGAGGCGTTGTGGAAGGAGGGCACCTCCCAACCGGGTCCAACATGTCAAAAGGCTTGTCACGTGTCGCAAACATACGGGAAAACCCCACAAAAGGGCACCTTCAAAAAAAACACAACTCACCGGATTCTACCATTGTTTGTTCTTTGAAATCACCTCCGAAAAGGTACCCTCACAAACAATGGTTTGCCTTGTGTTTGCAGGGTGGCTCTGAAGACAGGACAGGGTAGAATTTGGCAACTTATGAAAAGAACCGAAGGAAACCAAACCAACTGCCTACGAATGCGTTTGATAATTATGTTTGGATATTCACCCCAGTAGGTTGTAGCCGTTGCGTTTATGCGCGAGCCCTACTGCTAGGTGGGTGAAACATTCAAATACGATACTCCCATCACAATAGGGCCAACTGGAGGTTTTTTGGAAGACAATAGTGTCTACATGACAGTTCGCTTTGTTGTTCTATCCAAAAAAAAGGTCAGAAGGCAAAACCTTGGTCAAAGCACTGTTGTTACTGCACAACCTCTTTCTGATTGTCTGATTGTCCTCCCTTACGAGCGTAAAGTGCCAGCTAGTTTCACCCAGCTGTACAGTTGGCCAAACCCACGCACCTCCGGCGTGTGGGGCACTGCGGTGGTTGTCAGTAACCCCAGCACCTCCGACTGGGGCGGCTCCGCGTCAGCATTACGCGAGAGCGCCAGGGAAACCAAGGCCAGCCGGGCACACATCTGCTGGAAGATGGTTTGTGCAATCTTTTTCCTTTACCAAAACTGAACTTGCTAAAGTGAACATGTTGGAAAGTCCTCAAAGTCACTCTTGGGGACGGGTGACCTGTATTCCAACACTTCCACTGCATACTTTGGCCCCTCAAAGAATCGGATCGATCTGGAACCAGCATGACAGTCAGTAGTTGAAAAGGCAGGGCGTATTGCCTGACAGTTCCAGGCCGGCAACGAGCTTGTCAAAGAAAGATTTAGTCATCGTGCGAATGGCGTCTCTGGCAATATTGCCCCGAGGCTTGCTGCATCTGCGGGCCCTGCTCCAAGCGCACGGCCCTGGATGACAAACGCTTCCGGCTTGCTGGCGGTCTTTGGGTGGAAGTGAGCAGCAAGCCCCAAGGCGTGGTTCCTGCAACCTACACTTCATGGAGCACCGAGGAGCGGCTGCATTGGTGTCACGCTTGACACGCTGCACTTCAGCATTTGACTGCGCCACAGAGTTCTTGTTGCTACCACCTGCAATCTGGGCTGCACGATTCTCGTGCACTCCTGACACGGGCGCCTTGTCAATTTCTCCAAGCGGTCTGCTGGCTGTTGGCCGGCTAGAAGAAACTCGAAGAGCTCGCAGCCCCACCATGGGCCTTTCGCGCTGCTCCTTCGCCAAGCGCCAAGATTCAGAATTCAAAGCAAGGCCAAGGACGACCACCGCTTGCACTGGACCCCTATGATGAGAGTTGAGAGTGACCACAGAGCAGGCATTTTCTTGCCGCCGTTTCAATCAACTTGCGCACGCTGAGCCTCTGGCTCGGTAAGCAGTGGAACGCGCTCGGCTGAATGAACTGGGCTCTCTCTAGGCGAGCTCTCGGCCCTCCTCGTTCGGTATTCGCCTGCTTGACCTTCGCCGCACGCCCTGCTCATCCCCGCCTCCTGGCAAGCCTGCATTGTTGGGCTCGCCGTAGCTTGCCGAAGAGCAAGGACCGTGTCATGAGCATCGGCCTTCTGACGCATGCCCTCGTCAAAGGCCAACTCGCAAAAATGGCACTTGCTGACTTTGGAGGTTTTGGGGAAGAAACTGATTTCTGGGGCCAAGTTCGCTTGTCGCCGCGACTCAAGCGCTAACGTGTGGATCTCATGATGAAAACTTTAACACGTCATTTTGGCTGCTGGGCGCAACTGCGTCACCGATTGGAACAGTCGCCATGCCACGCGCGCACCTAGATCCCCCCCCACAAAGGCGTCCATCGTTTGCGTAGCTCATTGCTACATGTGCCCTGAGCCACGTCCGAATAAGCGGCTGACGACAGTGCGTTGGCAATCTGCATCTGTGACGCGCAGCCACGTGGTCACGGCTACTGGATGATCCAGCGAAAAATCGGGCGGCGCCAAGCACTCGTGCGCAAACCTGGCAAACCTCGCAACCGCATGGTCTGCAAGCGAGAACGCCGTACAGTGTATGCACCCGCGCCAGAGTTTGCGCGTCTCCCGTCTCACTTGCCGCCAACATGCAAACAACAACTTCTGCAACGACGCATCAGCAACCAAGGAGTTCAAGGTCCTGGCAAAAGCCTGATCCATCCGAGCTACCTGAAGCGGTCCGCCCACCACTGAAATCTCACTATCATCTCCCTTACCACTTTGCTTACCTTGCAATCTCTAGCCCGCGCACCAACTCCTAAGCCGCAGAACGTGTCTCAACCTGAAAAGGACAAAAACGGTATAATGAGCCCCCGGCTATCGAGCTTCCCAACTAAAGCTGCTTTTGGTCACACGCTGCCTGGCTTCGCTATCACATCAGCCAGCAGCATGCTGGAGGCCCCACACGCAGTCGGATTGACCTTTTGGTGCCTGTGTGGTTGCAGTCTAGCCTAGTCAAGCAAATTTCTTGGGTGGGGATTGTTCGAAGTCACGTAATTGATTGGAAGCCCTTTTAAACTACTTACGCTCACCAAACGGTACCCAAATTGAAACTCTTGCCTTGGATGTTGGCCCCAAAACCTTCAAGGTTTAAACAGAACTTGAACTTGTGGCATTGAACCTGGCAACCACACGTGTCTGAAACGGGACACGTGTTGGCAGCGCTTCCTATGGCTCAGGGGCCTGTGAGCCATTGGAACCGCGCGCAAGGCGGAGCGATTCACCGAGACTCATAGTTGCTAAATGGGTGTGCCTTTTTTCAGGGAGCCACCCACATGGCGGTGTTCCTTTTGGGTAGGCCTAAGGAACTAGGTTCAATAGAAATTCCTTTTATTCACCCCTGAAACCACCCCCTTTAAGGTTCCATTACTGAGCTGGGGACGCAAAACGGTAGAGCACCCCGGAGACCTCAGCGCGCACTGTCACGCAAGTTTTGTTCGACCCCAAACTGCAAAGCGGGGTCCAGCAAACCAACTGGTTCCGTACAAAACAAAAGCACCCAATTAAGAAAAGCAAACAAGAAAAAAAGCAAACAAAAACAAACAGCAAAAAGAGCAAACAGTCCCTACAGCAAAAGCCACCACAAGGAAAAACATGCCACCCTGCGCTGGGCTTTCCGGGCTGCCACGGCCAAGTTCTTTGGGCCCCATGGCCTCCGAGCGAGCCCAGCTAGCAAGCCGGCCGTGCCCTCGCGGAACAAACGAAGAGGGAAACCCGTTGGGGCCTTCAAAACGCCCCTCCCTCGACTACGCCACAAAAGAAAAAGGAAGAAAAAACATGTTGGAGTTTGGGAGCGTCCATTCCCATTACCCTGTTGGAAGCAAAGAGAGCTGCACCCTAAACCACAGGAGTGCTGCGGATGGCAGGGATTTCCCAGCTGCCACTAAAACGGCCTCGACAGGTGACTGCTAGCGGTTGAGGCGACGATGCAAGGTCAACCGTTGAAAGCTTAAAAGCTCAAAAACCCAAGCAGGGAAAACAATATACAGTCTAACACACCAACTACCTATTGGCATGGTGTGTTTGAGGATAACCAACCAGGACCCAGGTTGCCACAAATGCAGTGGATGATGGGAGTTTATACCAACTGCCACTGAAATGCTCCATGACAGGGGTGGGCTCCCACTAGTCCAGGGGACGACCCAAGGGTGTGTGTGTGTGTGTATGTGTGTTTTGCGGGTACCCTTCAGCGGTTGGTTTCAAATGGCGTGGAACTCCCAAATTCTGACCTGGTGTTCCTTTGGTTTCCTGTTTAAACACCCTAAAGAGTGCCGCACCCAAACTGAAGCAAGGCTCCAACTTCTTCCCACTCTGAAACATCACCTTTAGCAACTCACCGAGTCAAATTGGCTTGCCCAACAGTGTCAAACCACCTGAGGTCACGGCAGCTTCGAGGTGCTCGCTGGCCGCAGGACTAAGAAGTACCTCTATTGAAGGAGCCGGTGTTTAGACAAATTTTGCAGCACCCGTTCAATCCCTCTGGGTGTGACTCAAAATAGAGAACCCCAAAATCTGCGCTTTCTTTTTGTGCTCCCTCTTTGCCAGCTCGGTACACTCTTTAGGCAGCGCATTATCAGGGTTATCCAAGTTGGGCAACCTAAACAGACCGAGGGTGGTGTGGGTGGGTTCTGACCACAGGCATTCGAATCAGGAAACCACTGAGGGAAACGGCTTTTGAACAGAACGCTCGCTGTGTGACGCTGGGTGCACGTGGGTGTGTTTGTGTGTGTGTGTGTGTGTGTGGGTATGGGTGTGTGTGTGTGGGCGCGTGCACCTACAAAGGGATTGACACCTTCTGGTCGCAAGGGCCCTTCGGGCCACTACCTTTCGACATCGCCAGTGTCAGGAACCCAAAATATTCCTGGGCAAGTCATGTCGGTCTAATTGAAATATTGACCTATGGTTCAACAGCCCTTCCTAATTTCAAGGGGGCCCGTTTAGAGGAATCGTTTTCTTCCAGGGGCTTCCCTTATGAGAACAACGCACAAATTGTTCCTATCTTCGCTGGCTTACGTGCCACGGAGAAAGTAGAATATGTACCAGCCAAGACCCTTCCCCAAGAGAAACCAAAAGGGGAGTGACGATAAGACGGAAGGGGGAATGTTGAAAGTTGAGAGATGAACTTACAAACCGGGAATTCCAAAGATAACCAAACGGGGGAAAAACTAACTTACCTCAATGGGTGCTGTGTCCTACCGCGCACCATGCCAGCCACCCGCAGACGAATGCCACGCCAATGGCCACAAAACCTGGCGCAGGTCTTTTGCGCCAGGGGCGCCAAAAAGGAAACCATAAGGCGCCAAATCCAGAAATAAGGAAATAAGGAATACTCCAAAACTGAAAATAAGGAAACAAGAAATACTGCACCAAAACTGGCACCAAAGGGCAAACAACAACTCCAGAAATATGGTTGCCAACCAGGCACTACATGAAGGGTATATACTATTGGGTTCCACTATGATGTTGCCTTATGGGGGGCTTTTGACAGTGTGTTCCTCTGTTTCCAAGAAACCTGATAGAGGCCACGAAAACGAATGCAGAAGTGCACGAAAGCATTCCCAAAGACATCCCCCACGACATGACTAGAAAGACACCTAAAAGTAATCAACATGCCCAAATCCAGCCCAATGGCTCCAGAAAGAAGTCAATGCTATCACTTTCTTTTGCCAACAAAGGTGTCGCACTGTACCATGGTCAAACCTTCTTGTGTTGGTTCCTTTGAATGGGAATCCTCATCATGGTGGTCTACCCCCAGATGACCTTCGCTACCAACCCCAAGTAGCGGAACCGGTCTTTTGAGCATGTCACACCTGAGGAACTCATTGGCCTGCTCTTAGACCAGATCTCAGCCCCTGCAAATGCGGCCGCTGCCGTGCCTGAAAGCATGCTGCTTCCAATCTGCCAAGGCCTGCGTCAGGCGAGGGTGAAGCAAGAAACTTGAGTTGAAAAGTGCTGGGACTTCGAATGCAATGCTTCTCACAGGGGCCCCTATGTTTTTCCTTTAAGGTTCACCGCATAAAGAGGAAGCTCATGTTCAATTGGCTCAAAGGGCAATGTCCAATACCACCAAAAGGGGGATATATAGGGAAGCCTGT